AACACCTCTCTTGGGTGCCGCTTTCTCCGAGCTCCTTCCGTTCCCCTCTCTCTGAGGGCTGGGCGCAGGCGGCGCAGCGAATGCGGGGTTGCAATCAACAGCATCGCCCATGCCATACCGAGATGGTCCGGGCGCCGGACGCCGGACGCTCGATGCGCCGCAGCGGCAACGTCGGGGTGCGACGGCTGGCGTTGGCGTCGAGCGGCGGCGTCCAGGTACCCTTGCGGGGCGCTCGCGGTATCCATTTACAGCCCATTGCATGCGGATTGCGGCGGCGCCCAGTACCGAGCTCTCATGACACCAGAGAGACAGGCGGGCGCAGCAGAGACATGCTATTCCGCAGCCGCTTGCGGCGCGAAGACGTGCTTGCTCGAGTCAGGCGCAGGCGAGACAGAAGCAAATACAAGCCTTGCGGATGAGAGACAGAGCCAAGCAAGGCCGTGCAACATCCGCTGCTCCGCGTCCGCTGCGTGCGGCACGCTGACTCGTACCGCCGGCCCGCACCGGCGTGAGGCCCTGATTCAGAGACGAGGCAGTGTGCAGTCGCGCGTCATGGCTGACCCTGGAGCATGCGGTACGCAGCAACAGCAAACGTTCGTGCAGAGGTCGCATCGGCACGGCGAGCGGGTCAAGGTGAGACGGCCGCGCGCCTTGCCGCAGCACGCCGCATGCGCCCGGAGCCCGATGTCGAACGATCCCACGCCAGCACCCAGGGCGGCTCGCACCACCACTTCCATCTCATCGCTCTTCGATTCTGATTCGAGTTGCTTGCCTGACCCTGATGCTGTGCTTCTGGAGCACGCCAAGCAGCTCGAATCCGCGGCATGCCCTCTCGATCTCAGTGTCGGCGCGCTAGGCAGCGTAGCGCTCCACGCGCACCCACACTCGCACACCCCCGTGCACCGCTGGACCGTTGGGCTAGCGAGGGAACGAGACGTGGACGAGAGCACGAGCAAGAAGGCACGAGCCTCGCGGTGCGGCGCTGCGTCTGCCTCGTGCCCTCGTGCACCCACTCACAGCATGCAGTCGTCGCCGCAGCAGCATGCTTGACAGGTGCTAGCCGCTCGGACCTGCGCCGGCTCGTGCTCTCCGTGCCTCGCACACCCGGCGTTGTTTCCCACAGCAAGCAGCTGGACATGCCAGCAATCAGCAAGCGGCTATCTTCGATGGCTCGTCGCCCCGATGCTCGATGCTGGCGCAACATTCCAGCTGACGCCAGCTCGGCGATGCGATGAGCAGCTCTCGAGGGCGATTGCTCGGCACGCTTCTGTTCTCGCTCTGTCCATCGGCGTCTCGATGGCGTCGAGTATCGAGGCCCAGGCGCACAAAGCCCCAGGACGGCACATCAGAACGGCAGCTGTCGCACGTCCCATGAGCTGTCTGCCAACGTCGGAGCTCCTCTGCTCCTCCGCTGGCAGCGTCTGCCGACGATGGCGACGACAAGGCTCGCAGGCCGCGCTGCCCGCCTGCGCTGCCGAGCCCAGTCGGGAGCGGCGTGCGTCGGAGGCGGAGGCGGAGGCCACTGACGGTGGGAGCGCCGGCGGAGCTGAGGCTGAGGCTGGAGCTGAGGCGGGGCGACTTTGCATTTTCCGAGCCCGGCGCTCGGTGCTCGGCAATGTCCACCTGACCGCCTCCTCTCCCGGCAGGCGGGCTCATCGGACAGCATTTCCCATTCCCAGCTCGCAGTCGGAGGTGCAAGCTGCCGCCCGCCGACGCTCGGCGCAAGGCGCAAGACAGGTGGCGCTCTCGAGGCGCAGCTGCGGCGTGCGAAGGCCGACGTCGGCGCCGGCGTGCGGCGTGCGGCAGCGCGGGCAAAACGCATCCCGCTCACCGACGCACCGCTGCCGTGCCTCCCGCCTCTGCCGCGCTGCGTTCTCCACGCCTCTCGGGCTGCCCGAAATACGGCGCCGGCAGGAGACAGCGGCAGCGGGAGCGTCGGCAGCGTCCTCCAGGCGCGACCTCCTCCATGCCTCGCCGGTCTCCCACACGCATCGACGCATCTGCGCATTGCCAGTGGCGGCACCCCGGCGCGCAGAAGAGGCATCTCGGCTGCCGGCCTGTCGCCACGACGCGTCGCGTGGTGTCGCTCTGCCAGCGAGGCAGCAGCCGCGCTGCTGTACCGAGCAGAGATGCACAGCTGTCATGCGCCAGTCGCACACGCATGAAGCCCCGTGCCAGCACGAGGAGGCGAGATGAGAGCCACGAGCGCTCAGAGTTGGTTGGGGCTACGACGACCCCTTGACAAGGCCATGGGAGCGTGGCAAATCCCACGGCGTGCGGCGACGCTGGGCGTGGGACCCTCGCTCGCTCGGCGGGACGCACCTCGGCCGCATTTGTGCATTCTGCTGCTGCGTCCCGAGCTGCACGAGGCATAGAAGTTGCCCTCAGCACGACTACAAAGCTGCGCAGAATCTGAATGCAGGAATGGCCGCGCACGCGCGTGGAACCGGGAGCCCCTGGCAGCGAAAGGCGCGCGGGCAAAGAAGGGGCTCGCAGCGGCGCCGTGGTGCTGCGGCCGAGCAGGTTTTGCCACACCTTCTCAGGCCGCAGTAGAAGCTGGAGTTGAATCAGCTTGGCGTGCTTGATACAACCCGACGGAGAATCACATTAGTGAGCGCTTCAATCGCGACTACGGCCAGCCGCGAGACTGCATTGATCGTGGGGCCCTTTTGAAAGCAATTCAGCTCCGTGCCACGCTCGTCTGAGCTCGAGCGTTGCTCCTTGCAGCTGATTAAGCAGAGACCCTCGGGTCAGCCGCAGCGCCGGCTTGGCCGAGGCGAGGACCCCAGGGTGAATAGGCAGCGTGCAGCGGGAATGCAGCTGCATGGAAGGGGGGACGAGGGCGCTGCCAACGTGCGCCGCTGCCGGCTCAAGGGGCACAGAACGCGCGCGAGCCCGAGCGTATTCGGCGCTGCGTTCTCGGAGCTGCGGTCCGACTGTGGCCCCTTGCTGATGGAAGCGGGGCCGACGCAGCTTGCATTTGCAGCTCACGCAGCTGCAGGAGAAGAAGCGGAGAGCACATCCGGGACGCGCACAGCCGGGCGGAGAGAGAGGAGGAAGGAGGGCCGTGCGAGAGCGGAGAAGGGCACCTGACCGAGCTCGTTCTGCACGCGCGCGCGCCGCTCCTTGCGCTCGCCGGCGCTCGCGACGCTTCCTTGCGCTCCTTGGCACTCCTCGCGGCATGCTGCGGCACGGGCTGTGGGGTCGGCCGTAACGAGACGCCGGCAGCGAGCATGGGCTGCGCTGCGCGGGCGGCATGCGGCGGCCGGCGAGCTTCGCCCGATGGGCCGCCGCCGCTTGCCGCAGCAGCACGCGGTCGCCTGCATCCTGGCAGGGCGCAGCCGATACCAACGGTCGAGCTGCAGCTTGCCACCCACATCGCTGATGCCGATGCTGCGCCTGGCACATGGACAGCGCATCGCAGCATCGCAGCCGCAGCCCGCCGCGCCGCAAGCGAGGCTCCTCGCATTCCGCGCTCGTGCAGCCGCAGCCGCAGCGAGGGCCAAGCCCAGCGTTGCGGCCGCAAGGCGCGGTCTGCGAAGGCTCGGGCGTCGCAGGCGTGGGACTCCCGACGGATGCGCGCTGCCCGAGGCGAGACGCAGGCGCGTGCCTCGCAGCTGCAGCGCTCTTCGCTCTCAGCCTTTGACTCCGGGTGCTGCCTCTCAGTCGTTGCCGCAGCAAGCACAACAAGCGGCCCTGGGTGTGGTCGGGGTCTGAGTCTTGTTTGTGACTCTAGCGGCAAGGCCGCAAGCAGGGCGTAGAGAAGCAAGGCTTGGTGCCGTGCCTGCAGCAGCTCGAGGTCCAACGGTCGGCTGAAGGCCCCACATGCGTCCGGAGACGGAGCAGCGAGGACGACGCAAGCGGAGCGTAGCATGCAGCCGCGAGCTGGCGCCCACCAGAACGCAGCAAGGATTCCAAGGAGGCTGAAGATTATCGGTGATGCGAGGAATAGGGTCGAGTGTATGTACAGCGTGCAGTCTCTCGACGGTGCAAGACTTCGGCAACAAGAGCGCCTGTCCGCACGGTCAAGTGTGTGCTGCCTTCGCAGTGGGAGCGAAGGGATGCGAGACACTTGATCGTGGCACCAGGGCGCTTGTCGCCGCTGAGGTTGCACCATCGAGGGACTGTACGGTGGCGAGCAGAGTGGAGAAGGGGGTGTAGTACAGGCGTGCGGCGACCGAGAGGCGTCCAGAAGCAGACGACGTGGCAGCAGAAGCTGCAGCGAAGTGTTCGTAGATGCTGCGCAGTGAGAGCGCAGTGCAGCGGGACACTTCGCCCGAGCCTCAACTCACGTCGCCTGCTGCTCAACCTATCGTCGGCGCATCGCACGCAGGGGTGAAGAGGGAGAGGAGGAGGTGTGTGTCCAGCGCGCAAGCCGCGCCGAGAGTCGAGGAAGTACACGCCGAGGGACGACTGTGCAGAAGACAAAGTCCACGCGCGCTTCGCAGTGGCAGCGAAGGGCTGCGAGCACTTCGGTCCCGACAGTCATCGCTGGACGTGCGCTTGATAGACTCGTCGACGGACCGTACGATGAAGAGGGGCAGAGGAAGAGGAGGAAGGAAGGGGGGGGGGGGGGATCCATATCGCGCGCGGGTCCTGTCGAAGAAGCGCTACGACGTCGACGTCGACGCCGAGAGGAGTAGAAGAAGAACCAAGTGTCGACAGCTGGCTTCGCAGAGCGGCGAAGAGCTGCAGGCCGTTGGTTCTCCATCTTCACTCTTTCGGCTTCGGACGACGTGGCCTTCGTCGGCGGACCGATGACGGAGAGGAGGGAGAAGGGAGGGGAGGGGAGGGAAGAGAAGTGTGTGCAGTCGTAGAGTCCTGCTCGAAGAGGCGAGAGAGCCGATGTCGAACAGGCGCTCTCCGTCACTCAAGTGCTTGCAGTAGCTCGCAATGAGCGAACGACGGCGAGCACTTGCGCTGCAGAGCGCCATTCGACACCGGCACCGCCACCGATCGAGCAGGAGTGACGACTGGCGGGAGAGAAGGGGATAGGCGGACTACCGCACCGGTCCCTGTCCGAATGCACTCGCGCTCTTCTCGTTGTACTGTCGTTGCTGCGGCGGTTGCGCCCCAGCAGCGTACGGGTTGCCGCCGCTCGATGACGACGAAGCGAAGCCGGCGCTGGAAGGCGATGCTTGTCCACTGGTGCTCGGCTTGCCATCGGCGTCGAGTTGCAGAATGACCTCGCGGCCATCGTCGGTGCGAGCGCGCACCATGGTGCCTTTTGCGACGTGCAGAAGGCACTTGCGACGGACGCCTGTGCGCATGGACATGATGAGCTCCTGGCGAGGGAGAGAAGGCAGAGAAGGCTGACTCACCGGAGACGTCCTTGTAGACCATGAAGATGCCCTTGCCGATGCTGCCCACCTGGCCCGAGACGACCTTGGCCTCCGTGCCGAAGCGGTGCTCGATGGCCTTGCCAGCCGAGTTGCCTCCGTCCGTCAGCTGGGCAAGGCATACATCAGCTGCTTGTCCCTCTCACACACCGCCCTGTGCTCGCTCACCAGACGTTCGGCGCTCTGCTCTGCGCCCTCGAGGACGATGTTGGCAGCGATGAGGCCGCGGTTGATCACGCCGCGCAGGCCCTTGGGCGGCGGACCGGGCGTGCCGTCGGCGCGCGGCTTGGCCTGAATGCCAGTGCGCTGTCCGATCGTGGCGCCCATACCTGAGGCGGCGGAGAGGACAGCCGTTGCTGAGGTGGTGATGCGTCAGTGCAAAGACAGCGGCGGTGCAGAGAGATCACGCACTGGTGCTGTGCGACAGCTTCACGGCCTTGCCGGTCCACTTGTGCGCTTGTCCAGCTGCGGCATGCGTGCTGTTCGGCGAGTCAGGTCAGCAACGGACGCAGACGAAGCGCGACACGCCTAGCACGCACTTCTTGCTGAAAGTCAGCGGCCGCTTGCCACTGCCAGTCGTCGCTGTCGACGCGATGGACGCAGCGTCCGAACCTCGCTTGCCATCGTCGATGTAGCCGCCGACGGGACTTGCGGAGCGTGACTTCTCGACTGGCGCAAGACGGGAGCGTCAGCGACCATTGCGATGCGCAGCCACCACACTCGTCACAGCGCACGACCACCTCTGCTACCGCCCTGCCATCCGCCCATGCGCTGCATCTTGGCTCAACAACTCACTGTAAGCATCTGCCGCGCTGTTCATCTTGGCGCCCAAGAACGTCGAGCCTTGAATGAGGCCTCTCGAGATGAACGAAGCGCCCTTGAGCAGCCAGTCGTCACTGTCCGCACCCGGCACCGGGCGCACTCCCACCTCCTTGTACTGCTTGCCCTGCTGCACAGCTGCGCTCTCGATCTCGCTCGGCTCCAGCTCCTCCAGATCGACGAGCACTGGGTCCTTCTCGTGCCCCTTTCGCCGCAGCGTCGGGTCCTCGCGGAAGGTGTAGCCGCCGTCGAGTGTGCCGAGCACAGCGCCAGACTCATCGATGAGCTCAATCTGACCCGCATCGCTGCGATCGTCCGACTGGAAGGCGCAGTATTGCGCCAGCGTGTTCTCGAATGCGGAGACGTTGGGGTCGGAGACGGGCACGAAGAGCTTGATGGAGGCGCCGGGCACGTCCGATGAAGGGAAGACGTAGGAAGATGAAGAGCGCTCGGGCTGCACTACTTGGGACGATTTGACGGGAAGAGCAAAGGCCGAGCCGATGGAGAGGACGAGCCAGACGTCGGTGCTGCGCAGAGCAGGTCGGTCAGCGCCGGAAGGCGGCTCGCACGCCACAAGCACTCACGTCGGATCAGGCTCGGCGCGCTTGGCGCTCATGCGCGGCGACTTCGCCGGGTCGGCCGTGTTGACTTGCACGATGAGCACCTGCAGCTGACCTGTTGCGCGCTTCGCATCAGCGTGCTGCGCAGCGAGCAGTGCCGTGGCGCGGGGCAGCACACAACGACTCACCGCTGGCCAGCTCATCCTGCTCGCCCTCATACATCTATCAGACGCAGCGATGGTCAGCGACAGTCGAGGCGCTAGCATGTGCTCGGCCGCGCTGCCTGCGGCGTCCATCCGCACGCGACCACACGCACCTGCACGGCGCGCACGCCGCCGAGCTCGAGGATGACGACGCCCTGCGGGCCCTCTGCGTTTGGAGGAGTGGTGCTCATGGCTGCTGAGCGGGTGTGGGCGGCGGTGTGTGTGGGTGGTGGTGGCGGGAGGAGAAGCTGCCAAGAGTGCGCAGCCGAAGCACCGGAGAGGGAGCAAGGCGGGCCCTGAGCGAGGCATCCGCTTTTGGCCCCTCCACGCTTCCGATGACGCGCAGCAGCCGCGCAGCCTGGGCACGGGAGCAGTGTCCTGGCTGCACCGCCTCACAAAGTCCCACGCTCGAGGGCTATTTTCGGACTCAGCGCCCGCACAGACCAGGCAGGACGAGCCGGCAAGACACGTGACTTGACTCGCCCTCTCCCTCCCGCCGCTCAGCCCATCTCTCGCCGCTATTCCCTCCTCTAACGCGCTGCGAAGACGGATGATGATGGGCTCATAATCCGCAGAACGTGTCGATTCGACCGTAAACTGCTTCGGCGCGCCGCTACTCGCAGTGCGGGATGGCACGAGAAGAGCGTGCGCGCCTTCTGCTGCAGTGTGCTTGGAGTGGCGGCTTTGCCGTGATCACATCTATCAAAGCCGACACGGAAAAGGGTGCTCCCCAGGGACACACCAACGGTCGAAGCAGATGTATCATTGTGGGAGCAGCGTGCCAGAGACAAGGCCAGCGATGAGGCCTTCGTCACCGGGGCAGAAGGGCAGGGTTGGCAGTGCAGCAGGCGCCAGCCAGCGCACCTCATCCGACGCCAGCGGCCTTGGCGCAGCATCGGGATCTTTGAGCGTAGTCCAGAAGAAGAGCAGCCGATAGTGCATCGTCTCGCCGTGCTCGTTGAGGCGTGGTTCGGCGTCGAAGCGCCACGCCTCGGCGCCCACGATGACATCCACGCCCAGCTCCTCGCGGCACTCGCGCGCCAGTGCCTCGGCGTGCGTCTCGCCAGCATCGGTCTTGCCGCCGGGGAACTCCCACAGCCCGGGAAAGGTGTGCGTCGAGAGCGGCCGCTACGAAAGACCGTCAGTGCTGGAGCGTGGAGATCGGGCCGCAGGTGCTCACCAGCGTGACGAGCACCTCAAAGGCGCCTGCTCCTGAGCTTGATGCAGGCCGGTGCAGCAGCGCACACACGACGTCCTGCTCGCGCACAGTGGCTGCTGCGCCTGGAGCTTCCGACATGGCCTGTGAGATGGTCTGCTTCGGCTACTTGGGCAAGGCAGGTCTCAGCTGCGAGCTGTTGGGCTGCGTTCTGCTGGAGCGAGGGCTGAGGCTGCTGGCTGCTGCGTGCTGGCTGGGACGACGTCACGAGCGCGTCGCGTCGCGCTGCACGCGCAGGTGGAGAAACACACTTCGGCTGCGGCGCAGGCGCAGGGCGCCGCGCGCACAGAGGCAGGCCGGCGGCACACGAGCAGTCGCGCGCATCGCCGCCGCGCGCCGCAAGCGTGGCCAGCTCGCCGCTCGCGAGTCTTGTCCGCCGTCCCTGCCCTCTTCCTCCCGCGCGACTTCCCGCTCTCTCGCTCGCCAGTCCCCACTCAGCACACACGGCACGAGGAGCACATCTCACGCACTCTCTCTCACACACACACCTCGCACACCGCACCGCTCGGACGGCCCCTCGCACCTTCACCCCGCAAGGGCGCGCTGTCTGCCCGAGCGTCGCGGCCCTCCAGCACCCGCCCACGTCGCCTCGCTGCGGCGGCGCTGACAGCTGCCGAGCGCATGTCGGCGCCGCAGCAGCAGCAGCAGCAGCCGCGGCGTACGCCGCTGGGTGTCAAGAATGTCCTGCCCAGCGGACATCCTGACGCCCTGGCGCGCGACGGCCAGCCGCGCGGCGAGGCGCTCGAGCCGCACAAGGGGCGCCCGCTCGTGCCGGCTGGCTCGGGCACCGGTGCCAATGTGCCTCTCTCGGCGTCGCTGAGCGCCTCGCGCTCGCAGCAGCAGCAGCCTCTGCGTCCGCCTCCGCGCTCGGTGGCGCGCCTGCCGACGCACGCGACGCCCAGCGCCGTAGCGCCGGGCGCGTCGGCCTCGCGGCTGCGTCCCAGTGCGACGGCGATGCTGGCCGTGCAGCCCATCTCCTCGGTGCTGACGCCCAAGAAGCGTGCCGTGCCGCAGGAGGAGGTGCACTGCCGCAACATCGTGCAGGGCGACGCCGACGCCGACGAGCGCAGCGAGAGTCCGTCGAAACGCAGCCGCTCCTCCAACACGAGCAGCAGCACGCGCAGCGGCGCTGCCACGGCCGAGGAGCAGGCGGTGGTGGCTACGGCGCATCCGAGCATGGCGACGAGCACGGGCGTGTCGGCGACGTTTGCCGAGATCCACATGCGCGAGAGCAGCCGCAGCGTCGGCATGGCGTCGGGCCGCACCGTTTCGACAGCGACCGCCAGCAACTCGCGCGGCCTCTCTGCACTGGCAACACCGTCGGCCCAGCGCGGCGCAGTGGAGCAAAGCCAGAACCCGCATCCGCGTCCGACGACGACACGCATCGACAAGCACTCGCGCATGTCCGAGGCCGAGCGGGCCGCGCGCGAACGCTCGAAGAAGGAGGCCAACGACGAGTGGCGCCGCCGCTATCTCAAGGCCTTTCCCTCATTCGTCTTTCACTTTGACGCGCTCGACGTCAACACCAAGGAGGCGGCAAAGTACAGCATCGAGAGACTCGGCGGTGTGAGTCTTAGTGCTGCTCGCGGTGTATTTGGGCGAAGCGCATGGCGGCCATGACGCGCTCTGCTCTCTCTCTATCTCGGGCCACTTTGCTCACGCATTCTAAATCCGCAGCGAGTCGAGCCATTCTTCTCGCGCTCAGTGACGCATCTTGTCACGTCGCGCAAGGTTCCTTCGCAGCCGCTGGCGCCGGCGCCGGCGCCCGAGGTCAGCCCGCAGAAGCACGGCGCCGTGGGCACGGCGGTGCGCGGAGCACTCCGGCTCCCGGCCAAGCTTCGCTCGCCCGTCAAGAGCAGCCGCAGCAAGAAGAGGTGGGTGAAGGATGCGCCAGCGAGCACAGCAGCAGCTGACAGCTATCGTCTAGTCAACCTCTGCACTCGGACCGCAACCCTTTCGAAGACACTGGGCCGCCGACCGCGTCCAACGACATTCTCGTCAAGGCGCAGGGCTTCGGCATGAAGATCTGGCCGTGTGAAAGTGAGCGGGCCGTGCCGCGCTGTCGGTGGCCCCTACTCACCACCATCCCGCAGAGTTCAACACCATGATGGCCAGCCTGCTGGGCGACGGCTACGTCGGCACGGTGGCGGCCGAGCCGAGCCGGCAGAACCTGTCGCAGATGCTCAAGCAGGAGCGTCTGCACGGCACGGCCGAGGCGGCGACGCGCGGCGACTACCACTACTTTGCGAAGCAGAACTGCTACATCCTCGTCGAGGATGCCACGGGCGAGCACCGCGCCATCATTGCGCAGGAGTACAAGCGCCCGAAAGACCCCAACTCAGACCCGCCGTGGCCCAAGCTGCACGGCGAGATCGAGGGCCGCTGCCCCTTCACCCGGCAGAAGCTCGAGGTCGACGAGTCCGCGGGCACCTACAAGGACCACGCCAAGGGCAATCGCCTGCAGACGATGCGCCGCTCGGTGTCGATGGGCCAGGTGGGCCGCCACCCGAGTGCGAGCTCGCGCGGCAGCGCCTCGCCGCAGCCTGGTCCATCGACGCACGCAGCGCAGGTGCGCGGCGCATCGCCGTATCCCATGGCCTCGGGCAACAGCATGGCCATCACGTCCAACATCAACTCAATGTCGACGGCCATCGGCAGCCAGGGCTTCGGCGGCGGCGCCATGGCGTCGTTTGACAAGCGTGTGGCGCAGCTCGGCCGTCGTGTGTTGGTTCCCGGCTCGATGCTTGGCGCCAGTCCGCTCGGCACATCTGCCAGCGGCGGCCCGGCCGGATCGAGCACGCTGCCGTCGCCCACCATGGCCCAAGATCCTGCAGGCGCTACCGAGCACGGCGCCACAGTGCGCCGCATGCTTGGTCTGACGGACCAGCGCGGGCCCATGCGCCGCTCCGTCAGCACCGTGTCGGCGGGCAAGGAGATGCGCCGCAGCAAGCCCGAGGAGAAGATCGAGAAGCCGGGCTACTGCGAGAACTGCCGCGTGAAGTACGAAGACTTCGAGCTCGTGAGTGGCTCGAGACCAGATCGTGCGGCCCAGGCTGACCATGCTCCCACAGCACATCATGCAGCGCCGTCACCGCAAGTTTGCTGCGGACCCCGGCAACTTCGTCGACCTCGACGAGCTGCTGGCGCGCGTGCAGCGCGTGCGCTGGTCGACGTCCGACTACGACGACGAGGGCGACGAGCAGCAGCTCTCGCCCATGCACGACTTGCCCAATGCGCCCGGCAGCTGGCAGCAGTATGGCGAGGAGGACTACGCGTTCGGCTTCGAGGCCGGCCAGCTGCCCGAAGGCGCCGAGTACACCGATGAGCAGTTCTACGCCGAGTACCTCGATGCCTCGGCCGGCACCACCGACGAGGGCCACACGAGCCCGCAGACCAGCCCGGACGCCGAGCGCACGCACTTCGACGCCAAGGCTCGGCGTGCGGGCCACGAGCGCGGCCATGCGCACGCACAGGCCTACGGCAACGCTGCCGGCGGCTGGACGGGCAATGCCTACTGAGCCGTCTGCTCTGCACCAGCATCCGGCCGAGGGCGACGTCGGCGTTCCACCCGCACGGAGCGTCGAGTACCCGTCGTCCGTTCGAGCGCTACCGCATCGGACGTCGCAGGCCAGAGCGCTGCCACACGCTCTCTCCTGCCTCGTCCCTCTTGCGCTTGACGGCCCACATCTCTCCCACTACTATTGGCGGCGACACCCCGCGCCCATTCCGCGCGCTTCTGAGCTCCGGCTCTCATCACGACGAGCAACCCACCACCTCCTCAGCACCTCTCACACGCACACAACCCCAACACCTCATGTTCCCGACGCGACCTGCATTCTCTCACGTATTCACGCACGGCCCTTCATCGTTACCACGCATCTGTAACCTCACCTCCAGCAAGGCATATTCACCGCGAGCGCATGCGAGAGAAGGGAGCCAGAAGATGTCTTTTGAGCACAGGCCGAAGGGCTGCGCAAGGTAAAGTACAGCGGGCGATGCCGGTGAGGGGAGTGGGAAGGCGGGGCATGCTGGGATGGGAGTGTGGAGGAGCGAAGCAGCGGGAGGACGTGCTCAGTGGACCATGCCGGGCAGAGCGTTGCCGACCGCGCGGCCACGACCCCGTCCACGACCACGGCCACCGGCACCGCCGCCCCGCCGGCCTTCCCTCCGGCCGCCGGGGCCGTCGCCGCGCTCGCCACGCTCGCCGCGCTCGCCGCCCGTGACCTTCTCGCCGAGCTTGGTGTCGAGGAGCCGCTCGTTCTGCAGCAGCATCGTCTCGCTCCGCTCGGCGAGCGTCTGCGCCAGCTGCTGCACCTTGGAGAGCTCGAGGCGGTGCAGCACAACGACGCCGTTCAGCGGGTCGAGCGATGCGGCCAGCTCCTCGTTCCAGATCATCTTGCTGACGATGCCGCGCACCGACCGCTCGGTGAGCTCAAAGGTGGCGGCGAGGTGCGCCAGGCTGACGGTGCTGTAGTACGACGAGTAGGAGAAGAGGTAGGTGCGCAGGCCCTCCTCCTGGATGCGGCGCGCCAGCATCTGCTTGACGTCGTCGGCGCCGGGCAGCAGCGACCAGATCTTGATCTCGGCCACGAGCTCCGTGCAGCCCTGCCAGTCGCCGTTCTGCAGCGCCTTGGACGCCTGCATGACGTGGTCGCGCGTGCTCTCCGGCGGGCCCGAGAAGACCTGGCGGTCCGTGTAGTCGAGCATGCGGCGGAAGGGACGCGAAATGATCTTCTTGCGCAGCTCCGGGTCCGAGCCGGCGAAGGCCATGTTCGGCACCTCGAGCAGCATCGACGAGACGAGGTAGATGCACTCGAGCAGCTCGAGGTTGATGTGCAGGTGGAACGGCAGCTGGCGCTGGCGGTCGAGCTTCTCCTGCTCGGGCGTGATCGTCGAGTACTGGTTCTGGCGCTGGATGCCCTGCGCGAGCAGCTCCTTGACGCGGCCCGTGGCAAAGATCTCCTGCAGCGCGCTCTGCGACTCGCGGATGAGGCCGAGGCGGAAGGCGCACATGCCGAGCTGCACGACGACGCGGTTGTAGAGGATCTGCGTGGCGGCGTCGGCGAGGCCGATGTTGTCCTGCAGGTGGCTCATGAGGAACATGTCGCGCGCGATGTGGTAGTCGCGGTGCAGGGCGTGGTGGTAGGTGTGGCACAGCATGGCACGCGTGCGCAGCCGCTCGGCGGCCAGGCCGGGCATCTTGTACAGGTGCACGGCGAGCGCACGCACGAGCGCCGTCGGGCCGCGCGCCTCGGCGATGGCCTCGTTGCTCGGCGCCAGCTGCGACTTGAGGTCCGCCTGCGCCTTGACGCGCGACGCCTCGAGGGCGTGCACGATGACATCCTGCTTCGAGTACACGTGCTCGAGGCGGCGCATCACGACGCGGCTCAGCGAGTCGGCCTGGTTGATCGTCTCGAAGTAGCACTGCGCGCGGACGATGGTCTGGTACAGCGTCTTCTCGTCGACGAGGCGGTCGACGTAGTCGGTCGTGTGCGGGTCGATGTTCTGCAGGCTCTTGGTGAACTCGTCGTCGAGGCGGTCGATGAAGCTGATGACGCTGCCGCGCACGGCAACGACCGGGCCCTCGCCATCCTGGTTCGGCAGACGATCGATCGAGTCGTCGTAGTCGTCCGTCTCCTCCTCGACCGAGTAGGTGCGGTCCTGCGCGAGGATCTCGAGCAGCTGGTCGACCTCCTTGCGCGCCGCGTTCCACATCTCCGGCGGCATGTAGGCCGCCGTCGAGGCGTTGTAGTCGAAACGCGCGGCGATCAGGGCAAGCAGCACGCGGATCTTCTGGTACGTCGACTCGGCCACGCCGAGCAGCTTGCTCAGGATGAGCACCTGCTCGTTGCGGTCCGTGCTCTTGCGACCGCGCGCCTCCATGACGGCAGCAAGGTGCTTGAAGAGGCCCTCGCTGGTGAACGCCATGGCGCGGCCGCCGCGGCCGACCGTCTGGAAGTCATCGTCGCCCTCGCCCTCGGCAGCGCCCGCCTCGAGGTCGGCAGCAGCAAGCTTCTTCTTGCGCTTGCCAGCCGCAATGACGGCAGCACTCTCGGGCGCCGGCGCAGAGGCCGCGTTGGCCTCGGCCTCGAACGCATCAGGGTCCTGGTCAAGACGATGGATCAGCACGGCAGCCCGGACCTGCGAAGTGCGGCAGCCTGCGCAGGGTCCTCCCCCTCTTGCACCCCACTCCACACGCAGCACACGCAACTCACCTTGCGGAAGGCCTGCACCTGCGCGTCGTTCTCGGCGAGCGACTTCTTGATCTTCTGCTTCATGCCGTTCATGGCCTTGGCGTTGGGCGCCTTCATCTTCTTGCTCGCGCTCTTCTCCTTGGCGATCGAGGCGTTGATGAAGTCCTCGAGGCCGGCGAGGCAGCGGATGAACGCAGCCGGGATGGGCTCGTTGACGTTGCGCTGGCGCTCCGTCATGCGGATCAGGCCCTCGTACTCTGCGCATCGCAGTGTGAGCATGTAGACGGACAGCGAGGGCCGAAGAGACATAATGCTGTGCGGCTCGTCTCGAAGCCCGCAGCAGCAGCGAAGCCTGGCGCCACGCAGCCGGGCCGGCACCATCATCTCCCTCTCCGTGCCGACCCTGCAGCGCCGTGCAGCGATGGATCTCAAAAGTGACGCATCAACTCACCCTTGGAGATGGCCACCCAGTCGTCGATGCGCTGCGCATTCTCAATCTTCTTCATCACCGCCTTCATCTCGTCGACGCGCTTGTCCTTGGCCGACTTGATGACCTTCTTGACATCCTCCTCGCTGTCGCTGTCGCTGTCGCCGCCGCCGCGCAGGAAGCGCGAGGCGCGCGGCTTGGCGGCGCCGTCCTTGGGCTTCTCGTCGTCCGAGTCGTCGTCGTCGCTGGCGTCCGAGTCCGAGGCATCGGAGTCGGAGCCCTTGGCGCCCTTGGTCTTGGGCTGCTCGTCCTCGCTGCCGGACTCGGACATGAGCTCCTCGTCGTCCGACTCGGAGTCGGACGCATTGCGGAAGAAGCGGCTCGACATGATGGGCGTCAGTCGTGGGGCGCTTCTGAGGTGGTGGCGTGCGGGAGGGCCGTGCTAGGGGGTTGAGCTAGCTGGCCGTGGGATGGTGTGCGAGAGCAGGCGACTGGAAGGACTGGGCGGCGGCGCGCAGCGGATCGCGCCGCGCGAAAAGGCGTCTCGACCACGTGGCAAGCCAAGCGTGGGAACAGCGCGCGCCTTGTTCGCGCTCGCGAGGACGCGGAAGCGGTGCCCCCCTTCCTCTGCCGGCCACAACGCCGCCGGTACGGACTGGACAGGACAGCTGCCAAATTAACCAGGCTCTGGGTCGCTGCACTCGCCGGTCAGCCGCATTGCCCAACTTGGCATCCGTACCCGTTCGGTCGATGCAGAGAAATGCATTCGTCGAGGCACAGCACAAGTGGAGGGATGAAGTGGGGCATAGAGGTATGTATGCGAGCAGAGAAGCACAGTGGGAGGTGGGGGCAGAGAGGTGATCGAGTAGGATCGCAGGATAGGGATGAGAGACTGGCAGAGCAGAGGTGGGGAACCGGAAAGGCGGTGCGGCTACATGTAGCGGCCGGGATAGCGGCCGCCCGTAGCTGCGGGATGCTCGAGCTCGCCGGGCGGCGGGCCCGGCCCGTGGTGCATCGGCGGGCGTGCCACATGTCCTGGCGGCATGGGCGGCGGCGGCCGGGCGAGTGGCATCTCGTCGCTGCGGCGGCGGCCCATGTCGGGCTCGTGCGGCGGGCCGGGGTACGAGCGACGGCCAGCCGACTCGGCGCCGCGAGGCATGCCAGTGAGAGGTGCCTGCGGCGGCTCACTCTTGCCCGGCTGGAACATGCGCTCGTTGACGGAGCGCAGCTGTGCCTCGAGGTGCTCGACGTGGCGCACCAGGCCGGCCTCGGTCTGCTGCGACTGGTACAGCTGCTCGGAGACGCTGCGCAGCTGCGTCTCGAGGTAGTTGGCGTGCCGGATGATGGCGTCGACGCGGTCGGACAGATCGTCCACACGGGCTACTGTCTCCTCGGCACCCTGCGGACCGGCATGGCCAGGAAGGGAGCGCGGCAGCTGCTGGTGCGCAGGCGGCGGCGGCGGGCCGCGCTGCTCCTGCGGGTAGCCCGGCTGCGCCTCGTAGCGGCCCGCGGATCGGTTGTCGTACAGGCCGTGCTGCTGCACGCCCGGCGGAGCGAGGGACGATGTGCGTGCATAGTCGAGCGATTCGCGACTGTCGCGGTGCAGCGGCAGCTGGTGCATGCCGGGCGGCGACATCGGGCGGTGGCGCCCAGCCTCGCCGACCACGCCGCTCGCAGCGCCGCCGTAGACGGACGTGTGCGGGTGCGTGCGCGGCGACGAGCCGTCGCTGCCGATGCTGCGAGGGTGGTGGCCCTCGAGGTCCATGGCGCCGACCATGCCGATGCCCGCCGGGTGCGGGCCCTGGCTGTCGCTGCGCTTGTGGCGCGACGACTTGCGCTTGATGTCGGCCAGCGCATGGATGTCGCCGCGGCGGAAGCTGGCGTGCTTGAACTCCCAGATCTGCACCTCGTCGGCCGGGTTGCCCTGGTACGTGTGGTTGACCTTGTGGAAGCCGTACATGTTGAGCTGCCGCACGAACGACTGCCAGTTCGAGTGCTTGAACCACTGCGGCAGCACGAGGCGCGAGAACTCGGCCGGGTTCGCCACGCTGAACGCCGTGCCGTCGGGGCCCCACTGGATGAGATCCTCAATGGAGCGGTCCTCGAGCATCGAGTAGAGCTTGCTGACGAAGCTCGGCTGCTGCTTGCTGCCCGGCCCGCCGCCCGAGCCGGGCAGCCCGACGAGCGACGGGTGGATGGGCGGGTAGCCCGGCGTGTACGACGAGTGCTGCGACTGGCTCGGGCTCGGGTGGCGCACGCTCGGCGGACTGCCAGACGGCAGCGGCGACGCGCCGCGCATGAGCATCGACGGTGCTCGCGGCGCACCGCCCATGAGACTCGCCGGCGGCGCACCGTAGGGCTGCGAGGCATGGTGGTACCGCTGCTCCTGCACCGGCTCGCCGCGCTCGCGCGACTGCTGCAGCGAGGCGAAGCCAGGCAGACGCGGCGACGGCGAGAGGCGTTGCCGTGCGCTGTGGTGGCCCGACTGCGGATACGGCTGCTGGTACGACGGCGGAGCGTACGGCGCATCGGGCGCAGCCATGCCGCCAAACGACGACAGCGGCGGCAGCGCACGCGCCTCTCGGCTGGGTTCGCCGCCTCGGTTGCCAAAGTGCCGTGCCTCTTCGCCAGCACCGCCGGCGCTCTCTCGTCCGGAGCGCTCGCGGCTCCACGTGTAGTTCGACTCTCTGTCTTCCTCTGCCTTGATCCGCGACGTGGCAGAGGCGGACTTCAGCGCGTCGTCGGGCCGCGGAACGGTGTCGGGACTGGCGTCGGTGTCGTTGGACTGAGGCCGGCCGGGCGAGGCTGGTCGCTGCGCCATGGCAGCAAGAGGGCCGCGGCCGGAGCGCACATCCTTCGGCGGCGTCCAGTCGTCGCTCGGACCGCCCATCTCTGCGAGACGCGGGATCTTGGCGCGGTTTGAGCCGGGACGCGAAGGCGACTGCCATGACGGACCGTCGCGAGTGTGTGCTCTGGCGCTGGGGCTGCCTTCGCGGCCCTCGTCGTCCTGTCCGGCCTCGTGGTGAGACATGCCAGCTCGGGAACGGCGTCCTTGCTGGTCGTGCTGCTGGCCGCGCTCGTCACGAGACGGAGACGGCGAGCGGCTTGACCGTTGCCGCTTGTGGCCGACGGTGCTCGACGACGAGCTGGCCGGCCGGCCATAGTGCCAGTCGGCGGCAGAGGAACGCTGCTCAGCGGCGTCGGCGGACGTAGCGGCATTGCTTGCGGTAGACGACTCGGCGAGGCTGCCTGGCCGTCCGCCGCCGCTGCTGTAGCCGGCTGTCATCCCTCCGATAGGTTCCCGCCGCTGGACTGCCGCCGTGGCCATGCGGTGTGGGGAGAGAGGCGCCGAGGAAAGATGCGGTCGCGAGAGTCAGGGAGAGATTGCGCGTCCGCCTGCGGTACACGCGAGTTGGTGGGAGAGCTGGAGGACGGCGCCCGCAGCGGTCAGCATACGAGATGGGCACAAGCGCGAGAAGAGCTCTTGGCCGAGCACGGCCGGCACGCTGCGCCGCTGCAAAGAAAGCGGTGCTCTGCCGCAGAGCAGAGCCGGCCGGCCGGTCCTCTGCCGGCCTTCCGCAGTTCCGCTGCGGCCACCGCTTCCATCAGGGCCACTCAAGTTGAGTGTCCGCCTAGATGGACGCCACAGGGGCAAGCCGTGTATCCGTGCACCCAAAGTGCGACTCGCAAAAGCGGAGCCGAGCGGCGGCGCACGGCAATGTACGCCGCAAAGTGGCTGCTGGAACAGAGAAGCCGAGCGGCGCGCCTCGCCGGCCGCGAGTGTGCACGCTCAAGGCCCTGCTCGGACGCCGTGCTTGGCAGAACGTGCAGGGGCAAGAGCGAAGCGAGCGGCTTCTGCGGCACGCTGCGTGCGTGCCCGGTGTCCGATCGATGACGAGCAGAGCGCCGCCGCCGTCGCCCAGAGTGCCCAAGCCACGGGCGTGCCAGGGGCGCGAGGGGCACAGGCCGGCTCCGGCACACTCACGCTGCGGTCCGGTCGAGCAAGCCCGGCACAAGAGGCGACAGGGGGCCGAGGGCGTAAGGGCGCTGGGAGCTGCAGAAGCCGCACGGCGGCGGTGAGGATGGTGGTGAGGAGAGCGGCAGGGGCCGACGGGCGGCAGAAGCGGAGGCGAGAGAGGGGCAGAGGGGCGGCCGCGTGCCGCACGCGAGGGCGCTATAGCTTTATGTCGCCGCACCTGCGCAGCGGGGAGACGCTCTCGGCGTTGCAGCAGCACCACCACCGCCAGCCAGCACCACCTCTCGCTCGCGCTCCCGTGCTGCCCGCACGTCACTCCACGCCCCGTCGGCAGCGGCGCCGCTCCGCCGCCGCAGCCGCAGCCGGCGCACGCGAGCGCAACAGCAAGGGTCTGCAGCGGGCGCACCACCAACCCTCGCGGAGCGCTCTCGGCTGCGGCGTCCGGGCGCCTCAGTCCGCTGGGCTGGGACCTGCCGCTCTGCACCTGCACGGGCAGCATGCTGCTGTGCGCCGGCGACACGGCTGAGTTGCCCGCGCCTGCACGCCAAGTCGGACCGCGGGCGGCGGCCCATGTGCGAGGACAGAGCGTCGGGTGCTGCTCCGCTGCGTCTGCGGCGGCGCTGTGTTGCGGTGGAACCTGCGGCGGTGCGAGGCGAGTCTTCTCGAGCGCAGCGAGCCCCTCGCTCACACAGCGCAGCGCAGCGGCGCTAACATTTTGACAGGCGCCGCCGACAGCGCCGGCCCATCGGGAGAGGCGCCGTGCAGCCTGCAGCGCGGCGCAACCACGCTGCAGCTGCCGCCGCTGGGAGCCGGCATCAGCATGCAGCGTGCAGATGCAGCGCAGCGGCAGCGAGCGAGGAGGGCGAGCGGCACACGTCATGCAGCGCAGCCACCGCGCCGGTGCCGCTGCAAACGGGATTTAAAGCTGCGGGCGCCGACGACGACGACGACGACGAGATGGCTCGGCATGCAATGCGGCCGCCGCTGTGATGCGCAGGGCAGCACCGGCAGCAGAGGTGCAGAGTGCAAGATGCAGCATGCAGCGTCAGCAGGGAGCGCCAGCACCAGAGGTGCAGCGGGCAGCATCGCAGGAGGGGCCCTCGTCCAGCGACGCGCGCGCGTGCCAAGCGCCGTCAAAGAGGCACGCAGATCGATGCAGCCGCACCCAAGCAGCCGCATTACGGCGAAGGCTTGAAGCTTCGGACTCCAGCGTGCAGCGCCGCTGCGTCGTCGGCGCCGGGCCGCGGGAGATCAAGAGCGTCTGGCCGCGTCGTCCGCTCCCATTCCCAGCAGGCCACGGTGCAAGGAGAAGCTCACGCGGCACCGACGGCGCACGTCATCGCTCCGCAGACCAGCCCCGCCCGCGGCGCTCCTTGTCCTCGCTGCCAAGGAACACTGAGCATGCCGGATGGGCAGCTCCGTCGAGCGCCGCCTGTCCCGCTTCAAATTCAGTGACGTGTGTGCCTGTGTGTGAGGTGAGTTCGCCGGCTCGTGCTTGCACCCACGCAGCGCCCGCATCCGATCTGACTCAGGCGGCGCGCTCACGATGCTTCGCCGCGCCTCGCAGAGCAAGGAGGAGCGTCCAAGCCGTGCTCGATCAGATACCGGGGAGCGCAGCAGCCGCCGCCAGCAGCGCAGGCGCCGCGGGGAACACGCCGGCGCGGGAGATCCAGCGAGCGCAGCCTTGCTCCTCGTCCAGTTCCCGGCGCGGGTGCATTGCACCAGGCGTTGCTCCCTGGCGCCTTCGCAAGCGGCGCCTTCTCATCGGAAATGCGAAAGGGCCGCAGGCGCAGAGAAGCCCGCATGCCGCAGCCGAGACGAGGCGGAAGGGTCTTCTCTGACGCAGATGCAGCGCTTCCACGGCCCGCTTCCGCCCTTGCTCGGCGCCGCCATGTCCGCGGACGCAGCGGTGTGAGATCCACGCTCCTCGCCTGCGCTGCACCTCTGCACGGGCACACCGCATGCTGCGCTCTCTGCGCAACTCGCTGCACCTCGTGCAGTGCAGACGGCCGCGAATTGCTCTCGGCAGCGCGCCGGCCCGACGGTGTGGTGACGAGGGGTGCCACCAAGCTGCACTTCGCATGCCTGCGTTGCCGCGGCCCCCTCCGGTGCCGGCGCTGCACCGCCACGCCTGCGTTGGAGCTGACGGCGCTTCGTTGGCCCTCTCTCCCCGGCGCGCCGAAGCATGTGAGCCCGCCGCGCGCATCAGCATCTGCGTGGCAGGATGGCAGCTGCAGCGTGCTGGATCAAGAGAAGGCGCACACGCAGACAGAGGTGCGCTGCCGCTGCACCTGCTCGTGCCGTGCCAGGGCCGTCGCCCCGACGGCTGCGCAGGCCCATAGAAGCACCGCTCGGCTGCCCACCCGCTGGCGTGCAGCGGCATTTCCACAGCCGCATGAGAGGCGACGCAGCGAGTCCTTGAGGCACCCCAGCACAGGCCGCGGGAACGGCCGCCGCACTCGGTGCCGCACTCCGCAGGCGCACCGCAGCAGCGCCGCCTCACGGGGCCGCACTCCTCGCCGCGACGAGCAGGCGGCACGTCGAATGCCGCAGACGTCCGCCGTGACGTGCTCGTCTGGCCTGCCGCGCCGCACAGGCCGCCGAGCTTGGTCCGGCTCACACGCAGCATGAAAGGCACGGACGACATCGAGCAACTCAGACGCCGCAGCGATGCAGCGGGATGGGCCGCACGGCCGCCTCCGCCCCGAAAAGGCTGGGCGTTGCGCGGGCGGCGGCATGGCAGGTGTGCGAGCTGCTGCGTCTCTGCGTCCATCGTCCCGTCGCGTGCCCGCGCCGCCGTCGACGCAGCCGCCGCTGGCTTTGAATCTGACGCGGGTCGCCGCTGAAAACGCAGCCGCAGCTCCGCCAGCGTGGCGCAGGCTTGGTACCTTCCTGCACCTGCTTCTTGTTCGGCCCAGCAGCCCGCGGCGTGCATGCGCACCGATGAGGAGTGTTGGACCTCTGCCGCGGCACGAAAGCAAAAGCTCCCCCGAGCCGTGCGAGAAGCAGCGGCGGCAGTCGCGGCAGCCACCCCCCGTTCTTGCTCGACACGCGCAGACGGCCATCGCTCGCGGCCCGACTTTCATCCTGACTCTTGATCTACGGCGTGCCAGGCCTTTCGGGCTCCCAGCGGGGAGAGATTGCCGACGACGCGGCCGCCTCGACGCGCGTCTGCTCTTCGTTGTTGCGCGTTTCGCAGCAAACCGCCTTCCTCCATCGGCTGCATCAATGCGGAGCAAGGTGCATGCATAGCTAGCCTTAGTCCATGGCACGCAGTCCCGGGGCTTCTGCCATGCGTGCTCGACGGGAACAAGAGCGTTCGTGGCTGCGGCCGGCGACTTGGTCTCCTTGGTGTGCTGTCGCGTTCCCATCCCCCCTGGCCAACCCCGGAAAAGCTCCTGCATTCTGCGACTGCATGCGTGCGTGCCTAAGCACTGCATAGCGCCGGCCGAGGCTGCGCTAAGGACCGTATCGAAGCAGCGCAGAGGGCGACAAGGTCCTCGTTGCCAGCGCAGGGGCCCTTCTTTTCGTTTTCCTCCCGCTTTGTCGCCGACGCGAAAGGAGCTTGAGCTGTGCTTCTCGACGCGCATCCAAGGACCCGGCGCCTGATGCATGAAGCGTCTGCTCGCCGCAGGAATGGCGCCTCCCCGGCAAATGCGAGCCGCAGTCCGCAGGGCGCCTGGCACCTCTTCGCCTCGTTCTCTCTTGTTCTCGATTTCCATCTCGTCAGCGAGCAGTACGCGCGCGGCTCCGACAGAGACTCACAGCAGATGCGCAGCGCAGCCTCGTCGGCCTCGTCGCCTGGTCGGCATGCAGCCTAGTCGACCCCTCCCGACGGAAGCGGTCGTGCAGGGGGGTAGGCGCACGCAGCATATGCCCGGCCGCGTGTGTGCGCTAGACGCATGCTGCCGCTGCACCCTGAGCGCTGACGCTGCCGCTCTGGCGACGCGCCAGCGCCGCAAGCCCACGGGCCAACGATAGACGCGCCGCATCGTTCTTTGGCGCCTGCATGCCGCGTCCTGCATCTGCTCTTGCATGTGAACCCGAGGCGCTCGACGGCGACGAGGCGCTGACTCGGACGCCGGTGCAGGCGCTGATCCTGATGCTGCCGCCGCGGCCCAATGACGGGTGCCGACGGCTGCGGCTGGCCATCGCCGGCCGAAATAAGCCAGCCAGCGCACGCCGGGCCAAGGGCCGCGGGCCAAGCGGGCCAGAGGCTTCGTTCCCATGGCTGCTGCAGGTGTCGTGCCGCTCTGTGGATCAATCGACGGCCTGCCGGAGCTTTTCCGGACTTGAAGGAGCTCCGGAGGCTTGAGAGTCGTCTCGCCCGCCCCTCCGCCCAGGATGCTGGTCATGCTGGCTCGTCAGCTGACGAGCTTTACCTGCGAGTCAGGTACACCAACTTTGCACTCCGCACACGCCACGCATGAACACATGCGCTGCCGCAGCGTCAGCGTTGAGAGGACAAGGGCACCGTCGAGCGTGCAACTCTCCGCTCCCCGACCCCTGCTGCGGAGTCGAGCGCAATTCGCATTTCGGTGACAAGTCGGTGGGGCTCTTGCGACAACAAGACGGGCGGGTGCAGCTTCTCGCTGCGAGTTGCGTTCTGACCCGCCCCGGTCTCGTGCAGTCAAAATCGAGCCTGGAGGACTGAGAGGACTGCGACGTACGCTCTGATTGCTGTCCGTGGCGCATCCTGATTGCCGCGGCTAGGTGGACAGGTCGAATGCGGAGAAGGACTGCACGCTTCCGACGGCTCCGAGGGGCCCGCCTCGAAGCAGTTGCTCATCTCGACGCCGATGCAGACGGATCTTGGCGCTGCGGAGAAGCCAGAGCAGCCTCGAGTAAGCCAGCTCTGGCCGCGCAATGAAGGCAACGCCTGTGGATGCGTGGCCGTCTGGACTCGCGGTCTCGTCCGCGAGAGCACGTCAACGCCAGGAGTCGGCCCGGCTCGCACGTGTGGGGTGCGGGACTGTCCGAGCCCTTGACGGGCGCTCCTGGCATGGGAGCGAGAGTGATTGCAGATGCGTCGTCGGTCTTCGCGGAGAATGCTTAGCGTCACCGACGCCGAGGCCAACCTGTGGTACGCGCCGAGAGCGCAGTCGAGGCGGACCTGGCGGCGTGCGGTGCATGCCTGTCTCGAGGGCGCGGAGTGGCAGCAGAGCAGGTGCTTGGCACGGAGTGGCCTCGCTGACAGCATGACATGAGCCAGCCAACGGCCTCGCTTCTGCTTCCCGTCGGCTTGCCGCGCCTTGGGGTGCTCTTGGCCGCTCATGCACGCTTCCCGACGGCTGCTGCATCTGGAGCGGCGCTCGGACTCAACTTGCTGACCACGCGCAGGCATGCGCCGGTGCCGCGCTGCAGCGGGTCAGTCGTCCGCCAAGCGTCAGCAAGAAGATCTCCGCGTTGATGTAGCGGCGAAGTCATGTTGCACGACTGAGGAGCAGGGAGCGAGGTGGTGGAGAGCGGCAGGGCCAGATCCGAGCAGCTGTGGACCCTGGGGTGGAGGTGCTGCGCGCCGAACATTCTAGACTTCAAGCTGCTCCCGCGATCACGTGCGGTGCTTCCAAAAAGTTGTCTGGGCTGCGAAGGACGCCCCTGCATCGACGTCTCCCTCCACTGCCTCAACCCACCGCCTCGCCTCTCCTATACCTGCGCACATGGCCGCCGCAGTCGCCACGCCGGCGCTCAAGACGCACTATCGGCGGCGGCGCACGCTGCAGCCGTTCTACAGCGGCGGCAGCGTCGCGCTCACGTCCGACGGCCGCTGGCTCGTCTCGACGCTCGACCAGGAGGCTGTGATCACTGATGTGCAGACGGGCCGCGTGGCCGCCACCATCCCGAGCGTGAGTCGAAAGCAGCGTGCCGCGTGTCAGTCCGTGCTGACCGGACGCTCCCGCAGGACACCGAGGATGTTACCTCGCTCGCCCTCACGCCATCGGACACGCACGTCATCATCGCATCGCGCTCGCTCGCAGTGCGCATCTTCGCAGTCGACTTCTCGCAAGAAGAAGTCACCGCCACGCTTGTGCGCTCGCTGCCGCGCGCTCACGATGCGCCTGTCGCGGTGCTGTCCGTCGACCCGACGTCGACGCTGCTCGCGACCGGCGCCGCCGACGGCGCAGTGAAGGTGTGGGACATTGCGGGCGGCTTCTGCACGCACGTCTTCCGCGGACACGGCGGCGTCGTGAGTGCGCTCAAGTGGAACATGCCGTCGCCAGAGAGCGAGCAGGCTGCAGCCAAGGGCAAGGGCAAGGGGCCGCAGGCCTCCTCGTCCGAGCGGCGCATCGAGCTCTTCACTGGCAGCATCGACGGCCGCGTGCGTCTCTGGGATCTCCGCCAGCGCCCGGCGAGCGGCGCGCACAAGCCTGCGGCAGTGCTGGCGGCGCATGTGTCGGTGGTGCGCGCTTTGGCACTTTCTGCGGACGGCCGCTCGCTCGTCACTGGCGCGCGTGACCGCACGCTAGTCTTCTGGCGGCGAAAAGGCGACGCGTCCGGCTCCCGACAAGCTTCAACTGGCGGATGGGAGATGGTGGAGACGCTCACAGCAGGAGAGGGCATCGAGGCCGCCGGCTTCCTGGAGCCGGGCTGCAGTCTCGGGCGCCGCGAGGACGCTGCTGCTCAGGACCTCTTCTGGACCGGCGGCTCGGAGGGCGAGGTGCGCCTGTGGAGCTTCGCGCAGCACAACGTCGTGGTGCAGCAGCCCGGCGGCCGCTGGGCGCTAGGCCTTTGCGGCAAGGGCGCAGCCGCGCTTGCGACCGACGATGCTGCTCCTGACGAGGCGCGTGCCGTCATCGAGTGCCACTACGTGCCGGCCCTCGACGTCGTCGTCAGCGTGCACGCCGACCAGAATCTGATCTTCCACGCTGTGCCAAACCCGGTCTCGCGGCCAAGAGCGGGACGGAGGCCTCTGAGCCGCACACTGCAGCTCGTTGGCTTCAACGACGAGGTGGTTGATCTCGCTCTGCTGTCGCCGCGAGCTACGAGCTCGAAGGAGGCACCGCAGGAGACGCACCTCGCCGTCGCCACGAACAGCTCGTCGATCCGCGTGTACACGCTTGAGGGTGACAGCCAGCACGTCGAGCTCCTGCCCTCCGACGCGGCTGCATCTTCCGGCCACTCGGCTCTCGTCCTCTGCCTGGACAAGACGTACGACGGCAAGTGGCTTGCCAGTGGCGCAAAGGACCGGACAGCCCGCGTGTGGGCATGGTGCCCCAAGCGGCAGCAGGCGAGCGCCGCCTCGACCTCCGCCGCCGCCGATCTGGGCACGATCGTCACCGACAGCGAGCTCGCAGCCTCATCAGAGACTGCAGAAGGCGAATGGCTGTGTGTGGCAGTCGCCGAGGGCCACGCTGAATCGGTCGGCGCAGTGGCCTTTGCGCGCCGCCCAGCTGCACCCGGCGCTGTCGGAGCGCCATTCCTCGTCACTGCCAGCCAGGATCGTACGGCGAAGGTGTGGGACCTGAGCGTGCTTGCTCAGTACCTTGAGAAGGACCCGTCGCCGGCCGTTCCGCTCAAGCTGCGCAGCCTCACGACGCTCAAGATCCACGACAAGGATGTGAATGCTCTGGACGTCTCGCCCAACAATGCACTGCTGCTGTCCGGCAGTCAGGACCGCACAGCCAAGGTCTGGGCGCTCGGCTACGCCGCGCCCAGCAAGTCGAACAGCAACACGGCATCGGCGAGCCTGAAGCCCCTGGCCACGTGCACCGCGCACAAGCGAGGCGTGTGGGCCGTGCGCTTCTCGCCGGCCGACGCTGCGTTCGTCACGGCATCTGCTGACCGCACAGCGCGCCTGTGGAGCCTCAAGGACTTTGCATGCGTCAAGACGTTCGAGGGCCACACGAACGGCGTGCTTCGCGCCGAGTTCCTGGGCGCTCGAGGCATGCAGCTGGTCACCAGCGGCAGTGACGGCCTGGTGAAGCTGTGGAATGTGCGCGACGAGCAGTGTGTCGACACCATGGACGGCCACGACGCGCGTGTGTGGGGTCTTGCGCCTCGGTCCGACGGCACTGAGATCATCAGCGCGGGCGCAGACAGCGTCATGTCCTTCTGGGAGGACCGCACGGTCGAGGACGAGGTCGAGAAGGCCAGAGATCGCGAGACAGCAGTGGAGCGGTAAGTGTTTGTGAATGGCGCCGCACCGCAGTCGTGCTCACGCCTCGTGCTCTCCCACAGGGAACAGCAGTTCGCCAATCTCCTCACGCTCAAGGACTATCGCAACGCGATTGCGCTGGCCATCTCGATGGACCACCCGCGCCGTCTCCTCAACCTCTTCACCACGGTCAATGCCAGCCGGCCAGACGGCGACGCGGCCACGTCTGCGGGACAGCTGCTTGACTCAGCGCTGCAGACGGCAGTGCCCTCTTCGCAGAGCGATCTTGCGATGGCAGCGCTGCGGCGCGCCGGTATCTTCGGTGCGCCGAAGGCTGAGGCAGCGTCTGAGACTGCCGTGACGCCTGCGCCAGGGTCAGGCAGCATCACCGGCTCTCGCGCCGTCGACGACGTCATCCGTGGCCTGTCGACCGTCCAGCTCGCCAAGCTCCTCGAGTACATCCGCGACTGGAACACGTCGGCACGGACGTCTGTCGTCGCGCAGACTGTGCTGCATGCCATCCTGCGCTTCCACTCCGCAGAGGACGTCATCGCCGCCTTCGACAACGCGACAGTGTCTCCGCGCACCGATGACACAGAGGGCGTCAAGCGACCTCAAAGGCGCGGACGGCGCCAAGCCGACCTCGCGTCCGTCATCGATGGCCTCGTGCCCTACACGGAGCGGCACTATGCACGCGCAGACCGCATGCTCACCGAGAGCGCCATGCTTGAGTTCACACTCGCGTCCATGGACGCTGTGCTCGGCGACGACGGCGACGACGAGGGCTTCGCAGCGCCAGAGCTTGCGCCGATCCCCGATGAGGACGGCGCCGTGCGCGACGCCGACATGCTCAGCGACGAGCCTGCGCTCAGCAGCAGCGAGAGCGAGGACTGGTTCGAGATGCTGGAGTAGAGTCATCGAAGGGTCGTAATTCATGCATCAATCAGTACACGAGCGTCGAGAGGGTCTGCGCCGAGGCTGCAAAGGAGCGCGCTGCGCGTGTCTGCAGCCACATGCGCGCAGACGAGAAGCGCTTGGCGCTGATCTCGCTGTCCAGCCAGACCAGGGAGCTCTTGTACTGCGCCTCGCGTGTGCGCAGCACCGCCCGGAAAGCGTGCAGACCGAGCCTGCGAGACTATGAGCCACGGCCATGCGTGCTGCTCGCTGCTGGCACTCACCAGCGGACATGGTGAAGACGCAGACCGCAGGATGCTCCGGCGTGCAGTGAGCGCGCAGCGTCCGCCCGAGCGCGGATGATGCTGTGAGAGAATGTGACGATCTGCTGGATAATGACTGCGCCGCCGCTGTCAGACGAGCTGGGCGAGCATCAATTCTCAGCTGTACGCACACAGACACGTCCGAGCGCGCTCGCTCGGCGGCTGGCGTAGCGCCTTGAGGTAGGCCAGCAGCTTGACGGCGGTGAGCAGGAAGGCCTGGTACACGTTGTGGTGCACCACGGCCTCGCCGTTCAGCGCAGTGTCCATGAAGATGATGTGCGCGCGGCTCTTGATGCTCCTGCGGTGGCCAGCGCTGGTCAGCTCGAGCCCTCGACGCTACTGCGCGCGACTCTGATTCACATGGCCATTTTGTTGAGCAGCGTCACGCCAGGCGTCTTGCCGGCTTCGACCGTCAGCGTGTCGCCAATGTCTGCGCAGAGAGGAGGTCAGCGTAGCCGCAGCGGCGACGGTCTGCCTCTACTGACACAGGCCCGAGTAGCGCTCGAACTCTGCCCGCACAGAGAGAGTCTTCGGATCGAGCACAAAGGCGCACCACGGGAACTCGCGGCCATGGATGCGCGCCACGAACTCGCCGGGCGAGCGGCTGTTCGGCAGGTCGAAGTTCACCAGGCTCTTCTCGGGCGCGATGAAGCAGCCGAACTCAGGATGTCCCTCATTCATAACGTCGAAGAAGCGGCGTGCTCGCGACTTTGATGTCGTGACGAAAAGCGTGTCGTCGACGTAGCGCAGCAGGGCGCAGCCGCGATCTCGCACAAACGCGAGCTTCGTGCGTTCGAGCTCTGCCAGATAGAAGCAGCACAGAATTGTCGAGAGACTCGAGCCCTGTGGAATGCCCACGCGCTGGCGGTAGAAGTGCGGTCCGATCTTGACGAGATTCTCGTTGACGTGCTGCTCGAGCAGCGCCAGCAGGCGCTCGCGCTTCTCGTACGCGTAGACGACCGAGTCGGCAAACACGACGTGTCGCAGCGCCCCGGCGAGCTCGGCGACAAGATCGGGGAAGCTCTTCTGGTCTGCCTCGGCGCAGGCGCGGCGCATGTACGACTTCTTGACCTTGCCCGAGGCAGACGAGACCTGCGTGTAGCGCTGAACGACATATGCGTCCTGCAGTGCCGTGTCAGTGCGCTGCTTCAGAGCAGCCAGCTTGCTTCACTCACCTCCTGACTGAGGATGCGGCGGATGATCTCGAGTAGCTTGCCCTGGTCGATCGTGTCGAAGGCAGCCACGACGTCAACCTTGACCATGTACAGCTTCGGCAGCCTGCCGTCGGCGCCCAGCGCGGCAAATGTGTGCTTGAGGTCCTTGAGCCTCGTGTAGATGTCGTTGGGCCCGAACACCGAGCCGCCGAGCAGCTCGGGCTGCGCTCGCTTCTCGCTAGTGAGCACCTGGAACGTATTCTGTAGGACAGAGTTGATCGACTGTGCCAGGCGCGCCGGCGGTGGCGGAGCTAGTGCCGGCTGTGCGGGCACCGGGGCCGCCTCTGTGCCTTTGCCACCTTCCACCGCAGCGAGGAGCGCGGTCGTGGGCTGTGCTGGCTTGCTGGCGCTGAGCGCCTTGACGAAGCGGCGGCGTAGGTTCACGATTGGCCGCACGCCCGTCTCCTTGGGCATGAGACGGATGTGCGAGTAGCCGAGCTGCCGCTCAGACACGATGTCCATCGCTTCGCTACGAGAGATGCGCTCGAAGGTCGTGCGCTTGAGCTTGTCGAGCAGCGGCGCACTGACGGCAGCCCAGTCGTCATGCCGGAAGTACAGCACGCGGTTGCGGAAGGCGACCGCATCGGTAGCGTAGAACGTCGTGCGCACTAGCGGGATGAGGAGACCGTCAAAGATGAAGTAGAGCAGCTCAGCGAGCAGCACCCGGCGCTTGAGAGACTCTTGCGCCGTAGGCCGCTGCGCCGCTGCCAGTGCGCCAGGAGCTCGTGCCCAGGTGCAGTCATTGGGGCGCATGCCGTCCAGCAGCTGATGCAGGTTGAGTGTCTCGTAGCGCCGAGCGCGAACGAAGGTGTCTGCGTCTGTGGTGTGTGTCAGCCCGTTGGAGAGGATTCCGACGTTCACGCAGTGACTCACTGCGCAGAAGCACGCGCCAGTTGTGGTCGCTTCCGATTAGATCGCGAGGCAGAATGCTCTTGAGCACCATTTGTACAAAGCGCGACACCTGTACAGCGGCTGTCAGTCTCTACCAAAGGCAGCATGGCCACGACTGACTGACCTGGCCAGCTGGTACGGCGTACAGCGTGAAGCGCGGCTTCTCTCGCCTGCCCTTCTCCATTCGTGCCTCGATGGCGCGCGCAGCACCGCGGGCGAGCGTCCCGGCCGGGCTTGCCAGCTGCTGCGGCGCCTGCGTGAGGATGACCGACTGCGACTGTATCGGTGCAGCCGGGGCGTCGAGGCATGCTTGAGATGCCGCATGTGTCGTCTCAGCCATGTCCTCTGCGATCTGCGCCCGCTCGCTCGTCGTGAGGCGCCGACGCGGCAGGCGGCTGGGGCAGATGATGCCAAGCAGCCTGACTACGTCGAGCTTGTCGTACTTTCTCAGCATCACGGAGACGAGATGCCGTGCGTTGCGAAGACGCTTAGGCGCGTTGCAGTGCTTGAGTGCCTGAGCAGAGACGTCAGATCTGTACCTCAGGCGTGTGCGATGCCGTCGACTCACGAAGATGCCGTCCTCTCTATTGGTATAGTCCTCGAACGGCTGCGTCGTCACACGCCAGTCGGGATTGCTGGTAAAGACGTTGTGCAGGCCGTGCTGGCGTGGCCAGATGTACTTGAGCACATGGCCGACGCGCAGCTTCCTGTCCTCCTCCGTGAGCTTCGCCCAGCGTTTAGACTTGCCGGTTCCTTGTGCGGCAGCGACGGTACGTCGCAATGTACGTTTCAGAGCGTCGGGCTTCGCAGTGCGTTCAAAGACGTCTGAGGCGCGTAGGTCAGCATGTAGTCACACATCTAAGCAACAAGCGACTGACGAGCAGCAGGAAAGCCCAGCACAATCGACCTGCGCTTGCTGCGCACCGGACGCGCATAGAAGATGCGGGCGCGCACGAGCGTGATCTCCGTGGGCTTGCGGCTGCCAATCACAAGCGTCAGCAGCGAGCAGATGCCTGCTCCTCGCAGATGACTCACACAGCGCGCGAAGCAGCATCCTTTGCGGACTCTGACTCCCGCAAGGCTCCGTTCGCCAGCCCAGAGGCGGCCTTCAGAGCCGGACGAGGTAGCTCGCCGAAGCTCGGCGCGCTCTGGACCCGGCTGAACGCTCTATGCGGGAGCTGGAGCCGCGGCAGTGGCCCCTTGGCCAGGTCCACGCTTGGCAGCGCGTTCGGTAGCGAGGCGATGCTCGAAGGTGGCTCGACATCTGCAGTCGACGTCTTGGCCGACTTGCGACGCCGCAACCGCCTCTTCCGCTTCGTCTGCACCTCAGGTGCGCGCACAGGCTCGCGCGTGACCTGTCTGTTCTTCGGTCGCGGCGCAAGGCCGTGTTCCCGCCCTTCGCTGATCGGCACGCCGAGCTGCTGCATGTAGCAGTCGAGCGACCCGGCAACCGGGATGAAGAGCGACGCATTGGCGAGCACGTGGATGAAGACGCCTGCGCCGAGTCTGTGGACGCTGTCAGCGTCGCTGCGCTCCTTCAAGGCTCAGATCTGCTCACCCGTGCAGCAGCGACAGCCACTCAACGCCCGTGCAGATAGCTGTGACGTTGGAATTCGGCTGGAAGTTCGTGATGCCGCCGGTCGTGGGAGCCAGAGGCGAACGCTCGCTGGCCTGAGAACCATCGAGTCAGTCGCGGCTCTGAAGGTGCGAGGCACATATCCACTTACACTGCGATATCCCGAAGTGATGATGTTCCCGATAGCTCGATACGAGCCGACTGCAGTGCCGCGCAAGGAGCTCTTGAGCAGCAGCCGTCTTTGCGCTTGTGCCACCACCTGAAGGCGTCGAGGGTCAGCAGGCGCCGCACGGCGGACTGTTCCGCGCCTCGCTCACCTCGAGCATGCGCACGCCTTCCAGCTCTCGCGGATCGGGCGGCGTCCAGTCGCAAAACTGCGGCAGCGGTCCCGCCTCGAGCTCGGCCACCTCCTCGGCCGTCAAGCCGACGATGGAGGCGCGCAGGCGCTCTCTCGTCTGCGCCTGCGCCGAGCTCTCGCCACGCTGTGGCGCAAAGCACCACGCCACGTGCAGCGCCGCGTGTATTGGGAGGATGCCGCAGAGGTAGCTCTCGAACGTGACGAGGCGCACGTAGAAGCGCTCCAGCACGCGCGTCGCCGCTGTGGAGGCGAGCGTGGCCGGCTGGTGGCTGCGAGCGAGGGCTGGCGGCGCAGGCCCCGCGCCTGGTCGCTCGACAGTGGCCACTGCGGCTGCTTGCGGCTCTGGCGGCGCGAGGAGCCGCCCGCTGCGGCTGCGCTTCGGCATGGCCCTGCTTGTGGTGCTGAGGGTGCTCGTCGTCGTCTGGCAAGGCGCAGCTGCACCGGCCGCTGCGCGCGCAGCACTTGAACGCGCATGGCGCGTGCGCCTGCGCCGTCACGCGTCGCGTGCGAACCAGCCCAGGCACCTTGAGCGAGCTCGCGATGGCCCATGCCATGGCTGTGAGCTTCTTTCTACGGCCCTCGCACAGCGGGGAGATCAGTCAGAGTCCGAGTGAAGGCCGCAGCCTCCCACAAGGTGCCTCACAGCCGCTCGACGCTGTAGTGTGCGGGGTGCTGTACGATGGCTGCCTTGCTGCCGTTCGGGAAGCCCTGCGGTCTGCGGATCACCCCCTGGCGACCTCGCAACCGAGCGAACTGCTACCGCGAGGCGAGCCCCAGAAGTTCGTCGCAGCCAGTTGTACGCCATGGTCATCGTATGAGGGGCCAAAGGGCACAGCAGACGAGATGTTGGCGCTGACAGGCGACACAGCCGGCAGACCCCCCCTCTGCCACCAGGCGCACGCTCTGGGGGAGGTCGACGGCGTGAGGTGCGCTCTGACCTTGGAGGTCGTCCTGCTTTCGCGTCCCAGACCTTCTACGAGAGACGCTAGATCTCGCTGTCGTGTCGGCTCCAGGGTCCGCAGCATGAGGGCTGATTGTGTCGAGCACGCTCGCTGCTTATTCTGCACTCCGCTTGTCTGTGCGTGGGCATGCTCAAGCCCAAGGGTGCGGGAGGCATGCATGAGCGCTGCTGCAGCGGCGGCCGTGCGGGAGCAGGAAGATTCGCTTGGGGCGCGAGGCCGCCGCTCCGGAGCCGACGCGGCAGGCACGCCGCCAGCCTCGGCGCCGGCCGCGCATGCCGAGCGCAGCAGAGGAGTTCGCGCCGCGCCGTGCGGAATGATGATGCGCGATCGCAGCAAGAGCGGCAGAGGCAGAGGCCACAGCAGCCCCGTCGCGGCTCCACCTTCTCGTCCACATCACCGCCCATCCTCAACCCCGCACACATGTCCACCGTCGCAGTCCCCTTCTCCTGGACGCCCAGCGGCGCGTCCAGCGTCGAGGTCGCCGGCAGCTGGGACGCCTTCCAGGGCCGCACGCCGCTCCACCGCACGCCCGAGGGCGCCTTCAAGGGCGACGTGAGTGCTGGGCGGAGGACGGGGTGCCAAGCTGCATCGGTTGCGCGCGCGAGCTGGTCCGGCTGACTCGTTCTTGCAGGTCTCGCTGCCCGCCTCCTCGACCGTGCAGTACAAGTTCATCGTCGACGGCACGTGGCGCACGTCGCCCGGCATCCCCACGCAGGACGACGGCCACGGCAACGCCAACCACGTGCTGCAGGTGCCCGAGGCCAGCGCACTGCCGCAGGAGACGCCCGGCCTGCAGCTGCCCGGCGCCTACCTCGCTACGACGCCCGGCCTCAGCGAGGCGCCGCCGACCGCCGCCGAGCTGACGCAGGGCGCGACCGACGCGCTCGGCAGCCTCACGGCCGTCGCTGCGGGTGCTACTGCCGGCGCTGCCGGCACGGCTGCTGCCTTCATGGCCAGCGTGAACGGCGACGTGGCGACGGGCACAGAGGCTGAGATGCAGGGCAGCGCCGTCACTGTTGACCGTGAGTCGTTCGGCAGCCAATGGCGGTGATCTGCGCAGGCGCTGATCATGCTGCTCTTCAGAGCTCGTGCCTGCTGCCGTGACGAACACCGTTGCGGACACGCTCGGCGCTCAGATTGTCGGCATGGACGCCGTGCACGCCGCCCAGCAGCCCGCATCCGCCGCTGCGCAGGGCGCCAGCGCGTCTTCCGGCCTCACGGACGCAGCTGCCGGCGCGCCGCTGCCCACTGTGGGCGCCTCCGCTGTGCCGGCGTACCAGGACCTGACGAAGGTTGCCGAGCAGCAGGATCGCACGCCCGCTGACGCCGGCGCTGTCGCCATTGCTGCGGCGCAGGCGAGCATCACGGGTGCCGTGGCACCGGGCTCGACGACGCGCGATGTGCGCGGCACTGAGCAGCTCGAGACCGTCAACGGCACCAGCGCGCCCTCGGCTGCCTCTCCGGCGGCGCCCGCGGCCACGGCTGCTGCGCCGGCCGGCGATGAGAAGAAGCACGGCGCTGCTGCTGCTGCCACAGCTGCTGGCGCTGCTCTCGGCGCCGGTGCCGTCGCCACGGCCACTGGCGTTGCGAAGTCCAGCGATGCGGCTCCCGCCTCGAAGGCTGCTGCGCCGGCTGCAGCTCCGGCCCCGAAAGCCGCTCCGGCTGCGGCACCTGCTGCGCCCCAGAAGAACGGTCCGTCCACTGCGCCGACCGCCGCTGGTGCGGCCCTGGGCGCCGGCGCTGTGGCGACTGCCACTGGCGTCGTGGCTGGGCAGAAGGAGGCGAGCAAGTCGAGCCGGCCCAGCTCCATTCGCAGCAAGCGCAACTCGGTGCAGCTCGGCCGCACGCCCTCGAACGCCTCGACTGCCAGCCGCCGTGGCCCGTCTGGCGCCAACGGCACGAACGGCACAACCAACACTGTGAACGCCAAGCCGGTCGTCGTCGGCGCAGCTCCTGCCGCGCCGGCGCTCAGCGCCTCTGCCAACATCCGGCGCTCGTCGTCGGGCAACGCCAACAAGAAGGACCTGCCTGCCGCTCCTCGCGGTGGCGCAGCCAAGCCCGCCGCCGTCGCCGCGCCTCTACCGCCCAAGGCGAGCGCGCGCAAGTCTGCCACGCCCGCCGCCGCCGCCCCCACGCCCGCCGAGAAGCCGACGCCCGCTGCGCCCGTGACGCCGCAGAAGAGCACGGTGAAGGAGAAGCGCGGCTCGCGCTTCGGCAGCATGTCGCGCCGCAAGAGCAACGCCGACTTTGACAAGCTAGCGCAGGAGCACCCCGTGCCCGGCACGCAGGCCTCCGCGGCCAAGACCGCCGCGCCGGCACCCGCCCTCGCCGCCGCCTCGCCCGCCGCTGCCGACCCGACGACGCCCGACCGCAAGCGCAAGCAGAGCATCTTTGGCAAGATCAAGGCCGTCATCACGCCGACGAGCAGCCCGTCGAAGTAAAAGCCGACCGCTGCCTCTTCTTTTCTTTCCTCTTCGCGCAGACCGTGTCTTCCTCGTGCCGGATTCCCTGCTGTCTCCTCTCTGCCTCACTTGTATTCGCTGCATGCCCGATGCTTGTCTCTTCAGCGCCCTCGATTTACCCCATCGCATGCCCACTGCAATCCGAAGCGTCTCCCGGTCACGTCTGTGCCGTGCGGCCGCTCTCACTCAGATCAGGCACTGCCCTCTATTTGCGCGCCGCGTGACGTCTACTTCTTGGGCGCCTCAGCGCCGCTCTTGCCCGAATCCTCCTTGAGCGTGACGATGCGGTTGAGCACGAGGCGGTCGCTCGTGCCCTTGCGCGGCGCAGCGTCGGCCGCGGCGCCCTCGCGCAGGCACTCGAGGCTGCTCTCCTTGTCGAGCGCAAAGTAGGCGATGCGCATGCCCTGGAAGCGCACCACCTCGTTGCCGACGAGCTGGTCCGCCTTGCGCGTCGGAGCGCCGTCGCCCGTGTGCGTGGCTCCGACGCTGCCGGCAGCGATGGCCGACTCCTCAGCAGCCGTGGCGCGGTGCGCCTCCTCCTGCGCAGCCTTGGTGCGGCTCTCGGCCACCTTGCGTGCCTCGCGCAGGGCCAGCGCAGCGACGTGCCAGAAGCCCGTCTCGATCATGGCGCCCTGCATGACCTGCAGCGAGTTGGGGTTGATCGTGTCGAGGAAGTTGGCCTCGCCGGCCGGGTTGTCGACCGTGAAGAGACGCTCGTAGGTGCGCACCTCGTCGATGACGACGGGCGAGCCCGACGGCGCGTGCTCGCCGACCCACTGCACGTACGTCTTGGAGCGCGCCTGGGCGTTGCCGCCGTGTGCTGGGTCCTCGTAGCGCACGCGCACCTCGACGGGCTCGCCGCTCGTCGCGCCGGCCGCATCGACCCACGACGTGCAGGTGACCGGGAAGGGCGCGTTGAGCAGGCCGACCGTCTTGCCCGGCGCAAGGCGGAAGTAGTCGGGCGAGTCGACGGGGCGGAAGTCCGACGCATCGATGTAGTTGACGCGCGCAAAGGGCACCCGCGCAGTGCCCATGGCCGGGTTCTTCGGGTGCAGTGGCCGCTCGAGCTGCAGGACAAAGTCCTCGGGCACGTTCTCGAGCACGATGCGCAGCGGCCGCACGACCATCATCAGCCGCGGCGTCTGCATCTCGAGGTACTGGCGCACCGCCTGCTCGAAGCGCTGGATCGACGTCGTGGCCGGGCTCGTCGTGACGCCGAGCTGGTTGACAAAAGAGAGCAGCGCGCCCGGCGGGATGCCTCGCCGCCGCAGAGCCATCATCGTGAAGAGGCGCGGGTCGTCCCAGCCGTTGACGTGCCTCTCCGTCACGAGCTTGAGGATCTTGCGCTTCGACGTGACGGTGCCCTCGAGCGCGAGGCGGCCAAACTCGTACTGGCGCGGCTTGTACACGTCGAGCGCGTCGCACAGCCACTCGTACGACTCGCGCGAGAGGATGAACTCCGTGGTGCAGAGCGAGTGCGAGATGTTCTCGAAGCTATCGACCAGGCAGTGCGTGAAGTCGTACGTCGGGTAGATCTTCCAGCGCGTGCCCGTGCGGTGGTGCGGCGCATCGAGCACGCGGTAGGCGATGAGGTCCCACATCTGCGGGTTGCCGCTGCCGAGCAGGTCCTGCTTCATGCGCAGCGTCACCTTGCCCGGCGGGAACTTGCCGTCGCGCATCGCCTCGAAGTCTGCCAGCGACTCTTCGACGGGACGGTCGCGCCACTTGCTCGCCACACGCGGGCCGCGCTCCTCGCCGCCGCGGCCCTGCTTGATCTCCTCGGGCGTCGAGTGGTCGACGTAGGCCTTCCCTCGCCGGATCAGCTCGACGGCAAGCGCATAGAGCTGGTCAAAGTAGTCTGACGAGTAGGTGATCTTGAACGGCTCGAAGCCGAGCCAGCGCACCATCTCGAGGATCGCCTCAAAGTACTCTTCTGACTCGGCTTCGGGGTTGGTGTCGTCGAAGCGCAGGTAGCACTGGCCGCCGTGGTAGCGCGCGTAGCCAAAGTCGACCGCGATGGCCTTGATGTGGCCGACGTGCAGGTAGCCGTTCGGCTCCGGCGGGAAGCGCGTGAAGACGCGGCCGCCCGTGGCCTTGAGGTGCTGCTCCCGCAGTGCATCCTTCTGCTGCGGGTTGCCGCCAGGCGCATGCAGGCGCGAGAGGAAGCCCTCGCGGAACATGGCATCAGGGTCGGCCTCTGCCGGAGCGGCGGCCGCCTCCTTGGCTGGCTTGGCAGCCTTCGCTGCCTTGGCCGCCTTGACCTCCTGCACAAGCGAGCACGATCAGCCTGGAGAGGGCCTACGCAACGGATCAGGCCGGTCAGCTGACGACTCACAGCAGCCTGTTTCTCCCTCGCCCGCCTCATCGCCTCGTTGCGGCTGCCAAAGCTCTTCTCCAGCTCCTTCTCCAGTGCCGTCTTGACGGCGACGGCCGGAGCCCAGCGCAGCTCCGGCTCCGCCCGCAGCGAGGCCATCAGGGCCGACTGCTGTCCCCACACTGCCGCAGCTGCGTCGCCGTCACTGGGACCGGTGCGCAGTGGCTCGAGCACGCGCGTGACGTGCGCCGCGATCGTCTCCTCCGACACCGTCGCGCCTGTGATACACATGAGCGACGCAGAAGGCTCGATGAGAAGTTCCGTGGCTACGCACCAACGCCGCACTCGCGATCGAACTCGGCCTTGTCCACATTGTCGCTCGGGGTGCTGGCAAGGTACTTCGACGCGGCTGTCGTAGCAGGTCAGCGCGAGCAGTCACGATGGGGAGACGGAAGAGGCTTCGTCGATGCACGGCATCTGCCCGCATCGTCTCTCACTGCGCCATCATTGCGCATTGGCACTCACCATCGACCCGGTCGGCACCGTCCAGGCTGCCGTCTGCGACACGCGCAATGAGATAGCGCCGCTTGGCCTCGCTGAGCTGCGCCTTTGCCGCCGCAGCGACAATGACGAGGTTGATCGTCTTTGCCTCGAGGCCCTCTGCGTCGGCATCGCCGCTGCGCGCATGCAGCTGCAGGTGCTCAACGGCATCGCACAGCGCACGCAGCTGCGCCGCGTTGTTGGGGCGCGAGAGCTCGACGAGCTTGGGCGCCGGCAGCGCGAGCTTCTCGAGCGCCGCAGCCGAGGCGGCATCGAGCGTCGGAGCAGGCGCCATGGTGGAAGTGCGCCGCTGAGGGTGAAGTGGAGGTGGTGGTCTGAGGGCAAGGGCGAGGGCAGCAGCTGATAGCGCACGTAGAATGTCGAGGGCCTGACTCGGCCGAGTCCGCGGAACCCGCGGGGCGCAGCGGTGCTCCCACGCCCGCGCCTCCGCCTCGCGACCATCACCGCTGAGCCGCCCGCCGAACATCGGGCCTGGAGGTCGCCATGCTGATGCTGCGGCTTGTGGTTGACGCTCAGAATCCACTTGAGCGGACAGGGAGATGAGAGAGAGCTTCTTGTGAGTGGTCTTGACGGTCTGCGTTTGTGATAGAACAGCCAGCAGGGCGAACGAGGACCTCCGCTACAAGGCAGCACCTTGTGCGCCCCAAGAACCACCGCCGAGGCCTCAAGGACATCTCTTGAGGATCCTCGTCTTACCGTCGAGCTCAAGACAGGGTCCGACTCGCGACAAGGCTGCTAGCGGTCCGGGAGGTCCATGGCCCGGTCGCATGAGGGCGCACATCAATCGACACGCACGGGACGCTGCGGCTGCGCACGCTCCTCTGTCCTTCGGTCCTGCATGTACCTTTTGCCCTGGCGCGCATGTGACAGACAGGACAAAGCAAGGCGACCCTGAACGGACGGACAAGAGGTGTGGGCTGCGCTCTGCTGCACTGCTCAGGCGAAAACAGCGCGGCGAGAGAGCCGTCGCTCCTGCGGCAACTCTCGCCCTCCTCCAGCCCAGAGCACTGGCCCAAACCTGTTGGCGCAGCGCACCACCTCGGCCGTCTCTGACGTTCATACACAGGCTTAAGTGAACGTCTCGCTGACGCTCACGATCTTCGCCGCTCGATGTGCGAGCACGCATCGCAGCATGCGCAAGGAGCCGCCGAGGGTGCGTCTGCTCTTGTGTGCACGGCAGCAGGGCTCGCGATGCATGTGCGGCGGCGTGGCGCCTCTCGCTCCGCTGCATCTGGCGTTTGTCCGTCCGCTCGCTCTGCGCCTCGCGGCTCGCCCGCCGGCTGCTGCTCCAGCGCCGGCGGGGCGCTCTCTCTTAGCGCAGCGCCGCATGTTAGCCCTTGCTGCGCCCGCGGCGGCGCCCGTTCGGAAGAGAGTCGCGGCGTGCTTCGGCAGCGCGCGGGCACGGCGGCTGTCAAGCGAGCACAAAGCTTCCTCCGCGCTGGCGGCTCTGCACGGCGTCACCGCAGCGGAAGAGGCTCTTGCGCTCTCTGCGCCTGCCGCAGCGGCCTCTCCTTTGTGCGAGTGGCCGACGAGTGCAGATCAAGCATGCGCCTTTTGTGGGTCGTCATTCGACTCGCGAAGTGCGAGAGGGGTCGAGCAGCGGCGGCGGCACGCCGACAGCGGCAGTGCACCGTCTGGTACAGCGCCACGCCGTCTGAGGCGGCAGCAGGCCTGCGGCGCCGTGCCCGCGACGCGCCTCGCGTGGCGCTCCGCAAGCAGCGCAGGCGCGCCGCGAGGGAGCGCCGCCCGGCGCCCGCGCGCGCGCGAGCGACGAGGGCAGAGCAAGCGGCGGCCGAGAGTGGCGCGGTGCCCGCCGCCCCCGATCTGCGCTCCCCGCGCGCCGCCGCCTGCGCTGGCCCAGCCGCGCTCGTGCCCGCTTCTCACCACGCTTCACCCTTCACCCTCTCTCACCTCTCCTTCTCGCTGCACATCCACCACCAAGTGCAGCCACACTCTCTCCCTCGCGCCCATCGCAACGCACGCTTCGCCTGCACGTGCCGCCCGTCCGTCGCCGTCTCGGAGCGCATTCCCCCGTCGTCTCGTCGCCAGCCTTAGCCTCTCTTAACCCCCCACACGTTGCGCCAAGATGGGCTGCGGAGCAGTGCGTGCAGCGTCAGAGCTGTGCCGCGCTGCCGGATGCTCACCTTCGCCCTGTGCGCGCATCTGCAGTCCAAGGTAGACCGCGAGGGCGAGCTGCGCAACCAGCAGATCGAGGATGAGCTGCGCCGCGAGCGCCAGGCGCAGAAGAACGAGATCAGTGCGTAGCAGGCGCGGACAGGCGCGGCGGCGCATACATGCGACGGGCGCAGTGCTGCAGCAGGGGAGCGCTTGCTGGAGCAGGGCTGATCGCGGCCGCTCGCAGAGATGCTGCTTCTCGGTGCCGGAGAGAGTGGAAAGGTGAGTGCCGCTGCAGCGAGGCCTCACTGCTGCGGCAGCTGATCCGGTGCCGCCTGTCAGTCCACGATCCTCAAGCAGATGGTGCGTGCCAGGCGAGATGGCCTGTCGCTGCTCAGTGCTCACGACGTGTATGCCGCTGCCTCTTTGTAGAAACTCATGTGAGTGCCGTGCCCCTCATCACGCCTCCTTCCAGCAGCTGACGCTCTCCGGCCCGCAGCAACCACGGCAGCTACAGCGCCGAGGAGCGCGACTCGTACAAGGAGATCATCTTCTCGTGAGCTGCGCCTCCTTTGTCCTGCCTCGCAGCGCTGCTCACACAGGCGCGTGCAGCAACCTGCTGCAGTCGATGCGCGTCATCCTCGACGCGATGGAGAACCTGGACATCCCGCTGGCAGACGGCAGCAACGCCAAGCGCGCCGAGATCATCCTCTCGCTGCCGCCGCAGATTGACGCCGACAGCCTGCCGACGCACGTGGCGGACGCCGTGTACGGCCTGTGGCGCGACCGGGGCGTGCAGACGTGCTTTGAGCGGAGCCGGGAGTACCAGCTCAACGACAGCGCGCAGTAGTGAGTTGCACTCGACAAGACGCGAGGCCTGGCACGCCTGCTGACAGCTGGCGTGCAGCTACTTCGACTCCGTCGAGCGCATGGCGCAGCCAAACTACCTGCCGACTGACCAGGATGTGCTGCGATCGCGCGTCAAGACGACGGGCATCACGTGCGTTGGTCTGCAGCCTTGCGCCTCCGGCTGGCGGTCCTGACGCTTCACCGCCTTCTCGCAGGGAGACGCACTTCCAGATCGGCGACCTGCACTACAAGCTGTTCGACGTGGGAGGCCAGCGCTCGGAGCGCAAGAAGTGGATCCACTGCTTCGAGAACGTGACGGCCATCATCTTCCTGGTGGCCATCTCGGAGTACGACCAGCTGCTGTACGAGGATCAGAACGTGGTAAGTAGCGAGCATCTGCGGCGGATGGCGTGAGGACCGGCAGGGCGGAATGTGGCTTCTGTGGCGTCGCAGCGCGCTGACGTGCCTCGTCACCGCCAGAACCGCATGCAAGAAGCCCTCACGCTCTTCGACAGCATCTGCAACTCGCGCTGGTTCGTGCGCACGAGCATCATCCTGTTCCTCAACAAGATCGATCTCTTCAAGGCCAAGCTGCCCGTGAGCCCGATGAGCGACTACTTCAGCGACTACACGGGCGGCAGCGACTACAACGCCGCGTGCGAGTACATCGTTGGCCGCTTCGTCGGCCTCAACCAGAGCGACGCAAAGACGGTCTACTCGCACTTTACGTGCGCCACAGACACAAACCAGATCAAGTTCGTGCTCAGCGCCGTCAACGACATCATCATCCAGTGAGTGCGGCTTCGTGCGCTGCGACACCGGGCGCTTGTGGCTGACATGCTCTTGCTCAGGGTCAACCTGCGGTCGTGCGGTCTGCTGTAAAGAGGCCTGCCTGCCACGCCGCAATGCGCCGTCTGGCCTGCAGCCAGTCTGGAGCTCGAGCTATATATCCTACTCCCAGCACATCTGCTCTCGCTCCGTGCCTGCAGCTCGGGATCAGCGGCCGTCTGGCGGCCACGTCGCTGCTGCTGCGTGCGCTGCCGTTGCGCACTGCAGTGGCCCGCGCCCAGCTCGACGTCTTCACTCCACTCTGTTCCTGTGCGCACCCTCGCGTGCGCTTGTCACCTCCGCCCTCTGCCCTCTTCAGCCGCGTGGCGCGCACTGCCGCTGCTAATCTCCCACACACCTCACGTAACGATCGGACCTTCTTTGCTGCCCAGACTGGAGAGAGATGCATGACGCGTTGGCTCGGTACATGAGACTGTGCAGGTTGGAGGAAGGGAGCTGATGGGATGCCAACGAGGCGGAGGGAGCAGCGGTGCGTGGAGGGAGCTAGTGTTGAGGGGAATGAGGTGCGGTGCAGAGGAGATGAGTGATGAGACAGGATGCCCAAGTTGAGGGACTCAGTGGCGCGACGACGAGTAGCGGTCGTTGCTGCGCTCGCGGTCGTGGCTGCCGCGCTCGCGGTCATCCGAGTGGCGCGGCTGCGGGTAGTAGCTAGAGCCGCCGCTGCCGCCACCACCGCCGCCGCCGCTGTACGAGTCGCGTCCGTGAGAGGCGTACGAGCTGCGCTCGCCGCGGTAGCCGTCACGCTCACGCTCGCGCTCGCGGAACGAGCCCGGCGAGCCGGCGCCCGACGGACGCGGCGACGGCGCAGCACTGCCGCGGCCCGGCGGTGAGAAGGCGTCGCTGCGCATCTTCTTCGGCGCCGGAGCGTGGTGCTCGTGGCCGTTGGAGGCGCTTGCGCCGGCCTTAACCTGCGGCGACGCGCTGCTGGCCTCGGCAGGAGCCTTGCGCTTGGTGCTCGACGCAGATGCTTTGCTCGGCGCAGGTGCGATGTCCGGGCCGACGAGCTTCTGGAAGATGGCGCGCAGCTTGGAGTACTCGACCTGCGCAGCGAGACGTCAGTCTGAGACACGAAAGGCACAGCAGAGCGGGCGACGTACCGGACGAGGCCAGAAGAACGTGACGAACGACCACAAGTGGCGCTCCTGGCGCTCGCGCTCGGCCTGCGACACCGCGCCAAACTCGTCGGTGAGCAGGTGTCCGATGCGGCCGCCGATGTTGGACAGGCATTCCTTCAGCGCGTTGACCTTCTCCTCGCGCGGCAGATTCTCCGTCTCGCGCAGACGCTTCAGCGAGGCCTTGCAGGGGCGCATCAGCTCCTTGCACGCTGCCTCGTCCATGCTGTCGTTGCCGTCGTCCTCGGGCTGCAGATAAGAGCGCGTGAGCGGATGGAACCCGCAATCAGAGCACGACACTCACCTCCGTCTTCTCGACGGGCGGCGCAGACGTGCGCGCTTTCTTGGCCGAAGCGCCCTTCGCGCCCTTTGCGTGCTTGGCCTGCGGAGCGGGCGAAGCGTTGCTGCCGCCCGGGCTGGACTTGCGGCCCTTCTTGATCGCTGGCGCGACCTTGACTTCGGGTGCAGGCGCTGTGTCGTTCTCTGCAGCATGGCGTCAGTCACCTGCATCAGGCACTACGAGCTGCTCACTCACCGGCATCCCAGAGCGCCTTGAGCAGGTAGTCGCCGCGACGAACCAGATGGATCGCGTTCGGGATTGGGCGCACACTAGCAGCCGGCGGCTTCTTGCCCTTCTTGGGCGCAGCCGGCGCGGCCTCGCCGTCCGCGGCGCCTTCATCCTTGACAGCAGCTGCTGGTGCAGCGTCGTCGCCCTTCTTCTTCTCGAGCACCTTCTTGCCCTCATCGAGGAAGACCTTGCCGGCCAGGCCGAGGGACTCATCCGCCTGGATCTCCTCCCAGCAGCCGAAGCCGTGCTTGAAGATGCCAAGCAGCAGGCGTGCGTCGTCCTCGTCCGTCCAGCCGCCAGTCCAGCTGATCGTCGCCTTGAGGTGGTCGAGCGGCACCTTCCAGCGCAGCTTATCCTTTACCGGGTCGAGCAGCTGGAAGAGAAGGCGCAGGCCGTTGTGGCGCAGCAGCGTCGTCTCGGCGTTCGTGGTAATCTCAGTCTTGCCCATGACGGAGACCATCACCGCGCGCTGGCGCAGGGCAGACGTGATCTCGCCGCCAGCATCGACCACCGCCTGCAGCTCGCGCTCGTGCTCGGCTGCCGCCACCTCGCACTTCTTGATGAGCTCGTCCGAGAGATCCTCGAGCACGCCGCGGTTCTTGCCCGTGAGCTTGCCATCCTCGACGAGCGTGTCGTAGCGCCAGCGGATGTCGCCCCAGCGCTGGATGCCGCGGATGAGCACGCGGATGTCGCGGTCCGACAGCTCGAGAGCACGCTGGGCGCCAGTCTTGCGCGGCACTCCCGGCTTGGCACCGCCCTTGTTGCGTGCCTTGCCCTTCGACTCGCCCTCGTCGTCGTCCTCGTCGTCGTCATCCTCGGCGCCCTCGGCACCGGCGCTGCCTTCGTATGCGCCGCTAGGCACATGTGCGGCGCGGCGCCGCGAAGTGCTGGCGGCTGCCTCCTCGACGGCCTTCTTGCGCTCCTCCTCCTCTGCGGCGCGCCGCTGGTCCGCCGGAATGATGCTGCTCCAGTCCTCCTCGCCCGAGGTCTTGAAGTCGGCCACAAACGACTGCGCGAAGGCAGCGCCACCAGACGAGGCGCCTCCGGCTTCCGCCTCGAGACCCTCGTCGGCGTGCGTGAGGATCGCATCGAGGTCGAGCTGAGAGCAGAGGATCAGCATCGGGGGTGCACATTATTAGCCGCTGCCGACTCACCTCGTCGAGCTGCTTCTGAGCTGCGCTCTCGGAGCTCTCGAAGATCTTCTTGGCGCCGTAGCGAAGCAGCTCGTTCAGCTGAGGCAAGTATGTTGTTAGCAGTGTCTCAGCAGAGCGAGTCGCGCACCCGTCCAGCTCACCTCATCCTTGCTCGGCTGGGCCTTCTGGGCAGAGGCATCGGCAGCCTGGAATCGCTGGCCGCTGGTGTCCATCTGGCCGACGACGGCAGCCTCGAGCAGGAGCTGTGCAGGCACCCATGTCAGCGGACGGCGATGCCCAGGAGCGAGCTGCGCTTACCTTGCGACGGCCGCGCTCGATGACCTCCTCCTCGATCGTGTCCTTGGTGACGAGGCGGAAGACGCTGACGTTGAACTTGGAGTTCAGGCGATGGGCACGCGCCATGGCCTGAGACACAACGCGTCAGCATGCGGAGGGTGCGCGCTGGCGTGCGCCACGTACCTGGGCGTCGCTCTGCGGGTTGTAGTCCGAGTCGAAGATGATCACCGTGTCGGCCGTCTCGAGGTTGATGCCGAGGCCGCCGGCGCGCGTGGACAGCAGGAAGGCAAAGTCGGGCGAGTCGGGCGCGTTGAAGTGCTGGATGGACTTCTTGCGCACCTCCGACGTGATGGTGCCGTCGAGACGCTGGAAGAGGTAGCCGCGCAGCGACATGTAGTCGGAGAGAATGTCGAGCATGCGCACCATCTGGCTGAAGATGAGCACGCGGTGGCCGTCCTGCTTCAGGCGCGTGAGGAGCTTGTCGAGCAGCACCATCTTGCCGCTGTGCATCACGAGGCCGCGCAGCGTGTCCTCGCGCTTGTCCGAGATGACCTCGGAGCCCTCAAAGAGGAACGGGTGGTTCGACGCCTTGCGCAGCTCGACGGCGATGTTGAGCAGGCTCACCTGCGCCGAGCCGGGCGCGCTGAGCACCGAGTAGTTGCGCGACAGAATCGCCTTGTACATGCGCTGCTGCATCGCCGACATCTCGACGCGCAGGATCTTCTCCGTCTTGGTGGGCATCTCGGCCACGACGTCCTTCTTGAGGCGGCGCAGCATCACGTTGTCGAGCTTCTCATGCAGCGCCTTGACGGTCGCCGAGTCGACCTGGTTCATCTCGAACCCGTCCTCGAGCGGGAACTCGTCGGGGCGCAGGAAGTGCATCAAGGCCAGCAGCTCTGCGGGCAGCCACGGTGGTCAGTGCAAGTACACCAGGCAGCCAGCAGCGTCACCCACCCTTGATGTTGTTCTGCAGCGGCGTGCCGGTGATGAGCAGCTTGCCCGCCGTCGGGAAGGACTTGAGGCACTCGTAGAGCTGGGCGCTCGAGTTCTTCAGGCGGTGTGCCTGCGCCAGTGCGGTGTCAGCTCAAGCCACAGAGCAGCGCGGCAGGCAGATTGTGGCTCACCTCGTCGACGGCAAGGTAGGCCCACTTGATCGAGCTCAGGTCGGCGCGGTCCTTGAGCACAAACTCGTACGTCGTGACGAGCACGTTGAACTTGAGCTTGCGCGCCGGGCCAAACTCGTACTGCCGGATCATCTCGCGGCTCGCCGTGTTGCCCGTGTAGCTGATGACGTTCATGTCCGGCGCCCAGTTCTCGAACTGCTGCATCCACGCTGGCAGCGTCGACAGCGGCACGACGACGAGGAAGGGCCCGTACTGGTGCAGCGAGTGGAAGAGGTAGGAGAAGAAGGACACAGTCTGCACCGTCTTGCCCAAGCCCATCTGTGACAAGGCACTGAGCGTCAGCACTCGCCACCACACGCGACGACCGCACGACGCACCTCGTCGGCCAGGATGCCGTTCTGGTCCTTCGACCACAGGTACGCCAGCCAGTTGAGGCCCGTCATCTGGAACGGCTTGAGCGTGCCGCCGGGGTTTATGTACGTCGGCTGCTCCGTCATGCGCGTGTACTTGGGGCGGCCGCGCGGGTAGCTCTCGCTCCGGTACGGCACCGTCGTGGAGGCGCTGCGGGCATGGAATGCGTCGATGGGGCCCTTGGCAGCCTTGCCGATCTCTTCGGCGGCCTGAGTGTGCTAGTGTCAGCGTACAAGTCGCTCGCCTTTGCCTGGCTCGACTCACCTCCCACGTGCAGTCCGCGTATGCCAACCCCTTCCACTTGCAGAGATAGGCCAGGTGCGAGTACGCAACGTCGCGATTGGCGTTCTGCGTGCGCTGGTCGAGCACGCGCTCGACCTGCATGAAGCCCTGCACCATCTCGAGCTGGCGCTCCTTCTCAATCTGCAGCAGCTCGATGTCCTCCTTCTGCGTGTTGGGGTTGCGGCGCAGCTCCAGCTCGGGAATCACAACGTGGCGCACGTAGTTCTCGACGCGCTTGAAGCCCTTGTAGTTCTTGAGGAAGTCGAAGAGCTCGTACGTGTCGTGCAGATGCGAGTAGCCCTTCCACTTGATGGTGTAGACGAGGTTGCGGCGCGGGTCGTCCTCCTTGTCTTTCACTGTCGGTGGCAGAGATGAGCGGCGAGGCATGAGGGGAAGAGCACACGGGACGCACCGAACTCGTCTGCGCGTGCGTGTCCGAAGACGCCCTCAATCGTCTCCTCCTCTGCAGTGCGGTGTCAGTGGTGCGCCTGCTGGCAAGGAGTTTGTGCCGTGCGGCCTCACCCTCGCCTGCCGCAGCAGTGGTCCGGGCGACCATCTCCAGGTCAGCCTGGTCCTCGAATGGGTCGTCGTCGTCGCTGAGCGACAGGCCAAAGTCGTCCTCGTTGTAGTTGGGCTTGCGGCCGCCGCGCGAGGGGATGCGCGCCATCTCGTCGAGCGAGTGGCTTGACGACGTGGCACGCTTGCCCTTGGTGAGGCGCGGCGCAGCGGCTCCGACGGCCTGCTTGGCTCGCCGCCGGGTGTTGCTGGTGCCGAACTCTTCCTCGTCGGAGCCGAGCGCTGCCTCGCGGGCGGCGCTCTGGAAGCTGCCGCCGTTTGCAGCTGCGGCACAAGGCGTCAGCGTGGCATTGACCACCTGCGACGGCGAGCTCACCTTTCGGCTTCGACACCTTGAAGGTGCCGCCGGCACTGCGGCCCTTGTTGCGCCGCCGACTGGAGCCGACGTCCGAGTCGTCGTCGTCGGTGCCGGACGTGTCGACGTACTGTGGAGGCGTGTGAGCGGGGCGCCGGCAAAACTCTGCCGGGCATGGGCACTCACGACTTTGGCAGGAGCGCGGCCCTGAGGAAGGAGAGTGAGTCAGCCATGAGCCTGCGGCCTCAATACGAGGCATGCCGCAGCTCGAGCAGATGCAAAGACAGGCGGTGCTCGGCGGCGCGCGGCGGCCTTGGGGAGCGAATGCGTGCGCGGCGGCGGCGGCGCGCACACTGCTCAAGTGCCTCGCATGAGCGCCGAGTCGCGCACCGCGGCGCGGCGTTACGGTACGCGCGCCTTCGCGGCCTGCCCGCCTGCCCATGCCGCCGCGCGCGAAGCGCCTCTTCGCCGCCGTCACCGGCCCGCTGCCGCACCTGATGCAAGTGGCCAGCTACTCACAGAACGTCTGAGGCCGTACAGCGCCGGATTGGCCTCGGCCTCGTCGATGCGCTTCGAGCTGTCGCGCGCGCGGCGCGGCGGCGAGGCGCTGCCCGAGTCGCCCGACGCCGACGCCGATGCCGAGCCGGCGCCGGACGACGACGCGACACTGCGGTGCGCCGCGGCGCGACGCCCGTTGCCCGCCGGCGATGCCGAGCGTGACGAGGAGGGCGAGGCGTCGTCGGGCGTTGGCGAGATGGAGGAGAGCTCGGACTTGACGCCGTCGCGCTGCGCCTCGTCGTCCTCCGTGTCCTCGTCGTCCGAGAAGGACGGCAGTGCCGGTGCCGCGCGACGCGCCTGCGGCGGCGACGCTGCCGCGCCGGCGCCGACGATCGGCTGGCTGCTCGAGGAAGCTTGAGCCTGCGGTGCACTCGACTGCTGCTGCACAGCGGCGCTCGGCAAGCTGGCATCAGCGGCAGCAGCGATGCTCGCAGCCAGAGCGCCGTTTGCGGGAGCGGCACCGGCGGCAGAGGGCGCAGCGCCGGGCTCAGCCTTGACGGCAGCAGCGTCGCTCATCAACACATCAGGCACGGCCGTCGGAGCGCTCATGACGAGCCTCTCGCCGAGAGAAGGTGCAGAGACTGCCTGGTGCCGCCTGAGGCGTGGCAGCGGCTCGGCAGAATTCTCCGGAGCTGGCGCCTCTCTCACGCTTCTGCTCGAGCCGGATCACCGAGGTGTGATGCCGCGGCGAGCGTGAGGGTCTGCGGGACGGCGAGGTGTGGCAGGCGAGGGGAACGGGTGAGGAGAGCGGGGTCGTGGTGGTCGGGAGCGGCGCTTCGCTGCACGCGGCGCGCGCCGGCCGGGCCGCGCATGAAGACGGCGCGCGCCGCGCGGCGCCGGCGGCGACGACGAGCGGCGCCAGCGGCGGCCCACCCTTGCCCGGCCGAGCGGCACGTTGAGGCGCTCCATGCCCTGCCGCACGGAAGCGCACTAGCGACCTCGGAGCGCACGGGAGCGTCGGACAGGTCATGCGAGCAAGTAGAGTATGGATGTGGCATTGCGAGACGACGAAGAGGAGTACAGGCGACATGTGGCTGGCCGGGGAGCAGCAGATGGGCAAGTGGGTGGGTGTGCCTCGTGGCATAGGGCGCATGGGTGTAGTCCTGCCGCCACGACACGGATCCGAGGAACACGAGACTTCACAGGACACGAGCAGGGGCATGACGAGAAGCTCACCAACACGGAGACGACGACCACACGGCTGCGGCGGCGGCGCCGGGCGCACGTCACACGGCACCCACAGGTCTCAGGACGAGCATCCGCGAGTCCGCGCGGCCAGAGTGACGCACGAGCTCGCGTGTGCGCCTCTCGGACCCACAGCATCGCGATGCCGGCACGTCCAACGGCACAGCGACGCGGCGCCTGGACGTATCGCAGCGCCGCGAGGAGCAGCGCAGAGGCCACGGCCGGCTGCCTCACGCGCGCACACCCAGAGCGGGCTCACTCACGACCTCAGCAGCAGGAACAGAATCCCGCGCAAAGACTGCACATGTCGCGCAGACGACCACGGCCACGACGCCGCTGATGAAGGCGACGCAGCGGCCGAGGCGACGATGACCAGTGAGCAAGGCTGGCAGTCAGGACGAGGATGGCGAGAGACGTGCGACGGAGGGAATGAGAAGAATGGTGTCCATTGCGGAGGATGAGGAGCAGGGTGGGCACAGCGGGGGGGACGGGTGGGGAGGTTGTGGTGAGAGGCAAGAAGCGAGCACAAGGGGCGCGCCGCGCCAAGAGGCGCGAGGGCGCGCGCGCGGCCTGCCAGCTGGCAGCGGGCGCAGGGGGGGCGAAGGGCGCGCGCCGCTGCGCCATCAGCACGGCGGCGCCGCGCCTGCCGCCGCGCTCGGCTGCACCCTGACGGCTGGGCGGCTGCTGCTGCGGCTGCGGCGTGGGTCCTTCATGCGTGAGCTTCGAGGTGGATCGAGGGTCCCGCTCCACGCCTGCGCAACACCAGAGCCGCAATACCTGCACACAACCTCTGCCTGCTTGTTGTCTGCCAGCAGTACTCACGAGCTGTGGGCGAGCTGCCGCAGGAGGCCGGCCGTCCAGCCACGTAGGAGCCGCAGCGTCAGCAGCGGAAGCAGGCGCCGCCGCAGCGGACCCCTCGAGATGCTGTTCCCGCGCTCGCAGGTGCCTGTCACAGGTGCGCGAAGGCGCGAGGCACGGTGCGACACCCTGATCGACAGGGAGAAGGTCACAAAGCATTCCCGCAGCCCGACAGCTGGCTGCTGCGGCAAGCAAGACAGAGACAGCATGGAGCGAGCGTTGGTGCTCAGCGTGATGCTGGCGCAACAGCAGACAGAGAGCTGGCCGTGCCTGGCGCATCGCGGGCATGGCGCATGGGATGGCACGCGCGCCGCCGCCGCAGCCGGCCGCCGCGCTGCCCGCACGCCGCTGCGCTGCGCCGCGCGGCTGACGGTGACGGGCGATCGTCCGCTCTCCACACCGCCTCACCCCGCGTCTGCGGCACGCTCCCGCCTCAGTCTCGGCCCCGTCTCGCACCTCTCCAGGCTCCTGTCCACGCCGAGCAGTCGCCACTGCCGTGCGTGAACCTCTCCGGCGCTCGCATCGCGCCGCCTCGCCGGCACGTCGCCCGCAAGCGCTGCCTGGCCGAGCATCTCGTCGCTCGGCGCAGCAGTTGATACGGCCCAGCTGGCGTCCACGCCTGCTCGTGCAGAGCGCTCGCTGCCGCTCATGCACTCCGAGCCGCAGTCGACGCAGCCGCACGCCTCGCTTGCGCAACAGCAGCCGCGCAGCAGCCACTCGGCCTCGTCGTCCGTGTCGACTGGCGGCGCCTTCAGCGGCGCGCCCTCGGCGGCCAGCACGTCCGAGGGCAGCAGCAGCGCCGCCAGCACGAGCCGCACGTCGTACGACGTCTCTGCAGGTGCTGCCGCCGTTCACTCCGACACACTGCGCGACATGGCATCAGGACACCCGCTGTCTGGCAGCTCTGACGTGCTGGCGGCCGAGTCTTCTGGCGCCCGGCGCGAGCGCGAGGTCAGCGCCGAGTCGCAGCTCTCAGTGCTCTCTGGCGTCAGCAGCGCCTCATCGGGCAGTGTTGGAAGGCGGACCCATGTCGCAGCGCCGCCGCCGTCCTCGTGGCAGACGCAGCAGCAGGCATCGGCCGGCCGTGCGCGCGCCTCCTCGGTCGACTCTCCGACCACCGCTGCGCCCAAAGCCCGCCCTGTTGCGGAAGCAGCCTTGCCAGCTGCGAGCGGCGCGAGCCAGTCTGCTGCGGTGCCGCCGGCTGTTCCTCCGCCGGTGCGGCAACGAGCGACCACGCTGCGCTATCACGGCCAGATCGTCGAGCCCGACGACGGTCCCAGCAGCTCGCTCTCTCCCTCGCAAGGAGGCTCGCAGTCCGGCGGCAGAACGCCCCGCAACAGCATGTATGCTGCCTTTGCGGCGGAAACGCGGCAGCCGCCCGCAGCGCCCGAATCGCAGCCGCCCAGTCCGCGCGAGCGGCGACGGCTGTTCGGGCGGAGCAAGACGGGCTTCGGAAGCAGCCGCGACTCGCTGGTGCAGACGCCCGACGGCGAGCCTGCGCATCCGTCTCCTGGGCGTGCGAGCAGTCTGGTGCGCCGCATGGGAAGCCGTACCTTCTTCGGTGGCGGCCGCAACGATGCCGCAATGGCGAGCACCGACTCGCTCGCCAGCTCCACCGGCAGTGCCGCGACCGAAGGCAAGTCCTCGTCGAGCTTGACATCGAAGCGCTCGGGCGATCTGTTGGGCAGGACAGCGACGCTGCCGAACTGGGTGCGGCGTAAGCAGAAGGACAAGTCAGGCTCAGTGTCGGCGGGGAGCGCCCCTGCCGGCAGCGTAGACGGGCGCAGCGAGGGACGCGCCAGCATCGAGAGCCAGGCGTCCGTCACCGAGTTCGGACGCCGCGTCGATGCGGGCGCAGGCGAGGGCCACTCCGGATCTGCTGGGTCTGTTGGCTCTCAAAGCCAGCGCTCGTCTATGCCCGCTGCTCTAGCCGCACCCGACGACGAGCCGCTGCCGCGCCGACTTAGTGGCTGGCTGCTCAACATGCTCGGCACGTCTGAAGCAGAAGTCGCACGGCCTCGCGCCGGCGAGCCAGGCGCGCCCACGACGCGCATGCCTGCTGCTCGTCCAACGGTCCTTACGCATCGCGGCAGCACGGGCTCTGCGGGCAGCGCGCCTTCCAGCTCGCCTGTACTGCTGCCCGCAGGCAGCGCCGCGACCACTGCGGGCCTGACAGGTCCGCCCGCGCCCGGCTCGCGCAAGGCGGGCCTGCTCACGAGTCTGTCGTCCTCGGCGCGTCAGCGAGTCGGCAACCTGGACCGTGCTGTGCGCTCTCTGCGCGACGGCGAGGTTGCTGCGACGGGCGATGGCGCAGCTGAGGAAGGCATCTGGCTACTCGGTGTGCTGCACGGCGGCTCAGCCCAGCAACAGCGCCGCTCGCTGCTCGACGCCGACTCGCCTCCACTTCAGCCCGGCGGCCCGACGATCGAGATTCAGGGCGCCTCGCCGAACATTGCTCGCGTCAAGTCCGGCACCGCGCCGAGCTCGTCAGCGGGCCGCACGAGTGAGACGAGCTCGCTTAGCAGCGGCAGTGCGCCGCGGCGGCGCATCCGCGAGACGTCGCCCGGCGCGGAGTCGGCGTACTCGAGCGTGCTGAGCAGCGATGGCGGCGTCGAGCAGCACGACTTCCCACGCACGCCATCGCCGACCAAGCCTGCCTCGCTTGCGGACAGCAACGAGGAGGCAGTCATTGTGCGCAATCCGCCCACGCCACACAGCTCGCCAAATCCCTCATCGAGCTACGCGCCGCGCAGCATCGCGGCCGCCGTGTCGGCTGCAGGCGAGTACGCTGCCGCCACTGCACTCGCTGCGGTCAGCGGCCCTGCACCCGTGTCTGCGTCCGAGTCTGTGGCGAACGCGTTCCAGCACGACTTTGCCTCACGCGTCTGGTGCACGTACCGTGCCAACTTTGCGCCCATCTCGCGCGACGGCAGCATCTCGGCGCATGCTGAGGCGGCTGCCGCTCAGGCCGCGGCGGAGGCCGCCAAAGTGGAGGCATCTGGCTTGCCGAACCCATCGGCGCCGAGCACGTCCGCAGCGCGCAATGAGCGGCAAGGCACGCCAGCATCAGCCGGTACGCCTGGACAGCGCGGCTGGCTGGGTCGTCGCGTCGGCGAGGGCGGCTCCTCCGCTGACCTCCTCAGCACGTCGCCGACCAGCCCACACGTGCAGCAGAGTCCCGGGCTCGGCGCAGCTTTGGGCGTGGCGCGCGCCGTCGGCTCTGCCGCCGCGAGTCCCAGCACAAGCTATCCCGTCGCAGGCGGAACAGGCGGTCTGGGCGAGCGCATGGGCATTCCGAGCCTGTGGGGCCGCACGACCGCCGCGCTCTCGGCCACGCTCGGCGTGCGCTCGGACCTCACGCGCGACTCGGGCTGGGGCTGCATGCTGCGCACGGGTCAGAGCCTGCTGGCCAACGCGCTGCTCGATGTGCATCTCGGACGCGAGTGGCGGCGTGCGCCTCGTCCCCTGCCTGACGGCTCCGCTCCATCGAAGGAGGAAGATGGCGGCCGTGCATACGAAGCATGGCATCAGGAGCGCAGCCGCTACGCCACGTACGTGCGCGTGCTCAGCTGGTTCTTCGACGATCCGAGCCCGGCGTGTCCCTTTGGCGTGCACCGCATGGCGCGCGAGGGCAAGCGGCTCGGCAAGGAGCCTGGCGAGTGGTTCGGACCCAGCACGGCGGCCGGCGCCATCAAGCAGCTTGTCGACGACTTCCACGGGGCAGGCATCGGCGTCAGCCTCGCAGCCGACGGAGTCGTGTACCTGAGTCGCGCACGCAAGGCGGCACAGGTTCCCGGCTCGCATGCTTCGCCCCACGGCTCTCATCGCTGGCAGCGGCCGGTGCTGGTCCTGATCGGCGTGCGTCTCGGCCTCGACGGCGTGAACCCTGTGTACCACGAGTCGATCAAAGTGAGTGCTCGCGATCCGGCAGCAGGCGGATGTTGGCTGACTCCCGCTCCAGCGCGTCTTCACATTCCCGCAGAGCGTCGGCATTGCCGGCGGCCGACCGAGCTCGTCGTTCTACTTCGTCGGCTACCAAGGCTCGAAGCTCTTCTATCTCGATCCGCACAACCAGCGCCCTGCCGTGCCCTTCCGGCATCCGCCGCCGTCCCTGCAAGCCAACGATGCGGCGCCCGACGCGGCCGATGAGTGGTGGACGCACGTGTACAGCGAGGCAGAGCTCTCGACATACCACTATGCGCACGCGCCGAAGCGCATGGCGGTCGAAGGCCTGGATCCGAGCATGCTGCTGGGCTTCCTGTGCCACGACGAGGCCAGTCTGGAGGATCTCGCCGCTCGCGTACGCGCGCTGCCCAAGCCCATCTTCAGCATGCAAGACAAGCCGCCGCGCTGGATGATGGACGAGCAGGACGGCTCGGACGGCGAGGGCGGCGCCTACGACGAGGATGCGGCGCTGGAGAGCTTCAGCGAGAGCTCTGTCGATGCCGGCGACGAGGCAGGCCGCGATGACGCCGACTCGGACCATGACGATGAGGACAACGACTTTGCGCCGCCTCGTCCGGGCCATGCAAGCCGCAGCACGTCTGCCAACGATCTCTCTGGCTTCACCGAGGTCCCGCCCGTCACGGCGCGCAACTCTGAGCATGCGCCGAGCAGCTGGCGCGGTGCTGCAGCCATGTCGCGCTCGTCGTCGCAGGGCTCGCTGGGCTCTGCCTCGGCCACGTCTCACGGCGCACCGAGCGGCTCGAGCTGCGAGGCGCGACAGCGGCCCAGCGCCCAGCTTGCCTTTCCCGGAGCAAGCGACGAGCAAGACGAGCCAGAGCACGAGGCTCAACAGTCCAACAGCCGACAACGTCGCAATCAGCCGCCTCCCGTGCGCCAACGAGCGCGAGTCGAGACGGGCGCGCGGCGTCCTCACGACGCCAACGCCATTGCGCGGGCGCGTCAACATGTGCCCGACGTGCCTGCCGTCGCGTCGCCGCCGCTGCGAGAGAGCAGCAGCGGCATCAGCAACCACCACAACAACAACATCACCAACGCGCCGCTCATCACGCAGCGTCTCCGCTCGCGCACCGCACCAGCGAGCGAGGAGCAGCTGTCGGACAGCGACGTCACGTCGACGTGGGAGCAGGTCGGCGCTGCGCCGCCGCCTCGCGCTCCTGCTGCGGCGGCACCGCTGCCGCACAAGTCGTCTGCGCCTGCGCCGCGCTACGACGACTCGGACGATGACTTCTAGACGCTGCGCCTACCTCTCTACAGCATACCACGCAGCAGCCGCCCCTTCCTTGCCCTCCGCCGCGACTTTACTTACCCCCAAAGGCAGCGCCGGTCGCCCCGCCGCATTCCCCACCTCGCATACCCACGCCGTCTTCTCTCTCTCTCCCGCTCATCACGTTCCCGCGCTCCTCACTGTACACTACATCTTTGCGCTGCTGCCGTGTCATCGAACCGCTTGTCCCGTCTCTCGCTATCTGAGCATGTGGCACGCGGCGCTCCGAAGCGTCGGAGCGTGAGGCGGTGTCCAACGCGTGGGAGCAGCGTCGGCCGGCGTGTTGGGTTGGGGCGCCGCGCGGCACACTGCCCAGGTGCCTGCGCCGAGCTGGTCGCGGCGGTTGTATGCGACGCATTGAAGCTGTGCGCCAGGGTTTGTATTCACGGGCGCAGGCTCTTGTTGCGCGCCTCTCTGCGCTGTCCACGCGGGCGCGCTGGCGAGCATGTCCTGCTGCGAGCACCCGCGATCAAGCCTCATCCGACATCAGCGACTCGCAGCGCTTGTGATGCAACGACGGTGCTGTTGGAAGCAGATAGACGAGGTGCGCTGTGCGGCGGCGGCGGCAGCTTTTTGCGTGCGGGCGGCGTGCTTGATTCTGGACGCGTGGCGCACGCACGCCGCCGGCAAGGCAGGCAGGCACAGGCACACGGCGGCCAGGCACCACAGCACGGGCGCTCGTCTCAGCTCGCCACGCGCTGCGCTGCGCGTTTGCAGCAGCCGCCGAGGGGCGCGCCTTCGTGCCTTCGCCGCGCTGCCTCACGACCACCACCCCCCATCACCCACACCCCGCTTCCGACATGTCCGGAAACGTCCCCATGTGCGTCTTGCATCGAGCACTCGCGCGCTGCACCGTCCGCGTGCAGTCGTCGCGCCGGCTGCCGCTCCGTCTCGGGCGCTCGTCTTTGCTGGCACGGCCGGCGCGCGCGTGCGCGGCCCCACACGCCGCGCTCCGTCTGCGCCGTGCACTGCAGGCACTGTGGCGATGGCGGCTTGCGCTGCGGCAGACGCTCGGCGCTGGCATGGCAGCTGTTAGCCACGCCATCTGGTGGAGCACTGGACCTGCCGGCGTCGCGGACGTCCGCCTGCGCCGCGGCTGCTAGCGGCCCGCTCGCAGGCTGTGCCTGCCGCGCGAACGGCCATCACCGTCCATGTCGCATCGCTGACCTTGCGCTCCTCTCTGCAGCAACCGGAACGCCGACCTCACGGCGCCCACGCCGCAGAACACGCCGCTGAGCAATGCGCCGCTCACGCGCGAGGCGCTCAGCCGCCCCACCGTCGGCACCATTGGCGAGGAGGCCGAGGACGGCCAGGCCAGCGGTGAGTCTTGACTGCGCAGCCGCGAGTGATGTTGGCAGTGGACAGTGGCGACCAACAGTGTGTCGGTCACTCGAGCGCACGCCGCATGGCATGTCTTCAGATGCTGCAGCAGGTTCCGACGTGGAGTGGCACTGGAGGAGGCACGGCGGCGTTGGTGGCATCGCTCGCAAAGGCAGCGTGTTACACCGCGCTCTTCGGCGCGTCGTTCTTCCTCTGCGAGCCACGAGCTTCATTTGCGCGCACACGCATACCGCTCGGGCCGCGTCTCGCGGCGCGTGCCTGAGCGGACTTTGTGTTCGCTGCTTGAGTCGCCACGACTACCTGCGCGATGCCTCGTCGCTCTGCCTCGCGCTCTCTGAGCCAGCTGCTGACGCGCGTCCTCTTCAGACCTCGCTGCTGCCATGCAGGGCAACCCGGCGATTGCCAGCATGATCCAGAGCAAGCTCTCGGGTCTCGTCGGCCGCTCGTCGGGCTACCTCGAGTCGCTGCCTGACCACATCAAGCGCCGCGTCGAGGGCCTGAAGGGCATCCAGGTCGAGCACGCCAAGGTCGAGGCCGACTTCCAGAAGGAGATTCTCGAGCTCGAGAAGAAGTACGCCGAGCGCTACCGCCCGCTGTACGAGCGCCGCGCCACGATCGTCGAGGGCTCCGTCGAGCCGACGGCCGAGGAGGTCAAGGCCGGCGAGGCCTCGGACCCGCCGGAGGAGGACGACGAGGACGAGGAGGAGGCCGAGGAGCCCAAGAAGAGCCTCGCCGACGCCAAGGCGCCCGCCGATGCCGCCAAGGGCATCCCCGAGTTCTGGCTCACGGCGCTCAAGAACCACGTCGCCCTCTCCGAGCTCATCACCGAGCGCGACGAGGAGGCGCTCAAGGCGCTGCGGGACGTGCGCATGAGCTACCTGCCCGGCACGCAGGCCGGCTTCAAGCTCGAGTTCGTCTTTGGCCCCAACGACTTCTTCACGAACTCGAGCCTCAACAAGACGTACTACTACCAGGACGAGGTGGGCTACTCGGGCGACCTGGTCTACGACCACGCCGAGGGCGACAAGATCGAGTGGAAGGAGGACAAGGACCTGACGCACAAGGTCGAGACGAAGAAGCAGCGCAACAAGAACACGAACCAGACGCGCACCGTCAAGCGCTCCGTGCCCGTCGAGTCGTTCTTCAACTTCTTCTCGCCGCCCAAGCCGCCCACGGGCGAGGAGGACGGCGAGGAGGCCGACCTCGACGAGTGAGTGGCGCTGCAGCGTGGCCACACACTGCGCCGCACATGGCTGACAATCCTTGCCAGGCTCGACGAGCGCCTCGAGCTCGACTACACCATCGCCGAGGACCTCAAGGACCGCGTCATCCCGCACGCCGTTGACTACTTCACCGGCAAGGCCCTGGCCTACGAGGACGATGGTGCGTAGTTGCCGCCCTCGTGCTGCTTGACCATCATGCTGACTCTGGACCCTCAGACTTCGGATCGGAGGACTTCGAGGTGCGCCGCTCGCGCTCATGAGCTCGTGTGAGGCCGCTTCTGACCAAGCGCCCCACTGTTGTAGGATGACGAGGATGACGAGGACGATGAGGACGACGCGGTGAGTGCCGCGATAACAACGACGACAGCGCGCTCTGGCTCACACGCACGCTGGACCCACAGCCCGCTGCCCGCCGCGGCCAGCTCGGCGTCTCTGCCGGCTCACAACAGCCGCAGGAGGAGTGAGTGCCACACCGCTCGTCATCTATTTATCGCGCTGACGGTGCTCTTGCCCTACAGGTGCAAGCAGTCAGTCTCCTCTCACGAGTGATGCTCATGATCGAAGCCCCTACTGACACTCCTTGTGCACACAGGCAGTAAAGAAGGTCTTGCTGACCGTCTAGCGGCTCCGCCACCTCTGTAGGCCCGCTCAGCCATATGCACCCGCCCGTGACGCGAAACGAAGCTGCTTCCCGCCTCGACACCGCTCCGGCCTTTAGACTTCCTTCTCTTCCCCTGGCCGCTGTGCTGCGCCCATGCCTTCTGCCGCAATTCACGGCCCTCTGTTCCACGCCTTCACAGCTCAAAAGCAGTCTATGCAAGTGTACAGTGACCGAGGGCCCACAAGTCGAAGGGAAGGAGGCAGGTGCGCCCTCTACAGCAGGAGGAGCAGGCAAGGCGGAGGAGCTCAGACGAAGCGCTTGTAAGAGTGCGTCTCGACCTCCTTGCGGCGCTTCATGCCGCCGCGCTGCGTGCCGGCCTGCGGCATGACGAGCTTGCGCGGCTCGGCGAGGCCGCGCGCCGTCAGGCTGTCGAAGCGGTCGCGGAAGAGGTTGCCCTCGGGCTGAAGGTGATTTGAACAGCTCGTGTCAGCGCCAGGTTTCTCTCCTTGCCAGCAAAGCGTGCATGCACACCTTGAGCGTGCGCAGGCCGTCCGCCAGCTCCTCGCCGAGCTGCACGTCGATCTCCTGCTCCGGCACGCGGAACTTGCCCACACGCTCGCCGCGCATGCCGTCCTTGAGGCGCCGCTCGTCCAGCAGCGCCTGCTTGGCTGCCGCAGCCGCGAGCCGTTCGCGCTCGGCACGTGCCTGCGCCTTCTTGAGCGCTGGCAACGATAGGAGCGAGGCGCGCTGCATGCGCAGGGCCTTGGCTGCCATGCGTGCTGCCGCCTGAAGGGGAGCGTCAGAGGAGAGGCAGTCGCTGCGTCGTCTGTCCTGCACGCACCTCTGCCTTGACGCGAGCAGCGCGGGCTCTTTGCGCCTTGGTCTTGCGTTTCGGGTCCGTGTTCTTCGGCTCTGCATCCTCGTCCTCACTGAGTTCCGGCACCTCCTCCTCGGCATCCTCATCGGCGCTCTCCATTGCCTCTGCATCGCCGGCGCCCACCAGCATGCCGCGCACGCGCTGTCCGCCCTCGTCGAACGCTGCCACCTCGGCACCGGCCTTCCAGCCCTTCTTGTACGCCGCGTCCTTCAGCCGCACCTCCTCGGCCCGCACCGCCGCAGCGCCGGCCGACGTGAGCAGCTCGTCGTGCGCTGCTGCTGGCGGGTTGTACGATTGGCCCTCGTGCGGTACCACGACTGCTGCCGGCGCGATGGTCGGGCGCGCTGCCGTCAGCGTCCGCGGTGCCTTGCGTGGCTTCTGCAGAGCGAGCGGGCGTCAGTGGGGCAGTCTCGCCATCACGGATCGCGCCACGCACATTGTTGGACTTCTCCATCGCCGCAGCCAGCCACTCGTTGCTGCTCTCGTCGGCCTTGCGCTTGCCGGCGGCGGCCGACTGCTGCTGCCAGAGGTCGTACTCGGCGTCCGCGACGGCCTCCTTGTCCTTGCTCTTGCCCTGCTCGCTCTCCACGACGGCGCCAAAGGGGCCCTTGACGGCGCGCCCGGCGCTGCGGCGCAGCTTGTCCTTCTGCTTCTTGCTCATGCCCGACGCCTGCAGCGCCGTCTGGCCGGCGGCGACGCCGGCGCGCGCGCGGCCCGCCACGGGCGGCACGGCGCTGGTGCTGCGCAGCACCTCGAGGCTGCGCAGCGGCTTCTGTGCGCGGCGGGCGCGCGCCATGCGTGCGCCCACCGCCTCGTCGCCCGTGCGGTCCTCGACGAAGAGCGGCGCGCCGGCACTGCCGCTGCCATCGCGCTCGCGCGCACGCGCAGCATCGAGGGCCGCCTCGACGGGCGCCAGGTCGACGTTCTTGCGCCACGCCGCCTTGCCCTTGCGCGACGGCTGCCGCGCTGCGGGTGCGCCGGTGGAGGAGGAGGGTGCCATGGCTGGGGTGTGTGTGTGCGGGAGGTGTAGGTGTGGAGACGCTCGGCTCGGAGTGCGAGCGCTCGAGGCTTGAGCTGGACCCCACCAGCCAACTTTTTGCGGCGCCGCGGCACGTGAGCCGTGGGAGCAGCTGGCTCGGAAGGGCGTAGTCGGCTGTAGTCGAGCTTGTGACGTGGAGCCGTGATTGTTGTATTCGCTCAGCGCCCGCGCACAAGCCGCGCCCAGGCCTCGAAGTCGCTTCCCCACGCCACGGCGACTCAGAGCAGGCGTCTCGCCCGCCTGCGCTTCTCGCCTCCGTCCACCACCACCGCACCTGCCTGGCCCGGCATCATGCGTCTCCTGCTCCTGTCGCTCCTGCTCGTCACGCTCGCACAGCTCATCGCCGGCGATGCAGGCGCCGCCGCGGCGCCGCCGTCGGCCGCCGAGCAGCTGCGCCTCGGCACGGCGCACCTGACGTCGGGGCGTGCCTCGGCGGCCCTCGCCGCCTTCGACGCTGCGCTCGCCGTCGAGCTGGCGTCGTCCAGCGGCGCCTCGTACCTGACGCACTTCCGCCGCGCCACTGCGCTCCTCTCGCTCGGCCGCACGGGCGCGGCACTGCAGGCCCTCGACGCCGCCCTCGCCCTCAACTCGCACTTTGCCGCCGCGCACCTCGAGCGCGCCCGTGCGCTCACCAAGGACGGCCAGCTGGACGCGGCCGCGGCGGCGCTGAAGCAGTACGTCGCCAGCAAGCCGGGCGATGCGGCCGCACTGGCGCTGCAGGCCTCGCTCTCGCGCGCCGGCGACGCCCGCCGCGCAGCGCAGAAGGCGCTGGCCGACGTGCGCAAGGCCGCGGCCAAGCAGCGCCCGCTCGACGCTGCCGGCCGCGCGCGCGCCGACGAGTGTGCGCGCAACGCTGCGGCTGTGCTCGAGGTGGCGCCGGGCGAGCTCGAGGTGCGCCGATGGCGCGCAGAGTGCTGTGCCGAGAAGGAGGAGTTTGACGAGGCGCTCGCCGACTGGAGGTGACTTGTTCTGACGTGCCTGCCATTCGTCACGAGACTGACACGCGCTCTGCAGCCGCATTGCGCATCTCTCGCCCTCGCCCTCGCTTCTGCTTCGCCTCTCGTCGCTCTCCTACTACATTCTCTCGACGCACGACTCGGGTCTGCGCACCTCTGCACTCGTGCATCTCAAGTCCTGTCTCAACTCCGATCCCGACAATGGGCGCTGCGCACGGGCTCACCGTCGCCTGCGTGCCTTTGAGAAGTCGCTCAAGAAGGCACAGGGCTTCGCCGAGAGCGGCGCCTGGCGGCCAGTGCTGTCGGCTTTGCGAGGCGGCAAGGTCGGCGGTCTGGGCCTCATCGAGGACGTCACCGCTGCCATCCAGGCAGATGCCGCCATTGCAGAGGGCGACAGCGAGCCAATCCTGCCTGTGCAACTGCGCGACCCGCTCGCGCACTCCGCCCTGCTGCACGAGCTGCGCGCGCTGCACTGCCGCGCCTACTTTGAGCTCGACGAGCTGGCCAAGGCCAAGCCGTTCTGCGAGGCGGTCCTGGCACGCGATCCCGACAATGCATTCGCCCTTGCGGCGCGGGGCGAGGAGCACCTGGCGGCAGAGCGGTATGAGGATGCGGTGCGGGATCTGGAGAAGGCGCTTCAGACCGCAGGCGGCCAAGATCGAGGCCTGCACGCGCGCCTGCAGAAGGCACAGAAGCGGCTCAAGCTGAGCAAGACGAAGGACTACTACGCCGTGCTCTCGGTGCCGCGCACGGCCTCGGCAGCAGAGATCAAGAAGGCCTTCCGGAAAGCGGCAAAGATCCACCACCCTGACAAGGGCGGCAGTCCGGAGAAGATGGCGCAGGTTAACGAGGCGTTTGGCGTGCTGGGCAACCAGGAGCTGCGCGACCGGTACGACGCTGGAGACGATCCGAACGACCCGGCTGGCGGACAGGGAGGCTTCGCAAACCCGTTCCAGCAGGGCGGCCATCCCTTCCAGCAATTCGTGAGTGACTACGCGGCTTTGCTGCTGCGGCATCCCGAGACTTCTGGCTTGAGCATCTGCTTGAATGGCCCTCCAGCGTCAGAGCGCCCGCCCTGCGAGCAGCCTTGCTGACGCCATCTCTCTGTGCTGCAGTTTCAACAACAAGGCGGCTCGCCGTTCGGCAACCACTTTGGAGGGCAGCGGCAGCAGTTCCACTTCAACTTCTAGATCTCCCCAGCCTCACAGCCTCAGCGTGCAATCGCATATACGTCACACTTCGACTTGCCTCGTCGCCGCCACACCTGGGGCGGGCGTTGGGAGCAGGGCTGAGGATGGCCACGCCGCGATCGGCCCGTTCACGCGAGCCGCTCGTGAAGCGCGGATGGCTGCGCACGTTGGCCTGACGATGTAGACGATGCATTAGGGGGTGGTGGTATGATGTGCAGAGCATTGAGGAGCGGCCGCAGATGATGATGACAGATGATGCATGCTCGCGGACGAGCGTCTATATGGGGAGCGTTTGCCGGCGCAGCGAAGCTTCGCTGTGCCCTACGCCGCGCGAGCCGCGGCAGCAGCGCTGAGCGACTCGCTGCACAGCCAGCGGCGGATGACCTGCTTGCCCTTGCGCAGGTTCACGAGGCGCAGGCGCTCGTCTGCGAGATGCGCGCAGTCCGACGCCTGGCCCATCGGCAGGTGCACGGCGGGAGCGCCGAGCTCTTTCTCGAGGATGGCCAGAGCCGGAATGGACTGTCGCGGCGGCGATCAGATGTGAAGAAGGACAGAGCACAGAGAAAGCACTCACACCGCCTTCTCGGATGGACACTGGAGGGATGCCCCACTCCGCCTCGACGGCCTTGGCCAAGGCAGAGGCATAGGCGCTCTCGATGCCGAGCCACCAGTCAGCCTGGTGTCTCAGCACCACCTGCAACGAGTTTGGGCTCTGCATCGCCGCAAACGTCTCCTTGAGCGCCTTGATCAGCGCTTCGGTGATGCTGCGCAGGTCTTGGTCGGGCACGAGGCGCAGCGACACGGCTGCCGTGACCCGCGCGGGAATGACGCTGGCGTTGCCGCCGCCCGAGCCGCTCGAGACGTTGACGCGATGCACGCTCAGCGACGGATGCCGCCAGCGCGCCATGAGCGCCTCGACGGAGACGCCGGCGCCGCCGCGCGAGGAGCGCATGGCAGCCAGCGCGGCGTACGAGGCGCGCTCGGACGCCGAGACTGGCCGGACCGAGTCGTAGAATGTAGGGATGAGCACTTGCTCGCCTGACGACAGTGAGGACAGCAGCTTGACCATCTGTGATGGGTTACACGCGTCCTGGTCAGCGTTGAGTGGACGTGCCTCAGGCGACGGGCACTCACGTCGATCATTGGCTCCCGCATCGCGCCGCCGTCCACGCCCGAGTGCATGTCCAGTGCCCCGCTGCGAACCTCGATCTCCGCCTGGACGACGCCTCTGAGGCCCACTGTGAGGCACGGCGTGTCTTCGCCCAGCCAGTACGAGTTGCTCAGCAGCACCACGTCCTGCCAGAGCTGCAATCAGCACGTGTGGCGTGCAGGCTTGAAGGCAGAGTCACTCACCACGTCTCCAATCTGATCCCTGGCGCGTCTCACGGCATCCAAGAAGCCGCTTCCTCCGGCCTCCTCCTCGCCCTCCACCAGCAAGACAACGTCCGTCTCGAGCTTGCCCTCCTTCATCAGCTCTGCCGTCGCATGCGCAATCGCCAAGCACGGGCCCTTATTGTCGCTGACGCCGCGCGCGAAGAGGTAGCCATCCCGTCCGGCGAGTGTCCAGGGATCGGACGTCCAGCGCTCCGTCGCACCCGGCGCAACGACGTCGTAGTGCGCGTAGGCCACGACACGGCGCCGCGGCTTCAGGCTTGAGCCGCACGCGCGGAAGGTGGCCAGCACGAGGGGATTGCGCCCTTCTGCGCCTGCCAGCAGAGACGTCTCGGCGCCCAAGTCGGAGAGATGCGCCTTGAGCCAGTGTGCGCACTGGCGACAGTCCTCGCGCAGGGTCTCCTGCGCCGAGACGGAGCGGAACGAGACAAACTGCGCCAGCGCGGAGAGCAGAGGATCGCCGCCTGCGAACGCCGTTGCCGGCGCAAGGGCGCCTTCTGAGCCATTGCCGGAGGGCAGCGGAGAGACGGGCACGTCCCAGATCTTGATGAGATTGTCCGATGCGCCGGTGAGCAGTGTGGCGCTGATGCCCGTGCTCTTGAGACTGGCGAGTGACAGCACGATGGCATCCTGATGCGCCCTCCACTCGGTGACGCACTTGAAGCTTGCATCCCACTTCCTGACGCTCCCGTCTGCAGACGCGCTGAACAGACACTTGGTCTGGCCCGGCATCGAGACGGCAAGAAGCGCCAGAACGTCATCGCTGTGCGCCGGCAGCGAACGCACTACGCGCGCAGTCTCCACATCCCAGACCTCCACCTCGCCGCCCTGCAGGCCCGCAAAGAGCGTGTTGCGATCCCACGCTGCGAGGGCCAGCACGCCATTGGGACTGTGGTGCAGCGTGCCGTGCTCGATGAGTCCGTCAGGCGTGCAGATCCACAGCTTGATGTCCTCGTCGCCCGAGCCTGACACGAGGAGTGGCTTGCCGCCCGGCGCCGGCGGCAAGAGCTCGAGCGCGTAGACATAGCCGTGATGCGCGTTGGGCAGCATGTTGCGCGTCGGCAGCTGGATGGCACGAACGTTGCTCGTGTCTAGGAGCGGCACGCCGGAGGATCCCGGACTGGACGCCGCCGAGCCCAGCGGCGAGCCTGCAGCATGGCGATACGAGACGTCTGGACTCGTGCTGGCGCGCTCGAAGAAGCCGCGGCGCGGCACAGCAGGTGCCGGCGACGAGGCGAGGCCGAGCGGCGGCGTGTGCAGCGCTGCGACGGGTGTGCCAGCGCGCGTACTGCTGGCACTCGCAGACAGCCGCGTCTGGCTGCCGCCGCCGCCGTGCGGGCCGGAGTCGAAGAACTTGTGTGGACGCACGATGGGCACCGACGCCGTGCCGCTGCGCTCTGTCGCAGCCTGTAGCGAGGCGAGCGAGATCCACTGCGCGCTGTGTTCAGTGTCTGCGTGCAGAGAAACGTGCAAGCAGCACTCACTTGCAGGCTCGTGTTCTGACAGCCAAAGTAGAGCGTCTGCAGCGCCGCACACCACTTGACTGCATCGCCATCAGTCAGCGCCGCACAGGCATGCGCCCAACGCCGGCGAACTCACGTGCGAAGATGTCGCCCACGCGCTCGTCGGCAGGGTAGATCACAAACAGCGGCGAGAGCGTGTGCACGTCCCAGATGCGCACCGTGCTGTCGCCTGGCACGCACGAAGCGCCATCCTTATCAGCGGCGGCGCTGTCAGAGTCGCTGCCGACGGCACTCACCACTGGCACTGAAGAGCCAGCCCTTCTCGGCGCACAGCTCAAGCGCCAGCACGCTGGCGGTGTGACCGATGAGGCGCGTGCGCTCCTGGTACGTGTTGAGATCCCACACCTGGCGTGTGCGGCAGGGTGTGAGCATGCAAAGCGAGCGCCGGCGAGACGCCGCCGTGCTCACGAAGATGTCCTCGCACTGGCTGCCGCTGAAGACGAGGCCGCTGGCCTCGTCGACGGCGAGCGAGAGCACGCTGGTGTCGTTGTGCGAGATGGTGTGCGTCGTCGCCGGCTGCTGCGGCGCGGCGGCAGCGCCTGCCTGGGCGTGCTGCTGGGTCAGCTGCTGCTGCGCCTGCTGCACCGAGAAGGCGCGTGCGATGCCGCTGGGCGACGTGCCGCTGGCGGGCAGCGGCGACGCCGGGCCTGCTGCGCTGGATCCGCAGGAGAGCGAGGCGCCGAAGAGCGAGACGCTGATGCGCGACGGCACGGCGTCGGCGCCGCTGCCGGCGTGCGCGGGGCTGTGGGCGCCGGCGGGCCGGGATGTCCACTGCGGCTGCGGCGCGGCGGTGCCCGCATCGGGCGAGGCGGCGAGGGCGAGGCGCTGCATGCCGCGCACCGGCTGCGCCTCCTCGGCGGGCGGCGCAGAGGGCATGCTGCGGCGGGGCAAGTTGGAGGGCACGGCGAGGAGCGATGCGGAGCAGAAGGAAGGATGCGCGCGAGCAATGCGGCAAGCAAGAGCAACAGCAAGCACGGCCTTGGGCGCGCCGCGGAACACGAAGGCGCGGCCGGCGCGCCCCGAGCACGCAAGCGGCGCCGCGCGCGCCCCTGGCGGCCGGCGTCCGGAGGAGCCCGCCAGGGGCAGCACACAGAGAGACAGGCGCCCTCGACCGCTTGCACTGATCTGCTCACTGTTGGGCCGCCTGAAGCGGTGCAGGGCCTTTGCTCGCCTCCGGGCTGAAGCGAGAGCAATGCATGGCTGCAGCCAGGCAGGCGCACGGCATAAGAAGCGGCGCGCAAGGCGGCCTTTGGCCTCACCGTCTCACCCATCCGGCTTGCGTGGCTCTCTCCGTCTATATTCCTGCGCCGTCCCTACCTTCTCCCGCGACACCCTCACTGCAACTCCATCCTCGCGCAACATAACCCTCTCGTCGAGCATGGACCGCACAAACGAAGAGCGCTCGTCATCGCCTGCGCTGTCCGTCACATGCGACGGCGGCTGGCGCGTGGTTGCGCCGCCGGAAGAGCTGCTGTGTGTCCATCGTGCAAACGGCCGCTTGCTTCAGCAGCCAGACTACATTTGCAGAGAATATGCAGAGAGGAAGTGCTTCCTCGGATGCAATTGCCCGCCGCGGGCCGTAACCGTACTTCCGCTCGATGAGCCGATATTGTCAAACCCGGTGAGCACTGCACCGCGCGCAAACGCGAACAGAGCTTGCCGCTTGGCCGTGAAAGTCAGCCTGCTGAGACACTCTACCCTCAGTGCAAGTGGTGGCGCGCCGTGGGTGGCCTTTCGCAGGACACAGCTGCGGACGCTGTCAGAGAGAAGCTGATGCTGCACAATGCTGTCAGGCTCCCGCACAGCATACAGAGAGCAATGGGCTGCTCGGCCGGAGCGTACTTCATGCTTTTGGGTGCCGAGCTGCACGAGCCGATCCTCAAGATGGAGCGCTGGCTGACGGCTCGAACGGCCGATGTTGACCATGCAACCCTCTGGGACACAGGTAGCGACGTCCTCGGCCTCTACGGATCGAAGGACAATCGCGACCTGCTGCGCGAGCTCCCCGGCACGTTCCACGCCTTTGAGGTGATTGTGCTGCAGCAACCGGGCCGCTTTTTGGACACCCACGACCTCGGCACACTGGTCACCAACTTCAGCCGCGAGATGAGACTGGACCAACACATGCAGCACATTATCGACGAGAGGGCCAGCCAAATTGCGCCTTTGGTCTACGTCCCGCCTCTGCCTCGGCTGCGCCTGCCGCTGAACATCATCAGCGTCGCCTTGATCACTCTCGCGCAGCTTCTGCGGTACGAGCACAAGCTCGGGAGCACCACTCTCGCTCTGTCGCTGGAACTGCAGCGTCTGCGCGAAGAAAACGAGTATTTGCTGCAGCTGGTCGAGGCCGACTCCTTTGCCGAGTGGCGCACAAGCCTGCGTCGCCCAGCCAGTCTCCCGCCTCTACCGTCTCCGATGCCAGGGCCCGTCAAAGCAAGACGGGCATACGCGGATCCCTTCAGCGGCGCACAGGCAGCATCCAACGACGATCAGGACGACCTCACGCAAGCTTCGCCGGAGCACAGCGGGGCCGGGGGCGGAGCTGGCCGCGGCAACACGCGCTTGATGCCGTCTGCCGAGTACATTGCCGAGCACGAGCGACACGGCTACAGCATCAGCTTCGAGGTGCCTCACGACAGATGCGACGCCGATACGAAGACGTGGTATTCGCAGCGCCTCGAGCCCAGCGAGAAACGCCTCTGAGCTCAGGTCGAGGAGGCGGAGCGCCAGTCCATGAGCGGTCCCGACGGCAGCATCTGCGCTGCTGGTCTGAAACGCCTGCGCGACCTCGATCCTGACAGCGATGACTATGCGTTGAGCAAATTCCTCGCTGCCGTCGACGAGCGCATGCACTGGCATTACCATGCCAGGCAGGAGCGGCGCCAGCTACGGGAGCGCGCCGAGCTGGAGGCTGAGCAGGCTGCAGCCCTCGAGGAGCGGCAGCTGGCGGACGACTCGGGGATCACACTGCGGCTCGAGTGGCGTCAGGTGCCGTGAGGACGCTCCTGACCATAAGGCTGAGCGCACGCGACGCGCCACGCCCCCTCTCGCTTGGGAGAACATCGTGTCAGGGCCAAGCCCCCATATTCACATCTATAACACTTGCAAGACTGTTCACGATCTATGTGATGATCTGATGCCTGTCTCTTGTAGCGCCTGTGTTAAGCAACCAGCTAGCGAGTGATGAGGCCATGCTATTTCTCGGCGACGTGGCGCGTCGCTTTCTGCGCGCGCGACTCCCGTCTGCCAGCCCCACCGGCGTGGGACACTTGACTGGACTCGCTCGCAGGCTCAGCACCGCCATCACACACCGCTCGCTGCCCCACCGCTGCCTCTGGCCTGGCGCGGCCCTCACATCCAGCCCGCTCCGCAGCTTCTCTCCGCCGCGGCGCGCACAGCATGCCTCAGCGCGCACAGAAGACGCTGCCCAGCACGCCCGGGCCCTCCACCGCCAGTGGCAGCGGCTCCGGCGGCGCCCACGGCGGCGGCGGCAGCGGCCATGGGCACGGCACACCGGCGCCCGACGAGGCGCCGCTCATCGCCGCTCCGGGCACGTACGGCATCGCAGACGTTATCGTCGGCTGCAAGATCTTCGTCGAGAAGCCCGACCTCGCCACGGCCGAGGTGGAGCAGCGCCTGGCCGAGATCCTCTCCGTGCGCGAGCGCCCCAAGCCGCGCCGCCTCGGCGCCGGCGCGGCGGCCGCGCGTGCCGAGGACGAGGCCCGCCCGGCAGAGGAGAAGCTGGAGTACTACGTGCACTATGCCGAGTTCAACAAGGTGCGTCGCTCTCCCTGCTCGTGAGGCCGCGTAGGCTGATGCACGCGTCAATCTGCAGCGCCTGGACGAATGGGTCTCGGGCAAGCGCCTCATCTTCACGCGCGAGATGACTTGGCCCAAGCCCGTGGCGCCAGCGGCTCCACCCGGCACCGGCACTGGGCGCAAGAAGACGGCGCGGCCGAGTGTCTCTGGAACGCCGGGCACTCCAGGCACGCCGAGCGCAGCGCCCTCACGCACGGCGAGCAGCAACCTGCTCAAGAAGGCCGCCATGGCGGCCGCGAGCCAGACGCAGGAGTCGCTCGACGGCAGCAGCAGTGTCGCTACGCCAGGGCCGCTCCGTGCGGCTGCCAGCGCGCCGTCGCCGCAAACGCCGTCGCGCGGCAGCAGCAGTCCGGCGCCCATGACGCCCGGCGCCGACGGCGACGTGGAGATGGACGACGGCGACACGACGCACGGCGGCGTCGGCGAGCACGCCGCCGTCGTCACCGTCGAGATGGTGGGCGAGACGAGCGAAGCCAACGCGGAAGAGGCCGGCGAGGCGGCGTCGGTCAACCGCGAGCTGCATCCCAACGCGCGGCCGGGCGTCAAGCAGCCCGGCACGTTCAGCAAGGCGGCCGAGATTGAGAAGCTGCGCACGTCGGGCAGCATGACGCAGTCGGTGCACGAGGTCTCGCGCGTCAAGAATCTGAATCGCATCCAGATGGGCTCGCACGAGATCGAGACGTGGTACTTCAGTCCCTACCCGATCGAGTTCGCCCACGTCGACACGCTCTACGTGTGCGAGATGTGCCTGTGCTACTTTCCGACGGCCTTCATCATGGCACGCCACCGCAAGAAGTGCGGCATCGTGCATCCGCCGGGCAACGAGATCTACCGGCACGAGGACATCAGCTTCTTCGAGATCGACGGGCGCCGGCAGAAGACGTGGTGCCGCAACCTGTGTCTGCTAAGCAAGTGCTTCCTCGACCACAAGAGCGTCTACTACGACGTCGACCCCTTCCTCTACTACGTCATGGCGCAGCGCGACGATGCCGGCGCCCACATCATCGGCTACTTCTCCAAGGAGAAGGAGAGCGCCGAGAACTACAACGTGGCGTGCATTCTGACGCTGCCGCAGCACCAGCGCGCCGGCTTCGGCAAGCTGCTCATCGAGTTCAGCTACGAGCTGACGAAGCGCGAGCACAAGCTCGGCAGTCCCGAGAAGCCGCTCTCGGACCTGGGCCTGCTGGGCTACCGCGCCTACTGGGCCGAGACGATCGTGGAGCTGCTGCTGCGCACTGAGGAGGAGATCTCCATCGACGAGATCGCCAACCGCACGGCCATCGTCCACGCCGACATTCTGCACACGTGAGTGGCCGTCCACTACCGACGCGCAGCGCACAAACTGACACGCCCTGCCTCCCAGCTGCACGGCGCTAAACATGCTCAAGCACTATCAGGGCAAGCACTACCTCGTGCTCAACGACATTGTGCTGCAGAACCACGAGAAGCAGATGAAGAAGAAGCGGCGGCGCATCGTGCCCGAGCGGCTCAACTGTGCGTGTGCGCTGCTACTGCCCGTGTCTCTGCACTCAGCTGATTCCTCCTCGTCTTCCTGCAGGGGAGCCGCCGCGCTTCACTCGCGAGCAGCTGCGCTTCGGCTTCTGAGCCTGCCGTGCCTCACTCCTGCTCCAGCTTTCTCTACGCCGACCGTTCCTGGACATGCCTCTCACCGTCACCGTCGCCTTGCTCGCTGTAAGCCTAGTTGTAATCTATCCGTTGCTGCTCAAAGGCAGAGGGGTATGAGGAGATGCGGGTATGTTGTCCGGGCACGGCTGCCGTCAGGCTGCCTCGCCGTCGTCGTCAAGCGCGTCCGGCACGCAGTCGATGCTCGCCGTGGGGCTGAGCCACTCGAGGAGATACAGAAAGAGCATGTCGACGGCGACGATGATGCAGAACACCTTGCCGGCGACGGGCCCGCCGGCGTAGTAGCTGTACGTGGGGGGAAGGATCAGCGCTCGGCCAAGCGCTGCCGGCTCACAGCACGCACCGACTCAGCCGCTCGACGCTGTCGGGCACTGGGCGTGCCATCGCAGCGTCGTACATGCGCTCCGTGCGCGCCGCTACGTCGCTCCACGAGTACATGTCCTTCACAGCCGCATGGTACTGCCACGGCTCATGCTGGCCTGCGCGCACCCGTGCAATGGCCTGCTCCGTCGCGCGAACGACGTCTGGTGCGGCGCAAGGATCAGCGATGGCGCACAGGCGTACGCGCCTGCACACGTACCATCCTCGTCGGGCGCAGCAAGCAGGCACATCCACGGCGGCAGCACCTCTGGCACGCCGCCGACGCGCGTGCTCACCACGAGCAGCCCGGCGGACGCCGCCTCGATGAGTGACATGCCGAACGCCTCGGTCAGGCTCGTGTTGAGGAACATCTGACCACGCACCAGGTGCTAGTAGACGTATTGAGGCATGATCTGAGCGATCATCATGGCAGCGCTCGCGCTGTCACTACTCACGTCGCGCGCATCGCCCTGGCGGATGGCACCGCACAGCTCGACACGCTGGTGCAGCAGGTGCTTCTCGCGCATCTGCTCCAGCTCCACTCGCTTCGGCCCATCGCCGCCGATGACAAAGTGCACATCGGGGTGCCGCTCGCAAATCCGTGGAATGGTTGCGATGAGCAGGTCGATGCCCTTGCGGTACATCAGACGGCTGAGCACCACAATCGTCACTGGACACGGGTCAGTCTGAGCAGCGCCACAGCGCGCGGTACACGGACTCACGTCTGTCGGGAGAGGCTGCTGCTGGGTCGGGTCGGAACTGGGCAGGCACGACGGCGTTTGGGATCACGTAGACCTTGCGTGGATCGAGCGCAGCGCGCAGCGTCGTGTTCTCCTTGCTGCAGGAGAGAGGCGATCAGTGAAGTACCTCTTGCCTGTCGCACCGAGCGCACGTACCCGACATGGCTGACGCAGCACACGCCGTCAACGTCGCTCAGCACAAAGCGCAGCAGCTTGTTCGTCAGGATGCTCGCGGCGTCGGCGAAGCCGAAAAGCGAGTGGTCGGTGAAGACCGCACGCAGACCCATGGTGCGCGCGTGCAGGATGCCTTCGTGCGCCATGCTCGACAGCGCTTGGTGGCCGTGCACAATGTCGATGCGCTCGCGCACGAGGATGGAGCGCAGCTGTGGAAAGAGGCCAAAGAATTGCGGCAGCGTGTCTTGCCGTGCAATGACTTCGAACGGGACGTGATAGACCTTCAGCCCCGATGGCAGATAGCGCACGCCTGTGCGGTCCGGCGCGTACGCGTGCGTGATGACGATGACCTCGACTCCTGGTCAGCAGCCGGCAACCTGCCGCGTCCGCAGACGCTCGCTCACCTTGTGTCCGCGCGCGATCAACTGCTGGCTCAGCGCGTACATGTGGCCCTCAACGCCGCCGACGTTTGGAAAGAAGAAGTCGGAGATCATGCTGCGGGTCGCGCGTCGAGGTGAATGATTATCAGATTGCTAGGCGTCAGCGTGCAACGCAGCGACGCCGGGGTGGGAGGGATGCCAGCCTCACGCGATGCGGTAGCGCTGCTTTGGAGACGACTCGGCAGCGGAGGCGGCGGGGGGAGCGACTGCGGAAGCGAGATCGAATGCGCCGAGCGCACCAAGCTCGAGGTCCAGGCGTGCTGCCAGACGCTGCGCCAGCCCGACGGACTCCGTGAGTTCTGCGTTGCTGTCCCGAGGCTGCTCGAGAGCGAGCGCTTGAGTGATGAGCACCAGACGCGTCGCCAGGACGAAAACTTGCGCCGAGCTGTGTGGCCGCAACGGCCCGTCGCCGTCGAGCCCGAGCTGGTCGGCGAAGCGATGCAAGGCGTGACAGTGGCGTTGGATGAGCCCTGCCGCATCGCCCTGGCCATCCGTCAGCCGCAGTTTGCGCCGCGAGACTTCTCGCGCGCACCGCAGCAGGTCCTGCTGCGGCTGCTTGTACTGGTTGGCGGCCTCCTCCGCGAACAGGGCAGAGGCGGTGGAGAAGCAGGCCGTCATGTCCAGCTCTGTGCTGGACGTCAGTGCACATTCGGGCAAGACGAGGGAGGCCACGTACCAAATGCAGCGTCGTCTCGCAGCAGCAGGCCGCGCACGCAGGCAGACCACCGAGCCGCATCGGTGCCGGTGCATGTGCTGGACATGTAGTCCCACGCCCGATCAGTGCTGGCCTGGCTGCACACGCTGGCGCGCATGGCCATCGCGCGGACGACCTGGATGCTGCCGTGCTGCTTGTCTGCTGCCGACAATGCCGCCACGTTCGCGCCGATGGTCGCACCCGCGAGCTCGGCCGCGCTTTCGCGCAGCTCCTCGTCGTCGTCGGTCAGGAGCGTGATGCAGGCAAGACGGGCAGCGAAGAGTCGCGAAGGGAGCGGGTCGGATTCGGCCTGGTCGGCCTTGGGGAACAGCCTGCCTCGCAGAGCATGCAGCGCTTGCAGCGCGGCGAAGCGGAGGTGCAAGGGCTGCAGAGGGGTGTGAGCAGGAGAGACCTTCTTCCTGGGGCTTGACTCACCTGCTCGGCTTCGCTCCAGGCGGCGACTTGACCGCAGCACACGTCTAGATGCCGCGTCGCCTCGAAGCTGACGCTGCCAGCAAGACTTGCGACCACAGCGGCATAGACAGGCAACAGAGCTGCTTGAAGAGGCATGCTGGGCGTCGAGGAGATGACGTCGAGCATCCGATCGCAGATGTCTTGCAGTCCTTTGTCCTGCAGAGCTACCAGCTCGGGCCCTCGCGCAAGCGCACGCGCGGCGGCAGTAGCCACCCACTCGGCCTCCTCTGGGTTCAGCAGGCAGGCGAGAAGCGCGCTCGTGGTCTCTGGACCAGGTGCCTCCGCGCCTGCGGTATAGAGGCTGTCCAGCACGGCAAAGCGCACTTCGGCAACGGGGTGTGCCAACAGCTGGGCAACAGTCGCGGCCGATGCTCTGGGCACTTGCAGTTGAGCACACTGCGCGAGCAGCGCAGGCGTAGCCGCGTGGTCGCCTCGCGTCAAGTCCTGCGCAGCGTGCTCGCGCTGAAGAAGCGTGCGTGCGTTCTGGTCGACCAGGGCGGCTGCAGAAGAAGCACGGCCATCCTGTGCTCTCGAAACTGCCGCGCAGAGAGCCAGGAAGCCGGCCTGTGTTGCCGCACAGCGATTGTCATGCAGCCAGCTTGCCTCAGCAGCTTGCAATGCTGCGGAGAGCGCCTCCAGCTCAGCGGAGTTGCCCGCTGGCGAAAGCGACACCAGGCGCTCTGCAGCGAGCAGCTTGCCGTGTGCTCCATTCTGGTCGCGTCGCGAACAGCTGCTGAGCAGGCCATGTGCCACGCTGACACATCTGCCGGGTGCTGTGAGGGAGGAAAGAGCGCGCGCTGCAACCTCACGCAGCTGTGCAAGAGGCGTCAGCGCCATCGTCGGCGCGAGACGGCTAGCGACTCACTTTCCAGGTGCGGCTGGTCAGGCATCGCTCCACCAGGGGCACAAGTGGGTCTGGGGCTACAGCCGACGCGGCAGCCGGAGCGGTGTCGTCGACTTGCAGCCGCGAGAGCAGAAGAAGCACGGCGAAGAGCGCACTTTGGCCATCGGTCGTGTCAAGCTGGGCCTGCTCGGATGACAGGGCGTCTAGCTGCTGCACAAGCGCAGGTAGCAGGCTTGGGAAGCGTGCAAAGAACTCGACGAAAGGGCGGCGCGCGGACGAGTCGTCGCGGTTGGTGCCGCTGCCTGGGAGTGCTCGGACCGCGAGAGAGCTGAAGAGCATCATCGAGGCGTTGCGAATGCCCCACAGCGGCGAAGAGAAGCGCGGCACAACCAGCTCGAGCAGAGGACCGATGTGCGACTGCAGCGGCGTGGCCAGATCACGATCATCGACACACGCGCGCAGGATGTTCAGCGCGTGGATCGACCGCTCTGGCGAGGTTGCGCTGCTGTCGGATGCGAGCGCGACAAGGCGGGCGACTGTCTGCGCGACCACGTCGGAGCTGCGCGGGAACGCCGCCAGGAGGGACACGACAGTCGCGCCGATGCCTGCGCTGCGCCTCGTCGTCGACAGGGCTGCTGCCGGATCCTCGACAGCAGCCAAAAAGCGGTCGAGCCACGCACGCGGCAGGTCAGCGACCTCTTCGCGTGAGCGACAGCGGAGAATGGCCGAGGCGGCCTGACCGTAGGCTGGTGCGATGGTGCTGAACGCTCCGCGATGCCGCACGAGGGTCATCCACTCGCTGAAGCGCGCTCCGATCGCCTCCAGCTCGGCTCGTGGCCAGAGCAAGCGGCTGGCGGCGGCATCGCCCTGCAGTCCAAGCTGGACGAGGAGAGTGAGGAGCGCTGCGGCTTCTTTCATGCCTCGCCAGGCGTACGAGAGCAGGACCTGGTGCGTCGGGCCGAGGCCGGCCGCAGCGTCGTTGTCGTCTGCGTCGTCGTGCTCTCCTGTGACAGCCAGCGCTCGAGCAGCCTCGTGATCTCTTCGCGGCCCTTGCGACCCCTCCGGGGCGCTCAGAGCCAGGACGACGCGCGTGACCGTCCAGATGCGATCGATCACAGCAACGGCGCGCTGGTAGAGCGCACGCGTCTGCTCGAGCTCGCTGGCGTCCGGGCTCTCTACGCCGAGACTGCGGAATAGCGCCTGCAGCGTGACGAGCGATCCGTGCAGCGGCCGCTCGCGTGCCGCAGTGAGCAGCGCGTCCTCTCCGGCTTCCGCGGCAGAGACGTGCTCGTTCAGGGCCTCGAGATGCTGCGCGACGAAAGCGTGTGCTGTCAAACTCGGCCCTGCCGATGTTGGTGCCGGCGACTTGATGTAGAGATCCATGAAGAGGCAAGAGAGAGCCGCAGATGCAGCACTTTCGCCCTCGCGCGCCGCCAAGGTCAGGCTCTGGCCTTTGCCGAGGATCGCCGCTTCCGCAGCAGCATATGACTCGAGGCCCGCTAAAGGCCGCGGCAGCTTACGCAGCAGCGCTAGGCCTTCCGCCTGCACCGAGGTGTACGAGTGATCCGCGCATGATAGCAGCCGGCGGACGAGCTGCGGCGTGGCGAGGCCAAGCGGGAAACAGTAGGCCTGCGGATCGGACGGCACAGTCGACTCGCGGAGCGACGAGTCCAGCGCGATGAGAGCTGCCAGGTGCGACAGGCCGATGGCGCAGGTGTAGTACGGAGCACCGGGATACACTGCTCGCGACGATCGCCGTGTCAGCCACTGCAGGAAGTCATTGGCGCTCTGAAGCGTCTGGATGCAGATGCGCAGGCGCGCAGTCTCTGCCCGTGTGCGCTCGATGGGCGGGACCCGCTCGATGATCGTCTGATCCCGCTGGGCCGCGTAGCAGCTCGAGCGCAGGCGCGCGACGAAGCGGACGATGTGGCTCTTCAGCTCCATGCGTGCGGCCGGCAGCGTGATGCTGAAGGAGGCCTCGAAGTAGGCCTGCACGACTCGCAGATCCGCGCTGCTGAAGGGAGTCGCAGACCGGCCGGAGTCGATGACCAGCGTAAAGGCCAGCAGCGATGTCTCGGCAGACAGGGCCTCCGCGCACGCGCAGAGCAGACTCGCCGGCACGCGCAGACGTGTCGGCGCGTCTTGTGCTGGCTCGTCGATGTCCTGGCCCGTCTCGTCTTCGACGACCTCAATGTGACGTCCAGACGCGCGGAGCACGACGAGGCTCGCGTTGAGTGCCGCCTCTGTGTTGCCTTGGCCTGCGACGGCGTCCAACAGAGCAGGCATGGCCCAGGGAGCCAGCTCAACGACTGCGGCAACGTGACAGAGCCCGAGCTGCGTGCGCTTCTGGGCAGAGGCACTTGTCAGGGCTGCCGCCAGCAATGACGCCCAGATGTCCACCCAGCGGCGCTCTCCCGACGTTAGCGGCTCGCTGGCCGGGCTGCGACTGCGGTCGAGCTCGCACCCGATGAGCAGCGCATGCGCCGACAGCGTCATCGAGAGCAACTTCGAGCGACGCACGGCCGACCCGTTGCCGTTGTCGCTGCCTTGCAAGAGCCGCGGCAGCATGCCAGCGTCCACTTGCAGGACCAGGGAGGGGTCGGCCTGGAGCAGCTGCTCGGCGACGAGTACGGATGCCTTGAGGCCGATGTTCTCGACTGCTGTCTCCAAAAGACGAGGCAGCAGCAGACTAGTCCTGGCTGTGACGAGCGAGACGAGCGACTGCAGCAGCGCGGCAGCGCTCTTGTTGTCGGCGCGCCGCGGCGAGATGAAGCCCTGCCAGAGCACCGGCAGCACGGCTGCTTGAGCCGCAGCATCCATGCCCACGTCTTCGAGCTGCGCTGTGGACGCATGCTGCTTGCATGCCGCTGCAGCCCAGACATTTAGTGCCTGCAGCGCCGCAGACTGGCCATCCTCGGACGCGCTCGCCAGCGCCAGCGCCTCGGCCAGCGCTGCAGGGCTGCCCGACGGCGCGGCGCTGGCGGACCCGTCGGCGACCGGCACCATACGTCCCGTGCGCGGTGCGAGAGGAGTGGCGCCGTGCGCGGACAGTGTGCGAGCGTGCGAAGAGGTGAACGAAGGAGAGTTGTGAGCGTGTAGAGCGAAAGAAGGCGCGGCGCGAGAAGGAGGAGCCAAAGCGCAGCCCTTTTTGAGCTTGCTGCCGTGCGAGAGCCGAGCCGCACGCCGCGCCGAGGCGCCAACAGGCTTCGTCTTGGCTGCCACGACCACGCTGACGCGCACCCCTCCTGCACCCCCACCCCTCGTCCAATCATGGAGGCCACATTCTTATACCTGCGAGGTCCCGCTCAGCTGAGCCAGCTAGGCGGCCCGGATCGAGCTCCTCGGCTTTCGGCTCTCTGTCAGGCACCAGCGACGTTCAGCACAGCCTCTTCTCTCTTGCGGATCTCGCCCGAAAAAGGTGCGCTATGAGCGCCGGAGTGCCACGGCTAAAGCGGTCCGGATCCGCGGCGGCGGGGCCTTGAGGTCATCAAGAGGCCCGCCTGCCGCTTCGCGCGGCCGCGGCCGCCCTCGCATCGACGGCGGGAGCGGAGAGGCACGGAGAAGCGCACGTCCAGGGCGTCCCGAGATGCTCTCTCTCCTCTCGCGGGCACGGGACCCCGAAGGCACTGGCTCCTGCCCTGATGAGGCCAGTGGGCGCGAGCGGCGGCGCTCGGGGGCGAGAGGAGTTGCGCGGCCGCCGCCGGGACCTTTCTGCCCCGGACGGGCCCCTGAGCAGCGCGCCGCCCGCTGCTGCGAGGCACACGCGGCCAGTAAGAGTGAGCCGTCAGGAGACCGCGTTCTCCGAGGCCGTCCGCTCGTGGCGAAGCATGCTCGAAGCTTCCTCTGGTGCGTCTTCAGCTGCTGTAGAGATGGACGAGGTGGAGTGGCGTCACAGGGGACTAACTCGACCTTTAGCGCCGGAGCCGCGGTGCCCCGACGGCGGCCCGACGCCGACGCCGAGGGGCGCCGTCCTACGTCCTTGAGCTCGCGCCGTGTGCAGCCCAACACCTCCTTCTCCGCGCAATCTCAAGGTCTGACAGAGCTCAAGAAGACGAAGCATCATCTCGAGGGCCGGTCTACTGCATTTGCTATTGTCGAGTGTAGTGTTGTGTCTATAACTAGTCTTCGCCTCTGTCCCTGCTCCTGGCCCTCCACCACGGTCCTCCGTAGCTTCATTCACGACTTCGGCAGCGGCAGCGGTGCACGGAAGATAGCGTCGCTGACGCGCGCAGCGTCGAGCATCGGCTCGACGTCGTGCACGCGCAGCACGTCTACGCCCGCAGCGATGCCAGCCGCGCAAGCTGCAGCCGTCGCGTACACGCGCGCTTTCGGCTCCGTCTTGCCGGTGATGGTGCCCAGGAAGCGCTTGCGGCTCGGTCCCAGCAGCACCGGGAACGACGTGAGTGCCGTGTGTGGTGCGAATGCATCTTGCGCTGCGTCGAGCGAGGAGAGAGGAGATGCGTCGGCGTCGGAGGGACCGAGGATCGGCGAAGGAGGCACGCTTGTCGCGCGCGAGCCGGCCGTCGTGGATGCCAGAGCACCGTTGAGACCGCCTGCAGTGAGACGATTGAGGTGTCGCAGCAGCTCGACGTTGCCCTGTGCGTCCTTTGCGAATCCGACGCCCGGGTCAAGCACGATGTTCCACCGTCTGACGCCGGCTCGCAGTGCCGCATCGACACGCTGCACCAGTTCGCGCGCCACGCCGCCCACCACGTCGCCGCCTGCGTACGTGGTGTGGGCAGCAGAGGACATCGTCTTGGACGTGCCGCGCATGTGCATGAGAATGTAAGGGCAGCTGGCCTCGCGCACGACGTCGAGAATGGCAGGATCGCGCAGGCCGCCCGAGACGTCGTTGACAGCAGTGGCGCCTGCCTCCAGTGCAGCGCGTGCGACGCTGGCGCGGAACGTATCGATCGAGATGGGCGTCTCGATGCCTGCGCTTCGCAAAGCCTTGATGACGGGCACGACGCGCGCCGCCTCTTCCTCTGCGCTGACCTCAACGGCCTGCGGCGCCGTACTCATGCCGCCCACATCGAGCATGTCTGCGCCTTGCTCAACCATGCGCTGAGCAGCCGCGAGTGCTTCCGCGACACCGGCGTGGTCGCCACCATCGGAGAAGGAGTCGGGCGTAGCGTTGAGAATACCCATCACGTACGTGCGACGGCCCCACTCCCACTGCGTGGATGTAGAGCCACTGGCTGCCGCGCTGGCGTCGACGGGCAGAGGCAGGACGCGGTAGATGTCGCCCGAGCCATCGTAGCCTTCAGAGTTGACGAGGATGGAAAGCAGCTGTGCGACGGTGCGCGAGCTGCTCGGGTGGCGGTAGTGCGGCAGGATGTCGGCCAGCGGTCGCAGCACGAACTCGCGCTCGGCCACGCCAGGGTGAGGAAGCGTCAGAGTGGGCGTCTCGAACTCGAGGCGGTCGTAGAAGATGATGTCGAGGTCGACGATGCGCGGACCCTTGACGGGCACGCCGCGCTTGTCGCGCCCGAGAGACGTCTCGATCGACTGCGTCAGAGCGAGGAGCTCGAGCGGCGCCAGTTGTGTTGCGATCTGTGCGAGACATGATCAGCGAAGCGGAAGGAGATGCCAAGGTGAACACTCACCCGGCAGGCGCCGTTGAGGAACAGCGGCTGGTCCTCGTAGTACAGTGGCTTGCTCTCGTACAGGAAGCTAGTGTCCACGAGGCGGCAGCCAGGCGCGCTCGCGAGTGCCTGCACTGCCCGCTCGATGTGCGCCGCGCGATCGCCCAAGTTCGAGCCCAGGGCAATGGCGACGACGTGCCACGGCGCATCGGCAGGCGGCGCAGCAGTCGGGCGTGAAGTCGTTGCTGCAGCACCAACGTCGGGCGCGGGCGCAGCGACCGTAGCCGTCTGCTCGATGCGCGTCTGGTGCGAGGCGGAGAGCACCGAGTCGACGACAGCAGCAGCTGGCGCAGGCACCGGCACCTGCGCCGGTCCTCTGGCCTCTTCAATCGCCTCGCGCTCAAAGAACTCGCGATCGCGATCCACCTCCACGCCCGCGGCCTGCGCAAACATGATGGCGCTCGGCTTGTCGACGCGCACGCGTATCCGCTCCACGCCATTCTCGAGCACCGCGACGCGCGCAACGGCAGTCGCCAGACTCTCGACAGTCTTGAAGTTGGTGCGCTCCACGTAAGCAGTCACGGCGCGCACGAGAGTGCGGTAGTTCTGTGGACGCGTGACCTTGTCGACGGTGACGCCCACTGAGCGCTTCGAGCGAGCACCGGGCGTCACGAGCAGGTTGAAGAGGACGATTTGTCGATCGACGCGCTCCCACGGGTTCACACCGAGGATCGTCGAGATGGAGAGGTCGCGCACAAAGACGGTGTCCTCGGCGCCCGCCTCTCCGACGAGCTCGAGCGCAGCAGTCTCAGCGCGGTCTGCTGGCGGGCCTGCTGCATCGAAGAGAGCGCGCGGCGAGGCGCCCGACTTGGAGACGTAGTCGTCGGCGCTGCGGATGATGGAGACGCCGGCCGAGTGGGCGTGCAGCAACGAGCGGGGCTTCTCGACGCGCAGCGTGATGCGCGGCGCCTTACAGGTGAAGATGCAGACCTTTGCCAGGCCTTCCTGTGCCGTCAAGAGCGTCAGAGCTGCTGCGTATGCGCCTCAGCGCAGCATCCAGCCCTTCTGTCATGCTGTGCAGCGAGATGCAGTAGCAGAACATGCACTCACAGCGAGCGCCTCGAGGCTGCGGTACCGGTTCTCGGCGCAGTGCTTCTCGAGCTCCTTGACGAGGATGCCGTAGTGGATCGAGTGCGGCAGGTGGTCGCTGCGCCCCGCCTGGCTGACGTCGGTGTGGACGCGAGCGTCGATGTTGACGGGCTGGGCCTGCAGCCGCTCCCAGCCGTCGACGCCGACGTGCATGCGCACGGCGAGCTGCGTGATGAGGATCGAGTCGGGCAGCGCCATGGTGCTGGCTGCGCCACGGGCGGAGGCGCTGGAGGACATGGCGCGCAGCAAGAGGGGAGTGGAGGTGCAGAGGGGCCGCGGGTTGGCGCGCAGCGGGGCGCGGGCGCGGGCGGCACAGGAGAGGCGACGGCAGGCGAGATGGAGGAGGGAAGGCACGCTTGTCAGGTGCGGCATGTGACGGGGCGGGCCATGTGGGGGCAGGGGCAGCGAGGGCGTGGAGGAGAGGGCCAGGAAGATGCAGGCGGAGTTGCAGCAGGAGGGCCAGGCGCAAGCTTCATTTCTGGCGGCGCGCCTGATTATCGCCGGCGTGGGAACACTAGCAATCCTGCGCGCGCTCTATTCCGGCCCGGCCACGTGGCTTTGCCTGGCGCGGCGCTCTGCTCGAGGCATTTGCAGGTCGCACCTCGCCGTCGCCTCGACGCTCCTCCTCCTCCCTTCCCTCTGCCCACACCAACGCGCACCACACACCACCACCTGCGCACCGCCGTCGATCGTCTCTCTCGCGCATCTGTGCATTCTCCCGCTCGTCTCGCACTGTCCGCCTCACCACCACACGTGCTCGTCTCCCGTCCTTCCTTCGCTCCATCCGCTGCCTGGCGCTCGCCACTCTCCGCCGTGCTGAGGGACCCATCTCCACCGCCGCCCAAGCGCGGTCGCGCGTAGCTCCGGCCGTCACTCTTCCGCACCCCGGCATGACGACGGCCCTCAAACGCTCCATCTCGGCCCTCGACGGCGCCGCAGACGCCGGCGCAGCCTCGTCGAAGCGCCCGCACCTCCACGCACCGACGCACGATGCGGCAGCCAACGGCAATGGCGCAGCAGAGGACGACGAGGCAGACGAGCCGGCCTATCGCGGCCTAGATGTGAGTGCCGGGCGATGCGTGCGCCATGGCGGGATCAGCCGGCTCACACCTTCGCATCAGGTCTACCGCAAGGAGGCCATCTACCGGCATCTGCTCGAGGCGCGCCGGGACCTCGCGCGCGCCGAGCGGCGAGCATCGAGCCTGCAGGCGTCCTGGGATGACACGCAGCGCTCCTGCGAGGAGTGGCGCTCCCTGTGGGACACTGTGAGTCGCGTTCCTGGCTTCTCAGTCGCTGTGCCGATGGTTGCGCAGCGTGCGCAGCAGCGCCTCTTTGCGACAGCCAGCTCAGCAGCTCACACTTGCCTCTCCAGCTCCTGCAAGATCTGCAACGGCTGAGCCCAAACGATGCGGACCTCTCCAAGGAGCGCAGCAGTGAGTGTGACGCTGCTAGCTGAGGGAGCTCCCGCTCACCTGCGCCACGATCAGTCCTCGCGTCCAGAGCGTCTGGCTCTAGCTTTGGCTCCATCGAGCAGCGCTGCGCAGCTGTGCGGAGAGCGCTGCATCAGGTCGCTTCGCAAGGCGGCGCGGCACTCGACCAGGCCTCGCTTCACTCGCGGCTCTCCGAGCTGTCCAGCGAGGTGCGTCTTGGGTCAGGATCATGCTTTTGCTGTGCTGACTGGTGGCATTCTCGATCAGAGCGCCACACTTCGCTCGCAGCTCACTTCTGTCGTCTCTGAGCGCGCGCGGCTAAGCGACGATCTCGAGCACTTGACCGCAGCGCTGCGCAAGGCGGAGCGGCGAGCCGATCGTCTCGCAAGTCCCACTGTGCGCAAGACAGAGCGGCCGAAGGAAGAGGAAGAGAACGCTAGGGAAGCCGCTGCCGAGGCGGAGCGGCAACGAGTCGCCGCGCAAGAAGCAAAGCAGGCTGAAGAGGAGCGCAAGCCGGTCCAGCTGCTGCCCAATGGCGTGGCTGGCGCTGCCATCACTCCCGCCGATCTCGAGGCCGAGCGCAATGCCGCCGCGCAGGAAGTCTCTGATGCCCTCGCCGAGGCGATGCTGCGTCTCGACGAGGGCGACGCTCTGCGTGCCCAGCTGCAAGCTGCGCGAGAAGAGGCTGAGCAGCTGCGCCGGGAGATTGCATGCATGCCCGACGAACGCATGCTCGAGACGCCCTGCTACCGCGAGCTGCACACGCACTTTATGGCTGCGCTCGAGGAGATGGAGCGCACCAAGCGCGTGCTTGAGGGTGTCGAGGAGGAGAACACGGAGCTGCGCACCCAGCTGATCGAGAAGAGCACGACTGCGCAAGAAGAGGTCTCGGGGCAGCTCGAGGAGCTTCGCTCTGCGCTCAAGGCACACGAGGCGGACGTGGCGCGCCTGCGCGGACAGCGAGACGACCTGTCGGCAGAGCTCTCGGAGCGAAGACAACGAGAGAACGTCAAGCTGACGCAAGTCGACGAGATGAAGGCGCTGCTCAACGCACGCGAGGATCGCATCGCCACGCTGCGCTCTGAAGTGCGAAGAGCACACATGACGCTTGCTGCGCGTTCGGGCGATGAGGCGGCGCTGCAGCGGGCACGCGGCGCACAGGGCGAGGACGACGTGGCGCTGATCGAGGAGCTGCAGAGCCGATTGAAGTGAGTTGCACGATGAGCCCGCCTTGGAGAGTTGCTCATTGCTTGTGATTCGCAGAGCCGCCGAGAACGAAGCCGCCGATCTGAAGCGGCAGCTCGACGCTCGCTCCTCTAGCACGACCGAGGCTGAGCTCATCGCTCGCGCTGCGTCGCTGCAAGAGCAGCTCGATGCACTCAAGGCGCTTCTCGAGGGTGCCTCTTCGGGCGAAGACGTGCAGAGCCGCCTGCAGGACTACACGCAGAAGGTCGCCACGATGCGTCTGGAGCTCGACGCCGCTGCCGAGAGCACGACGGCGCTGTGCGACGAGGTTGATCGCCTGAGTGCCGCGTATGCCGATGTCGAGCGCCTCGCAAACGCTAAAGTCCTCGACGTGGTGCACGCCGAGGACAAGCTGCTGCGTCTGACGACGGAGAAGTCCAAAGCGGACAACAAGTACTTCTCCGCGATGCGCGCAAAGGACGCAGTCGATGCGGAGCGCAAGCTTGCGCTGCGCACGGCGGAGCGCCAAGGCAAGGCGCTGGAGCGCGCTGCCGACGCCGAGCGCTTGCTCATTGCGCAGCTGGCCGCCGGCGAGCGCGAGGGCGCACTGCGTCGACGCGCGATGGATGAGCAAGCCGCAAAGCTCGTCGAGGCCGAACGAGACGCCAAGCTCATCCGCATCCGCGAGGCCGAGGCGTTGCGCGCCAAGACGCACGCCGAGGCCAGACTGGCGGCATTGTTCCCGCAGCAGAGCGAGGAGACGCGCGCGCTGGCGAGGGAGCGAGAGGCGCGTGTGCGTCTGGAGAAGGACCTCGAGAAAGCCAAGCGCGACCTCGAGGCCTCGACTGCGCTGGCCAGTGCCTCAGCTGCGGGCAGCGCCATCAAGGCGCGCAAGACTTCTACGTCCGATGCGGACACGCAGGTCGACTATCTCAACGTGAGTCCCCTGCCCCCTTCGTACCGCTCGAGATGCGTGCTTCTCGACGCTGACGCCGCTCTGCCCACAGTCGCTGCTGCGCTGCTCGGCATGCAAGGACCGCTACCGCGACCGCATCATCACCAAGTGCCTGCACACGTTCTGCTCCAGCTGCATCGACGCGCGCATCCAGACGCGCCAGCGCAAGTGCCCCCACTGCGCCAGCTCGTTTGCCACGAGCGACGTGCAGCCGCTCTACTGTGCGTCATGTCCTGCTCTTGTCATCGCTTGAGGCCCTGCTGACCGTTGCGCTCCCCGCAGTGCAATGATCCACTATCTTCCACCTCTCAGCCTCTTCAGGTCTCGCACGCATCCCTCATTCTTCCTCTTCTCATCGCGAGGCGCGCCTGCGCCGCCGCCAAGCCTCGCTCTTCCTCTTTCTGTTGCAGAGCTGTGCGGCTTCACTCCCATGAAGCGCGCCCGGCTCGTGCGCTTCCCCCATCCCTTCTCCACGCCGCCTACCGCCGTCACACTACCCCCATCACCGCGCCTCGGCGAATGTAACAGTACTCTCTCGCGACGCACCAATGAGACGCCTAGCCCTCTCTCTGCGCCGCGCCGCTCTGCTCTCTCATGTGGCGTCGCATTACTACCGCGCCCACTCCCACAGCTGCCTGCGAAACTCGGCGCGCTGGTAGTCGAGGATGATGGGCACGAGCTCGCGCAGGCCAAAGAGCGGCCAGTAGCGCTTGGTGAAGTGCAGGTGCGTGTGCTCGGCGCACTGCGCGCAGCGCGTGACGTGAGTGAGCGTATGCCAAAGGAGAAGGGGCGGGGGCGACTCACCTGCCACAGCATAAAGTCGCTCAAGCGATACACGCCCGACGTGCGCACGAGCACATCGACGGGCGGCGAGTGTGCCAGCATCATGCGAGCCTCGAGGGCATCGCACGTGATGCCTCTATCTGCCTCCTCCGCCTCTGCCTTGCTCGACAGCGTGTCCGCCACCAGCTCCCTCACCGCCCCTGCCATCTCGTCGCGCGACGCATACGGAATGCACACGTTGAGCGTGGCGCGATGGTTGCGCCGAGTGACTTCCTCCACTCGTTCCACGGCAGCACGCACGTCGGGCGGCAGCAGTTTGCGGCGCCCGACGATGCGCAGGCGCACCGAGTGGCGCGCCAGCAGCTCGCCGTGCCCGGCCAGCTCCATGAGGTTGCGCTTCGCGAGGCCCATGAGTGCCTGCACCTCCTCTTCGCTGCGCTTGAAATTGTCGATGGCGAATGCGTACACCGTCACCGTGTCGAGACCACGCAGCTCGAGACACGCCTCGAGCACCGTCTTGAGTGCGGAGAAGCCGCTGATGTGTCCTGCGCGCACGGGGAGCGGGATGGGCTGCGAGGTGGCCCAACGACGATTGCCATCCATGATGAACGCAATGTGCCGCGGGATGGGCCCGAGCGAGAGGAGCGCGAGGAGGAGACGCCGCGCGGGCGAGGTGAGGAGCGAGAGGAGGAAGGTGAAGGGCAGCAGCAGCAGCCGCGCCGCATCGGCGGCGGACACGCCCTGCGACATGGCCGGCGAGAGGCGAGGGCGGTGAGGGTGGGGAAGCAAGGCGCAGAGAGCGCCGGGCGCCGGGAGCAGGCAAAGCGGCCTGCCGCGGATCTTCTCACGCGCGACGTGGAGGCTGCGCCCCCCCCCCCCCCCCCCCCCCCCCCCCCCCCCCCCCCCGCCCCGCGCCGCTCTCGAGCTGCCTCACTCGCACAAAGACAGATCAAGCATGCATGCAGCACAGCGCCGTAATGGTACATGGGTGGAAGAGAGAGGTGTGACAGAGACAGGCGGCTCAGGCCATCTTCTTGTGCTGCGTCCAGCCCAGCTGGCGCGCGGCCGCCTGGCACGTCTTGGGCATGAGTGCCTGCGCAACGTTGAGCAGCTGCTCAAGGAGGAGCGCCGCGAGGTTGACAAAGCCATAGAAGACCATCGGGATCACGCCCATGAGCACATTGCCGCCCACGCCGCGCCGCGCAATCGTCTCGCGGATCTCGGTGCGCGTGATGTGCGGCGCCTGCGCGCTGGCCCACGGGCCGGTGAGGCTGTAGAGCGTCGGGAACGCCGCGGCAAAGCAGTAGATGAGGAGAATGTCGAAGCCATGCGTGCGCCAGAGATCGAGCAGCCCAGGTTGACTGCCGACGTCCCGAGCGAGCTGCGAGACGTAGGAGGAATAGTCGACGCCGTGCGTGATGCGCGCGCCCTTGGGCTGCAGCAGCTTGTAGTATGCCTCCGAGGTCGGAGCGGGCACCTCGCCGCAGATGACGGAACACCAGAGACGCGCTTCCATCTCGGCTTGCGGAGGGATGGCACCGACGCCGGGACGCACGAAGCCGGAGAATGTCAGAGTGGGACTGAGAGGGGCGTCAGCAGAGGCAGAGATGCGCGAAGAGACACGAAGCCTCACTCGTCGTAGGCGAAAAGACCACGGCAGAGGTTAGAGTCCTCGTCGAGAGGCGTAGCGTACGACGAGTCTAGCCACGGGAAGCTGTGGCGGTAGCCAGTGGCGAAGAGCACGATGTCGGGCTTGACGATGCGGTTGCGCATACGCGCCGCCTCCTTTCGTCCGTTCTCGCGGAAGACGACTCGACCATCTTCATCGACGTACTCGGGGAACGGCGCCAAGGAGATGCCAGGCTCGTCATCGCGCACCGAGGGCGGGTCGATGTACTTGGCTATCCGTTCCATGAGCCAAGAGCGATTCTTCCACTCGCGGTTCAGGCTGCAGATCGTGTCAGCATCGAAGGGCAACCAAGGCAGACCAGCCAGCTTACTCACTAGGGCATTGCCTTCGCACTCTTGTTGAGAAACACGTATGCCCTGCCCTGTTTGTGCTCGGGCAGCTCGCCGCACCACTGATTGCAGCCCGCGCTGGTGCCCGTGAGGAACTTGAGCACCAGCTTCACGCCAAAGTCGCTGACGTGCCAGCGTAGACGGCTAGCCTCGACGAGACGACTCCGGTGCGTTGTCTCGAAGAGGTTGGTGATAAGACCGCTTCAAGGAGCGTCAGCGAAGGCATCCAGGCAGTCGTGAGGCGTTCCTCGACCCGCGGACGTTCCTGGCATGTCCCACTCACTCGATAGGCGTGTCCTTGTCATACGTCACTCCAAACAGCGAGAAGGACTGCAGCACGTGCGGAAAGGAGAGGAAGCCATCTCTCGTTGACAGCACGATGCTCTTGGCCGGCGCCTTGACCGCGGCGTAAGCCAAGTCCATGCCCGTTTCGCCTGTCCCGCATACTAGGACTGATTTGTCCTTCAGGAACTCCGGGTCCTTGTATGCGCTCGAATGCAGCGTCTGGATGCGCCGCTGTGCGTCGCTGAGCTTCTGCTTCTCCTTCCTCTCCTCCTTCTTCTCATCCCACCACTTGCTCGGCAGTTGCGGATCTGCGAGTCCCGGAATGCTCGGGAACGCCGGCTCGACATGCAGGCCAGCACAGACGGCGACGTAGTCGAAGTGCGCCTCGTCCTCCTCTCCACTGCGTTGCCGCCAGCGCACGATGTGTCCTCCGCCGTCGGCTCGCCGCACGCGGCGCACGCGCGTCGACATGCGAAACGTGGCGCGCTGGCGCAGGCGGAAGTGCGCCACGTAGTCCTCGAGGTATTGCACGTAGGCGGGGAGCGTCATGTGGTCGGAAGAGTCGAGCGGCATGCGAAAGTCGCTGAAGCATGTGAGCTGCTTGGAGCTCACGAGGCTGCCGTTTGCGTATGAGCGGTAGCCTGCTTGCCGATGGATGATGAGCCTGCGGCGCTGCTCGTGCTGCGCGCCCGCCTGGGGCCTGGCTCAGTGACTCACGGAACGTCCCGCCGATCTGCTCCTCCCCTTCAAACAGCGTGGCGTCCACATCGAACGCGCCGCCCTTGCGGTCCTGCAGCTCGAGGAGCGTCTTGAGCGTAACGAGCGCACTGGGCCCGCCGCCGATGATGGCGACGCGGTGCGGCGGCATGGCTGCGAGGGGAGCGCAGAGGCGACGAAGCAGACGCGCGTGCGGTGAAAGGGCTTGTCTCAAGGAGAAGGTGCGAGGCTACTGAGTGTGGGTGGACGAGGCGGCGGCGTGGTGGTGCGGTGCTGCGCTTGTGGACGATGCTCGATGGAGGCGCGCACCCCTTCCCCCCCCCCCCCCCCGGTGCCGCGAGGCGGCCGCGGAACCAGCGGCCATGCAGGGTCCAAGCGCGGCTTACGCAAGCCACCGCGCCGCTCTCGACGTGCGCTCTTGCTCTCGCTCTCGCTTCTCATCACCACGCGCAAGAGAAGGTGCATCAAGTATGAGAAATGCTGGAGATGAGCGTGGGTAACAGTACAGCCAAGCAGTGCGGGCACGAGGGTTAGGGAGCACGGTCTAGACAGAGGCGTCTCGATGATGGGGCAGGCGCAGGGAGCTCGAGTGACGCGAGGCGAGGCTGGGGATCGCAAGAGCGAGGGGGCGATGAAGGTGCTGAGCAAGCGAGAGTAGTGGGTATGGTGCAAGCGAGAGCGCCGTGCGTACGCGGGTAGGAGTGGGAGGATGGAGAGAGAGAGATGGGAGCGCTACGAGCGGTAGGCGGCGGGACTGAACTCGACGCCGAGCCCATCGGCGAGGTACTGGTTGCCCTCCTGCCCAGCCGGCGGCGGATAGGGCGTCTGCGAGTATGCGCCGTGCTGCTGCTGCAGCGTCGCCTGCTGCGGCGCCTCGTGCTGGCTCAGCTGCTGTTGCGCAAACGTCATTGGCGACACGACAAAGTCGGAGAGCGGATCGCGGCGCACGCCGTTCTGCTGCGGCTGCTGCGGCGCATACATGCCGTTGTTCGGGCTCTGCATGTGCGAGGCAGGCAGGGCGCCGTAGCTGAAGTGCTGCTGCGGCGTCTGCTGGCGCGACGTGTCGTACTCGGGCAGAGCATGCGGCCCGCTCGGCGGCGTCGGGTTGCTGCGCTGGCTCGAGCTGCCGCTCTCGTGGCGCATGTGATGCTGCGGCGCTCCGCCGGGCAGCGCATGTGTCGCAGGGCCCGGCGGCGAGACGGCGGCGCTGTACTTGCCGATGATCTTCTTGAGCGCCGGCGCCAGCGACTGCCAGGGGAACACCTTGACGTCCTTCTCGATGTTGCGCGGCTTGGGGTTGGGGAACGACATGATCAGACTGAAGAAGGCCGCGTTGTCCGTGTCGCGCTTCGTCTTGGAGACGGTGATGGGGCGGAAGCCCTCGAGGTTGCGCCGGATACGGTTCTTCTCCTCGACGGTGAAGCGGCTGGCCACGAGCGCCTCGAGCAGGTAGATCGTGTCGACCGAGGTGATGAAGCACTGATCCTTGTCGGCGCGGTAGATGCACGAGACGACGATGGAGTTGGGCACGTACTGATGCGGCAGGATGGGCTTGCACATGGCATGGATCGTCGTGCCTTCCTGTCGGCGCCAGAACTGCACGAGACGGCGTCCGGTGCGCCACTCGTCGGTAGACCAGCCGACGGCCATGTTGTCGACGTTGCCGTGCAGCGCGAGATGCGCGCGCAGACTGGGACTCGGAGAGGGAGAGCCTTCCTTGGGCGGCACACTCTGGCCGTGTCCGTGCGTCGGCGTGTCGGCGCCGCCGGAGGGGTCGGAGCTGACTGGCGTCACGGGCGTGGCGTTGCCGGGCAGCTGTGTCGAGCGCATGAGCGGAGGCACGCCGTCCAGGAGCCCGGCATGCTCCTCTTCCCGACGCTCAGAGCCCTCGTGCAGCGAGGCAGGCCGGTCCAGACCCGCAGCGGCGGAGCCGGCAGGATGAGCTCCCGGACCACTCATGACCGGAATGCTTGCTCGTCGCTGCGCAGCCTCGTAGCTGGCATTGCCCGGCGCCACAAACGTGAAGCTGCTCGAGCCGCCGAGGCGCATCGCATCGTCGCTGGACTCTGGGCTGAGCGCCTCGCTGGTCGAAGGCATGACGCGCGGGTAGCCTGAGCTACGCGGCACACCACGGCCCATGTTGAGGCCGAGGCCCAGGCTGTCGCCAAGCGGGCGTCGCGGTGTCAGGCCTCGTCCGACGGTGCCGGCCTTCTGTCCCTGCAGCGCGCTCGCAGGTCCAGACTCGGGCAGTGCCGGAAAGCTGGCAGGCCGACGCAGCGCCGCGTGCTCGCTGCTGTCGATCTGGTCGACGGAGCGCTTGAGGCTCAGATTGTCGCGCGGCGAGAGTAGCCAGTAGCTGAACTCGCCCACCTCGACGCCGACGGTCGCGATGGCATCGAGCGGGTCGAACGTCGGCTCGCCAGAATCGCAGACGAGCTTGAGCCGCAGCGGCACACGATTGCCGCCCCACGAGGCGGCCGCGTACGACGGCGCGTGGGCGACAATGGCCAGCTCGAGGTCCCGCTGTCCGGAGGACGACGACGACGCCATGCCATTGCCCTCGAGCGTGCTGAAAGACTCGAGCGGGCTATCGCCGAGCGAGCCGGCACGCTCGGTGCGCGCCTCGACCTCGGTGCTGCCGAAGAGCACGACGAAGTGGCTAGACACGCCGTTGGCGTTGCGCTCGAGGCGTTCGTCGACGAGCGAGAGGCCCACCTCGCGCGCCCAGTTGGGCTTGACGCTGGCGATGATGGTGATGGGCACGCCCTGGTCGCCATTGTCCGGGAACGACTGCAGCACGCGAATCGGCCCGCCGCGGTACGGCGGCGGGTTGGCGCGTGCGAGGCGGGCATTGCTGCCGGAGCTGCTGGCGGGCGTCAGATTGAGGTGTCCCGGCAGGCCAAGGCCCTTGCGCAGCGGCGTCGGCCAGCCCGAGCCGGCACCGTACGACGAGGGCCCGAACTCGCTGCTGCCGCCGGCCGAGTCGGAGAGGCCCGAGATGGACATTGTCGCCGACGCCGGCGTGCCGAGGTCGCCGTTGATCTGCTGCTGGCCCAGCGACGAGGCGCGCGTGTGGCCCGGCTGGCCGTTGTAGAAGGCGCCGCTGGACGCGAGCGACGACGAGACGGCGACGCGTCCGTTGGACGCCTGCGAGTCTCCGACGGCGGCGCTGAGGCCTGCCGGAGCGCTCTCGCTCGACGGCAGGCCGCCGAGCATGCCGCCGAGTCCCGGCTCGTTGTAGTACTGCGGCGAGCCGTACGCGCCGCTCGAGTGCGTGTAGGAGCTGTTCGGAGGGATGAGGCTGCCGCGCGGACCCACGGCCGAGGGCGAGCGGAACGGCTCCGTGAGGCCGGCGGAGGCCAGGCTGGCGCTGCTGCCGCCGGCCGCCGAGCCGGCCGTGGGCGACGAGGGCGAGTCGGAGCTGCCGCCCATCGTTGCGGCGCGCAGTGCCGGCGACGAGGAGAGCGCCACGCCGCTCATCGCCTGCGTGAGGCCCTGCTGCTGGCTGTAGAGGCCGCGCGGCGACGTGGCGCTGGCGGTGCGCGTGTGGAAGCTCTGCCAGCCCGTCGCAAAGGCCGAGGCGGGGCGGCCGTCGAGGTACGGCGCGCTGGGCGAGGAGGGCGGCTGGGCGAACTGCGCCGAGAGGTGTGGCTGCGGCGAGGCGTGCGGGTGCAGCGACTGCTGCAGCGCCGGCGACTGGAAGTGGTGCGGGTGCTGCGGGTGCAGCTGCGGCGCCTGCTGGTGGTGCTGCGGCTGCGAGAGCTGCTGGGGGTGGTGCGGCGGCGGCGCCTGCTGCAGCGGCGGCCCGAATGGCTGCTGCCCTTGGATCGGCGACTGGCCGTAGGACTGGGCGTATGGCACCTGTCCCGCAGCGAAGCCCTGCTGCTGGAGCGTCGAGGGTCCGGCGACAGGCGCAAAGTTGGGGCCGCGCCAGGACATGGTCGAGCAGAGAAGAGAAGAAGAGGTGGCCGAGGGTGAGGTATGCGCAACGGTGTGCGAGTCGACGGTGCAGCGAGAGGGGGGTAGAGGTGGTGGAGAGAACAACAACGGGCGTGTGTCAGATGGGAGGGTGAGACGAAACCGACGAGAGGGCGCAAGCGAGACCGGAGGGTGGGAGCAGGGGCGAGTGGGCCAGGGCAAGGGCAGCGTCAGCGGCGGGTCCCTGCAGCGATACCGAGGCGAATGCGGCAGCGCTGGCAGCAGGAGGCAGCTGCTCGTCTAGGCACACACGCCGGAGTGGGCCGTCGCCGCCAGCAAGGAGCGGACGGCGGGCGTGGGCAGAGTGAGACAAGGACGAGCTGCGCCTCTGCAGCCGGACGCATGCGACGACGGACGCGGACGGGCGGACGGCGGCCTCCGAGGGGTTTGGCGGGCAAGAGGGAGGCATGTGCTGCGCTGCCGGGCGCGGCGAGGCCAGACGCAGGGTGTGGCCTCGCAGCGAGGGTCGCACGCATGCAGCGAAGGCCTTTGCCGCGGACGCATCGCAGATGCAGCAGCGCGCGCCGCATCAGGCGGCCCGCAGCGAGGGGAGCTGGCTTCCTCCACTCGCTGCTGCAGCTGCGGCACACCCTCGAGCCGCGAGCCCGCCACTCGGCGCCTCCGCTCGCTGCGCCGCGCCGCTTGCGTCTGCCAGCGAGCGGGCGTGCTCGTCCGGCCGGCGTAAGCACGCATCGCGAAGGCGGCAGGGTGCGGCCGCGGCGCCGTTGCGGGTCTGGCAGCGAACCTGGCACCGCAGCGGCGCCGTCACTTCGGCCGCACTGGGCGACATCGTGGGAGCTGTCGCCGCAAGCGGCCGCGCGCAGCAACGTCGGCGCACGCGGGCACAGGCCCAGTGCCGCCAGCAACGTTCAAGCACCGCACCGAAGCATCGACGGGCGCATCAAGAGCCGTCGCGCTCATGCATGCACGCAGATGCGGCGGCGCAGAGAGCGCGAGCGAGGCACAAGAGCAGCAACGCGGCGGCACCACCACCACCACGCGACGCGCCGGCCCCACTAACCGCATGCGGCAGCGCAGCGCAGCGTCTGCTGCGCCTGCGAGCCGCCGTCATGCACGCTGCTGCACGCCGCTTCGCTCCTCTCTCGCGCCACGAACGAGCTGCGGCACCTCATCCGTGTAAGCCGCACCCGCACCCGCCCTGCCAAGGGCAATCTGCCCTGTCAAAGCCGCCGGCGCGCAGCGGCGGGCCAAGCCGCAGCCGAGGCGCGCCGATGCCATCGAAGCACCGCCGCCGCGCTTCTGCGGCGGCGGTGGCCGAGCCCCGCCGACGATGCCCGGCGCAGCAGCAGACGACCTCGCAGCGCAGCGTGCAGCGGCTCGGCTCGCGCTGCCGTCTGCCTCGCCACGGCAGCTGCAGTACCACAGGCCGCGCCTCGACCCGATCTCCTGCTGCGAGCAGAGCACAGCAAAGCACGAGCGCAGCAGATTGAACGGGCAGTGCAGGGAAGGAGATCTGCGCTGCGTGCTGCCCGCTGCCCCTGGCCGCTGGCGCGATCTCGCGTCTCGCGGCGGTTGCCCCGGCCGCGTCTCATCCCTGGGCAACTCGCTCGCAACAGGACGCCGCGCTTCGCCCACAGACACGCACCTAAGTCGAGCTCGCAGCCACAAGGACGTGTCGTGGTGCTGACGTCCGCCGCTCCGGACGGCGGGCGTCGGCGTGGCGTCGGCGTACCAAGCGCACCGGCTGCTAGATCGTCTCGGCGCTCGGCACGCTGGAGGGCTCGGCACGCTACCGCGTCGACGAGCACGCGGCGCGGCGCGTCGGCGCTCGACACCCGCGACGTCGGAAATGACTGCAGGCGTGTCAGCAGACAGGCTAGCTCGGCATATTACATGCAAAGCGAGCTACGTCGGTCTGCTCCACCTGCAAAAACTGCGAGCGCAGCAAGCTGGCGGCCGAGGCTCAGCAGCGAGAGCCGCCGCAACGCCATGGCGCGCGGGTAGGCGCCGCACGGGATGCGGAGCTTCCCGGCGACGGCAGGCGGCGTCGGGGTTGGAGCGCTCTTCTGCCCGACGCTGCCATGCTGCGAGATCTGGCGGAGCGAGCGAGCTGCCGCTGTGGCGATGCGCTAGAAGCAGCAGCACGCAGCAGCATCTCCTGATGCTGATTGCCGATCGACGTCGAGAACTGGATTGCATCTACGCGGAGGCCGACAGATGCAGGAGCATAGCGACAGCTCCATCTGCCGTCCCAGGCGCTGTCGGCGTCTGGCAGAAGGCTCGCCCCGAGGAAGAAACCAGCCAGGCCGCAGCAGCATCTCGGTCAGCCTCGGCCGAGGGCAGACACAGCGCATTCCACGGCTGCTCGGCTCTCGTGGCCACGCTCCGCTCGCTGCAGCCTCTTGTCTCACGGCAACGCGCGGAGGGCGGAGCATGGATGGGATGCACAGCCGCAGCCCGCACCGCACGGCGAGCCGGTACGGTGCACATCGCCGTCGCACGCAAAGGCATGTGCGTCTTCACCCGTGCAAGGCGCCGAAGAGCACGACTCACCTGCGTGCAAGCCCCTCTCCTGCCAGGAGACGCGCCAGAGACCTGAGACGCCTGCGTCCAAACACCTCCTGCGCCTGTGTTGCTCTCTCGACGGTACCGCGCTCCGCCCAGCGGAGGTCCTGGTCGTGTGTCGGATGCCTGCAGAGCGCGGAATGAAAGGCATCCATGGTCAGCTGCAGGCAGTAGAGTGACGTGACTTGTCCTGCACGCTTCGTCGAGCTGTGGTACGTCCGCACCACGACCATCACCTGCGAGCGAGCGAGCTCCTGCCTACGCCCAAAGCACGGAAGTGGACCCCAAGACATCTGTACGCCCATCAGAGCTCATGTCATGCGGACGATCTGTGACGCCGCAGCCAAGTGACGCCGACCTAAGCCGTGCGGAGCGGCCTCATCATCTGCGATCTCGTCGGTCCGCACCGCAGTCCTGAGCCAGCCAGGACAGATCGGCGTCGCCTTGCTCCAGCGTTGCGGGGCATGACCATCCGCTTAGCCCGATCTTTTGCTTCGACAAGCCAGTGCTCGCTGCGCCTCATCACTCACAGCGGAGCGCGGCGCGCGCGGCGGGTGCGGATGACGCGCGGTCTCGATCTTGGGTGCGTCGCTTTTGATCCGTCCAGCGGCCGAGGTCGGGTTGAGATGGAGTTCGAGTGCGCAAAGTCCTGTGTTGCAGCTCGCACAGCGATTGCCGACGACAGGGCGCGGCGTTGGGATGAGATGAGTGACGGTGCGACGACGCGGATGCGGGGTGCGGGGAAGAGCGGGCGCCTCGCGTGAGGCGGAGAGGGAAGTGCCGCCTTGATATTGTCCTCAGTCCTCGGTCAGGTGGGACAAGGAGGATGAGCAGAGACTGGTGGCCTGCTGATGCACTCGGTGCTGTCGCACGCTGTGACCATCCGCTTTGTCTCGCCTCGCGCCTTGTCCGCGCCGTGTACGCCCAGCGGGTGCAGAGAGTGCTTCGCTGGTGGCAGGCAGGGGCGGCGTCACGCCTTCTCGATGCCTGCCCGTCGCCTTCTGTGCCTGGAGCGCGCAGCGTGGGTACCACGATCCGCACGCACTCGACTGCAGCGGCGGAATGCGGGCAGAGGAGCTCGTCCGCGACCGAGAGAACGCCGGCCGCGCGCGAGGTGTGCCAGGAGAGCACACCGGGGCGACGTGCCGTGCTGTGCTGCCGATCGTCAGAAGCTGAGCAAATTGGCATGGTCTGTGCTGCCTCTCTCCTGCTGCCATCCCTCTGCACGGACGCCCAGCAGATCCACTGCCGCGCTGCTTCTCGAAGGCACACGCGCGGCGGCGTCCACTTGCCTCCGCGCTGCTCAGGGGGCAAGATGAGCGCCACCGCGCCGCCGCCGCTGCGGCGCCGCCTCCTATCGCCCCTCTCCCACACCAGACACGGCGGCGAGAGATGCCCGAGGGCCCAGGCCCCTCATCCGCGGCTCCTTAGACGTTCGCTTTACGGCACGGCCAATCTCGATTGCGAGGACAGGTCATCAAGCACAAGGGTGCGGAAGCTGCGCTCACCTCACGTGCACGTTTCCACGCCGCCGTTCTGCATCCGCTGCGAACGCAGCTACGCCTGCACAAAGATGGGCACTGGCCGCTCTCTTCTTCTGTGTCAAAAATCGGTGTCGGACAGGCAGCGAGCCGCCGGCATCAGGAGCACAGCACCCAGCGCGCAGCGTCCAGCAGTGAGAGCGCAGCACTTCTCGGCGACTCTCAACGCGGCGGGCGTTCGCCGCCGTCTCCTGAGCGTTAACGCCCTGTGCCCTCTCGCCTGCCGCGCTGAGGGGATGCATCAGCCCCTCTTCGGCAATGTGGCTTGCGGGCGCTTGTAAAGTGCATCGCGAGGCAGCATGCAGGCAAGAAGGCGCAGTCGAAGCCCGTGCCGCGCCGTCCCGCAAGGGAGAGATGGACCTCTTTGTCCGGCTCGCGCCTTCCGAGACAACGCGCTGTGCGGGCAGCGGACAAAGCCGCTGCACAGACTGGTCGCCTCCAGCATGAAAAGGCGTCCACCTCCTGAGCAGCGCGGCACTCTGACTTGATAGATGGACGGAAGCTGCGGAAAAGAAGGAGCTTCGCCATCGCGCTTCGCACGGAGTACTTCGCGCCTCGTCTCGTTGTCTTGATGCGTCTGGACTTGGTCTTCACCGGAAGGCTTCCATTCGTCAGCTTCAGCGCAGAGCTTGCTGCTTGTGCAACTGATCGCGATCAGGGCAGAGCTCCTCAAGGGTGCGGCCGCTCGACGCACGGCGACGATGCTTCGCCACGTCGGCCCGCGCGGGAATGCCCCTAGCTCAAGTCTATTTTCGGCCCCACCGCTCACCGGCGTGCTCAAGAGTGCACACCCAAGGTCCCGTGAGGGCTATTTGCGGAAAAGCTAGGCCGGCGGGCCGCCACGCAGCGCGCGTGACCTGTGCCTGAAGGCAGTCCGCCGCCACCTCACCCGTCCGCGATGCCTCTCACGACATCGCAGGTCGTCGAGCAGCCTTTCCAGAGCAAGCACGTGTCCAGGGGCGCGTGAAGGAGCCGCCATGGAACAGGCGGCAACTCTTTGAGAGGCCTGTGAGAAGAGCAGCATGACAAACAGAGGGGTGACGGGCTTTGCGACGCCCCTGGGCGGGAAGAACAGGTCTCGGCGGCGAGGGCGGAAACTGAGCGAGCCGCTGTTCTCACGCCAACGCAGCCTTCTCCGAGTCGGTCTGTGGCTAATGCCGGCGTCGTCCGCGTGGCCGGCGACAGCTACGCCGGCGGTGCAACAGTAGAGCTGTTCGTCGCTTCTCTCGCCCGCCTTGAGACGAGCGCAGCGTCGCACCACCGAACAGAGTAGCGTGATAATGAGCTGATCATTAGAGAGGTATCGCTTGAGACTATGGAGGTGGAAGACGCTTCGGAGTCATGGAGGCGAGAGGTGATGCGGCGCGTAGCGGGTCCGGACGGCTGACGAGCGAAGAGGCGATGCAGCTGCGTCTAGCTCCTCTCAGGCACGCTGAGCCCAGAAACGACTTGCGCGAGCGAGGCCAACGCCAGCAGCAGCCGCGAGCCCCACGCCTGAGGCAATGGCAACATTGCTGACGATCCTGCGCTGTCGTTCCTCGCGACGCATGACAGCCGCATAGCCGAGGTTGGAGAACGTGACCATCGCGTAGAGACTGCTCCACCAGCCGGCGGGCAGGACGCGCATGAGGAGCGTGTCGAAGTGCTTGCGCAGGAGATAGGTGCGCGAGACGACTGATGGGCAAGCCGATGAGCAGGGGCGCAGAGCGATGGGCGAGAGGGCAGGACTCACCGCGACTGCACATCTCGTAGTAGTTGTTCTGTGCCAGATCACAGATGGCCACCAGATCGTCGTGCCGCGTGGCACTGTACTCTGCCAAGGCTCGCTCCAGCGCCTGCGTGCTCGGATGCGCGCCAGACACGGCGTGAGGCTTCAAGGCGCGCGGCGATGGCGCCCTGCTCGACATGGACACGCCGCTGTCGGAGCGGCTGTGCGTGCGCGAGGTCGGCGCTGGCGCAGTCGGCCGCGGCATCTCTTCTTCTTCGGCGTGCCGATCGATGAGCTCGAGCAGCACGCGCACATCCTCAAAGCCGCAATTGAGGCCTTGGCCGTAGAAGGGCAGCATGGCATGCGAGCTGTCGCCCAGCAGCAGCACGCGGCCCTTGTAGTGGTACGGCCGGCATCGCACGCTGGCGAGCGGGCTTGGCCGCCGCTCCGCAATGTCGCGCGCCACGGCATCGCGGCCCATGAGGGGTAGCGCATCGGGGAACTTGTCCTCGAAAAAGGCAAGGGTCTTCTCCCTCCCGCTGAGGTGCTCCTCGAAGATGCCGGCTGGCGCGAACAGCGTGCAGGTAAAGGTGTGATCTGGATTCGGCAGCGCAATGAGCATGTAGTCGTGCCGCGGCCAGATGTGCAGGTGGTGCGGATCCAGCGCAAAGTCGGGCTGTCCGGCAGCGTCGAGCTTGGCGGGCATGGAGAGCTCGACGTAGAGCGAGTCGATGTAGCTGCGCGCAAAGTCGAAACTGATCGTGCGTGCCAGCTGGTCGCGCACGGCAGAGTTGATGCCGTCGCAGCCGAGCACGAGGTCGGCAGAGACGACGGAAGGGCTGTGCTATCGTCAGTGCTGCATCTGAGGTGTGCCAAGCTGCGATGACGCCGCTCGAGCGTGAGACTCACCTCTCTTGCCCGTCCACGCCAAACATCAGCTCGCACTCGCCCTCTGCGTCCGCCGGCGCCTTGCCCTTGCGCGCCTTTTCGCCCTTGTCAAAGTCTGCGCGCTTGAGTCTGTGCCCATAGCAGACGGTGACTGAAGGGTGACTCTCGGCCTGCTGCAGCAGCAAGTCGTTGAGGTGTGTGCGAGAGACAGAGTTGATGCACTGAGCACCCACGCGCTGTGTCAGCCGCGCATCCGCTGAAGGTTGCCCTGGATCGCACGCACCTCGCCATCAGCGCTGTACGCCTGGCTGTTCTGCTCGTGGCCCGTGTGGATCATGCGTGCGCGCATCGGCACGGCGCCGTCAAGGACCATGTCTGCGAGGTCCATCTTGCCCGGCAGCGCCGGCGCCACGGCACGCAGGCCGCTGATGCCGCGCGTGGAAATGGCGAGATTAATGCTGCGTGCACGTGCGGTCGACCCCGAGGGCCCGGCAGCGCTGCCGTTACTGCTGCTGATCGGCGCCGGGCGCGACTCGTAGATCGTCACGGCAAAGCCGCGGTGCGCGAGGCCGAGCGCGGCGAGGCAGCCGACGGGCCCACCACCGACGACGGCCGCAGACGGCATAACTGAGAGATCAGGAAGGGATGTGTGCGAGGTTGGAGGAGAGAGAGCGCGGTGGCGAGCTGATGAGGTGTGGTGGTGCGGAGGCAGGTGGAGTCAGCGCCGTGCTTTCAAATCATCAAGCCACGCTCCCGCCGCCGCCGCCAGATCTTCCGGCCGCAAGGAACTCGGGCACCGCCGCCGCGCCGCTGACCAAGATCCCCGAGTCACCCCGTCTCGACGGCGTGGCATCAAGCACACCTCATCTCTACTGCGTGTCGGTTTGGCAGCGAAATTCACGCGACAGCGAGAAGCAGCAGCAGAGCGCAGCATCGAGTGCCCTGGGCTGCGGACACGAGAGCTGGGAGACCTCCGGCGCTGCGCTGGGAGCTACACGCTCGGCCGGTGCCGCGGTGGACCCTAGCAGATTGCTCCTCTCATCGCTGCGTTGTGCTTGCTCCTCTGACCTGCCAGACAGCATCGTCGAGCACCATGTGTGTGCTCGCCAAGCTGATCGTGGAGGTAGATGGAAGGAAGAGTGCGGTGCTGCACATGGCGGTGGGTTGGGCTTAGCCGGCCCCAGCCGCGGCTAAACTCCGACTAAGACTCGGGGGCGCGTGACGCCGCAATTTGCCGAGTCGCGCGCGCCCCGCTTGCTTCTCTCCACCTTCCTGACTCGGCTTGGCGTTCCTCGTGCTTCACCACCTCCACCTCCCTCACCCACGTCCCTCTTCTTGAGCTCGCATCCTTGATCTTCGCTTCTCGTGCTTCGCAAGTGCGCCCTTTGCACCTCGCAGCGCCCAAGTGCTTGTTGCACGCGCACGACACAGCGCGTAGCCATGTCGTCCTCCTCTTCCCAGTCCGTGCCCGCCTGGGTGCCGGGCCCCTTCCCCAAGCCTGCCGTGCAGGAAGCCGGCAAGCAGGCGTCCTACGCTCTCCCACCTCACCTCGTGCTTCCCGACGGGACGCCCGACTATCTGCGGCTCAGTCTCTCGGCCGACATCTACGATCTCGTCAAGTCGACGCCCCTCACGCCCGCCACGAGCCTGAGTGCGCGCCTCGGCTGCAGCGTGCTCATGAAGCGCGAGGACCAGCAGCCGCATGTGTTTAGCTTCAAGATCCGCGGCGCATACAACATGATGCGCGGACTGCAGGGCGAGCAGAAGTGGAAGGGCGTCATTGCGTGCAGCGCTGGTGAGTGTGAAGAGCAAGGGCAGGGCGGCTGGAGCCAGGCAGACGCGGCGCGAAGCGCTCGTCCCTGTGTCAAAGTGGCTCAAAAGGCGAAGTGATAGCGCTGAGCGACGGGCCGGACTGTCGACATCGATGTCGCAACAGAGCAGCTGTCCTCGCACCGGCGTGCCCCAACGTTCCGCCAGGCCCCCAACGTCCAAGTCCTCGCTGCAGCCTGCTCATTCTCTTCCACAGGCAACCACGCCCAGGGCGTTGCCCTCTCCGGCCTGCATCTCTCCATTCCGTGCACCATCGTCATGCCCATGGGCACGCCCGAAATCAAAGTCTCCGCCGTCCGTCGCCTCGGCGCCAAGGTCGTCTTGCACGGCGTTGACTTCGATTCCGCACAAGCCGAGTGCCGCCGCTTGGCAGCCGCCTACGGCCTGACTCTCATCCCGCCATTCGACCATCCTCTCATCATCGCGGGCCAAGGCACAGTAGGCGTCGAGCTCTGCCGCCAGACGGACATGTCTCAGCTCGACGCCGTCTTCGTCTGCGTAGGCGGCGGAGGTCTACTCGCCGGCATCGCATCATACATCAAGCGCATCGCACCGCCGCACGTCAAAGTGATTGGCGTCGAGACGTACGACGGCGATGCGCTGGCGAGAAGCTTGGAGAAGGGAGAGAGAGTGGAGCTGAAGGAAGTGGGCACGTTTGCGGACGGAACGGCAGTGCGTCTGATTGGAGAGGAGACGTACAGAGTATGTGCAGAGACGGTCGATGCCATTGTGAGGGTGGACACGGATGAGATCTGCGCTGCGATCCGTGATGTCTTCGAGGGTGAGTTGGCGAGCGGGGCGTAGTAGCTGCAGTGCCATGCTGAGCCTCCATTTGCATAGACACTCGCTCCGTCCCCGAGCCAGCCGGTGCTCTGGCAGTGGCAGGCCTGAAGCGCTACGTCGCCCTCAATGGCCTGCACGGCAGCGGCAAGCGCTTTGCCGCCATCGTCAGCGGCGCCAACATGAACTTTTCGCGCCTGCGCTTCGTCGCCGAGCGCGCCGAGCTTGGCGATCAGAAGGAGGTGCTGCTGATGGTCGACATTCCGGAGGAGCGTGGCAGGTGAGTCGCTCTAGCCTTGAGAGGGCATTCCGGCGTCAGGCACATCGCTGAGGCTACCGAGCAGCTTCCTCAAGCTCTACTCGCACATCCACCCACGCAGCGTCACCGAGTTCTCGTACCGCATGGACAACTCGGATCGCGCGCACATCTATCTCTCCTTCATGCTTCACGGTGCTCCTCAAGGCGCCATGCCTGTGCCTCAAGCTCCCGTGCTCACGCAAGCACAGACCGCTGGTCTCGGCACACCCGGTCGTGCACCTTCTCCCGCGCCTCGCGGGCGCAATGGCGCAAATGGCGACACGGTTCTTCCGCCGGCGCCGGCCGCGCCAACTGCACCTGCGGAGCCGGCAGTGGTGGCGCAGAGCCAAGCAAGACAGCAAGAACTGGCGGGCATCCTGAAGGCCATCGAGGCCGACGGCATGCGCGTGCGCGACATCAGCGACAATGAAATGGCAAAGAGCCACGCGAGATACATGGTCGGCGGCCGGTGCGGCAAGCCGGTGCAAGGAGAGAGGCTGTTCCAGTTCAGTGAGTGGCAAAACATCCAGCGCCGAGAGAGAGGGGACGATGTGCGGCTGGAAGCGGTGGGCAGAGCACGAGCTGTAGCCTTGCCCCATGCACAAAGGCCTGCATTCACCGCACCTTCTCCCCGTCCCTCCTGCTGATCTCTTTCCCCTCAGTCTTTCCCGAGCGCCCCGGCGCGCTCAAGCGCTTCCTCGACACGCTGCACGCCGGCTGGAACATTACGCTCTTCCACTACCGCAACCACGGCTCGGACACGAGCAAGGTGCTGTGCGCCATCCAGGTGCCGCCGCCCAACGAGGACGGCAGCGGCGACCAGAGCGAGGCGTTCGATGCATTCCTGCACGAGCTCGGGTACACGTATGTCGAGGAGACGGAGAATGCCGTGTACAAGGAGATGCTGGCGTAGATGCGAGATCAAATGCAATGGAAAGGGCATGATGTGTACTGCCCCTGGACCGAGCGAAGGGCGAGGCGCGCGGCTTGGGTCTGTCGAGGAGCGCCAGAGCAGGCAACAGGGAGCCGTCGTGCCACCGTTCGGCTCCGTCTGCTCCACTCTCACTCTCCCTGCGCTGAGAGAGGCGCTGGGAGAGGCGGATGTTTGCCGCAGTCTTCTAGGTGGGATCGGATGCCGGCGGCTCGGCGTCGGGCCCGACGCCGGCGTTTAGCGTGCCGCGGCTGCCGCCGCGCTGTGCGCGGGCCACGCGCCCTCCACCTTGCTTCGCGCTTCGGCGACCGCGGCTCCAGCTTCGGCCTCACTGTCAGGCACAAGGCGAGCTCCCCAAGGTGCGCAATCAACGAGCTCATTCTTCCTTCTCCACCACCACACCAGTCTTACTGCTCTCACCACCTCACCCACCATGTCCGCCTTCAGTTGCTGTTCCCACGTCGTGCGTGCCTCCCTCCCACTCCCTCTCCTCTCCCTCTAACTCCCGCCTTCGCAGGGCTCCTTCACCAAGGGCACGCCCGCAGGCAGCGAGACCTCGCTCGGCGGCCGGGAGTGCTACGTGACGGGCGACAAGGGTGCCCAGCGCGCACTGCTCATTGTGGCAGATGTGTTTGGCTGGAGACTGACTAACACGCGCGTGCTGGCGGATCGCTTTGCAAAGGAGCTTGGCGCGCGGTGAGTGGAGAGGCGACATGGGAGGTGTACAGAGAGCGGGTGGAGGGCGGAGAAGTCTGACGGGAGGAGGGCGTGAGCATGAGCATGAAGAGGACATGGCTGCCGGCGAGGCAAGAGCGCATGGCTGCACCAGCCATCAGGGCGCGTAGGCAAGACTTGCCATGGCGGCGCGGACCTCTCCTCTAGATGCAGCCTCTTACCCATTCCTCTCCGTCTCTCGCAGCGTATACATCCCCGACTTCCTCGACGGCGACGACTTTACGCAGGCCAAGCAGAAGGACCCAAAGTGGGAGCCCGACTTTCCCTCGTTCCTCGCCAAGCATCATCCCGGAGAGGCGGCTGCGCCTTCGATCCGCGCTGCGGTCGACGAGATCCGCAAGGAGCAGGGCGACAAGGTCAGGATCGGCGCTGTGGGCTACGTGAGTGCCCCTTCCCCTTCCACTGCGTGACGCACGTCGCTGACGAAGAGAGAAGTGCTGGGGTGCTCTGCCCGTCTTGCACCTCTCCTCCACCTCCGCCGGTGCCTCTCAAGTCGATGCCATCGCCTTTGCCCACCCTTCGCTGCTCGCAGAGGACGGCTCGGACTTTGCGCAGCTCGCAAAGCCAGCCCTCTTCCTCACGTGCGAGACGGACCCGCAGTTCCCCGACGCCAAGCGCGAGGCGGCGATTGAGGTGTGCAAAAAGAAGGCACGCGAGGGCGTGTTTGTCAAGTTTGGCTACTACCCCAACGTCTCGCACGGCTGGGCCATCAAGGGCGACGAGAACGACGCATACACGGCAAAGGCGATGCAGCATGCCGCCATCGACACGGCGAGCTTCTTCAACGCCGAGCTCTGAGCAGCGTGTAATGAACATCACATCCCCTGCTCCTCTGTCACCGTGAGAGGGACACAGACATTCTTCGGGCGTGTCCAAGAAGATGGCGCGCAGCGCTGCACTGCGAGATCGCTGCTGCTTCCCCGAGTACGCCTCTCGCCATTCATCCGCCCTTGCCCACCCGGGCGGTGTGGCGAGGGCCACCCTCGCTGCGGCCGAGACTGCCGAGTCCGAGTGGTAGTCGGTGCCTGCCCCGCGATGCCAAGGCTGCGAGAAGATGCGCCAGAAAGCGTCACACGCGGCCGCAGCGGCGCATGACACCTGCAAAGGCGCTACGGGAGCCACTCCACCTCTGCCGTGTCGCTGAGCGCTCACGGACAACCACCTCGAGCCGCTGGCTCTTGTCGCCGAAAGACAGATTCTGGGGTCAGCTTGGATAGGGGAGCTGAATCTCAGAGGCGAAGCTAGACGCGAGCATGGACGCCAGGATGCTGGGCTGCGACAGCTCGGCGTCTTGCTGCTGCTGCTCCCGCGTGCGTGCCCGGCCGCTGCTTCGACCTCGCAAAGCGCAACCGAGCGCTCTTCTCTCGACGCGGAGCAAGTGCACGATGATGCAAGCCTCACCCGTTTGATTGCGAGGCGTGTGAGTGAGGGAAGATCATGCTGCGCCGATGGCGCTCGGGTCTCGTTGCGAGCGTGCGGCCAGATGCTCGCTCAGTCAGAGACGAGTAAGAGTGGGGCGCTGCGGTGTGATTCAGACTCTTATTGCGACATCAAAGCGAAGCGCAGTGTGCAGCTCCACAGGGGATCACACGACCTCGAGCCCATGCTGATGGCCCTTCGAGGTCGCCTGAGCCAGCCGCAGCACCTGCGGACTCGTCGCTTCAGAGCGCAGGCGTGCCTTGTGCCTGCGTCGCAGCCTCGGACGATGCTTCAGCTCTCCGTGCTCGAAGTTGCCCTCGCTCTGCGCAGCTGATCGCAAGCGCCAAGGCTCCTGAGAGGCCTCCGGGCGCCGTACCGCTCGCCCCCGTCGCCCCCTGGCGGATGCTGGGCTCAACGGCTGCGCTGCAGGCTTGGGCGCGCTCGCCGGCGCCGGCGCTCCAGCCAAGGCGCAGGGCATCATTTCGCGGCGTGCTCGAGCACCTGTCGGCGGCTCGGCAGAGCCGTTCTCACGAGCCCATCTCACACGCTGCCCAGCTCGGCGTGTTGCCTCGCTCTCGGTGACCAAAGAGCGAGATGAGACGTCGAGATCTGCGGCGTGTGCGGCACGAGGCACGAGGCTCGCCGGCGTGAGGCGCCAAGCTGATGCGCTGCCTCTCGCGCCGGCGCGCGCCGCGGGGTGTGCGCCGCGCATGAGGGCGCAGCGTCAGCGTCAGCTGCGGCGGCATGGCGTCGCCAGAAAAAGCTCCTCGGGCACCTGAGCAGCACCAAGGCGAGCTGCACCTCCTGCGCCACGCCGCCGCGAGAGCGTTTCGCTCGCAGCAGCAGCGGCAGCATGCAGGCGCGCGTGGTGCGCGTGTTTGGTCGCAGACGCGCTGCTGCCCTCGCGCACCGCACCGCAGCGGCAGCGGCCGGCGCGCCGCAGCCCGAGGGGGCAAGTCTGCGCGCGCTGTTGCCTCCTGCCGCTGCTCGCTGCGCTCTGTCTGACGGCTGAGATCGCGGCTTGCGGGTGCGGCGCCGGCGCGGGCTGCGGCTGCGTGTGCCGCCGGCATCTGGCAGGCCTGCACCTGCGCGGCCGCGGCTGAGCTGCAAAAACAGCCGTGAGGGCACGCAGCACGCAGGCGCACAGAGCCGAGAGCCCGGCGATTGCGGCGGCGGCAGGCTCAGGTGCAGACTGAGAGGAGGAGGAAGGGAGGCGCGACGGCGGCGGCGTCGGCTGCGCGAGGCGCAGGCTCGCCGCGCGCGAGGCTCGTGTCCTCTGCGCTCTGCGGCGCTGAGCTCGCGCCTCTCGCGCTTGCAGGAGCGGCCACGGCGCAGCGGCCGCACACGCACCGGCATCGTCTGCGCGCCTGGGACCACGATCGCCCTTCGCTCCGCACACACCCCCTTCCCGCGTCGCCCGCCAGGCTGCCGGCCGAGTCTCACCCACCAACCACCATCCTCAAGTCTCGCCTTGCCGGCCATCCGCGCTCAGCGCCGCAGCCCGCTGCCCCGCTGCCGAGCCTAGCCGCCGGCCGCAGAAGCGCACGCGCACGCGCCCCCCGAGTTCGGTGCCGCGCCGCCCCTGAAGCGCGAGCAGCGAGCCCTGCCGCCGCGCGAGTGGCTTGTGGCTGCCTGGAGCGTCGTCTGTAAGGTGCGTAGCTTCGCTCGAGACGTGCGCGACGTGTGCGCTTCTCTCCCAGTGCAGCGGCTGGCTGGGATGAAGGGAAGAGCTGGTGGTGGTCGGTGGGCAGGACATGCTGGCAAGGCAGGCCGGACTGGTGATCCGTCGAGCGCTGTGGGCCCATCTCTCTGCTGCCGTCGCTCTATGGAGCAGCGGCGTCTTGAGGAAAGGCCGGCAGACAGCAGATGGCGCAGAGATTCCGCTCATTCTCTGTGCGCTGGGCGGCAGCTCGGGCGGGCCCCTGTCTGCTGGCTGCGCAACGGCTCCTTCGCCCGTGAACGTCGCCGACTCAGCGCGCACCTTTCGTTGGTTCTGACCTCGCTCGGTCTTGGACCGTCTGTGCGCGCTCTGCTTGGAGCTTCGCGCTGCGGGAGGTGCGAGAGGCCAGGTGAAGAGGCGCGCACCGCCGCTGGGCTGCCACGTGCACGCGCCCAAGCTCGGCGCCCGTGGCTCTGCGCTGCCGCCGTATCTAGGGGCTTGATGCCGGCGTCAGGAGACCCAGCGCGCGCCAGCCAGCCTGCCGACGAAGCATCCAGCGTGATGGCTTGCGCTGCCGCTCTCCCTGCTGCTGCCAGCTCTGCGCGCTCTGCACGCACAACACGCACAGAAGCCTCGCCGCGACGGCCTCTGGACGGTTCAGGGGCTGCGCGTGCGCGCTTGTACGATGACGAGGCTGGACGTGCCGATGCCGGCGTGCCGCGGCGGTGCGGGTGGAAGGGGTCCCAAATTAGACGCAGACGCCGCCGCGGCTCTGTTGCACATCCGCCACACTTTACCGTCGCTGCGTCTGGCCTGGCGCTGACGCTGCTTCCTTCTTGCCACCTTCTCCTTCCTCCTCCCTCGTGTCGCGCGCGCACGATGAACAGCCGACCCGAGAGTGGGCGCACAGACTCCAGCGCCTCGTACGCAGACGCTGCGACTGCTGTGTTCCACACGCGAGCACCGGCCCCGCTTGGTGCTGCGTACTACGCGCCGAGCTTCCAGCCCGGCCAGATCGTGTCGGCGCAAGCGCTGCAGAGCGCCACCTCGCCTCCACGTCCGCAGTTCGCGCCGCACTTCTCGGCGAGTCCGCCGCAACGACCCTGGCAGGATCCGCCAGGTCGTGTTGGCTCTGCGCCGCCCGTCGCTCCTGCAGCGCGCGCACCGCCGCGACAGCTCAGCCGCGACTTTCCGCCAGTCAGCGCGCGGCCACCTCGCGAGGACCGGCCGTCCTCCAGTCTAGCTCGCAGCAGTGCCGGCAGCACCTACTCCACTGCGCATCACAGCCGCCACAGCTCGAGCGCATCAGGACACGCGCCTCTTCCTCCGCGCGCTCGACCTTCTGCGCCGACCTCTCCGCCTCTGCACACCTCATCTCCCTTCGCGTTCTCCAACAGCCCCTCGCTCGACACGCCGCAGGCCACGTTTCAGCCGCCTCGCAGCATGGACGGCGGCGGCGGACTGTCGATCCTGCCGCCCGTCGGCGCGGCGGACGGCTCCGTGCAACGGCCGCCTGCCGCATACGCACGCGGCGGTCCATCCACCTCGGCGCCCTGGCCGCAGACTGTGCCTGCGCCTGCGCGCGCGCGGCGGAGAAGCGGCGAGCTGGCCAGCGCAACAGTGAGCCGCTCGAGCGGCAGCCTGCTTGCCACGTCGCCGATTCTCGGCTCGCGCCTGCTGGACGAGGCCGACGCGCCCTCGCCGCGCCAGCTCTCGTCTCTCTTTGAAGCGCTCGGGCCGCGCATCTCGGGTGTGCCGGCCGCGAGTGGGCCGCAGCTGAACAGCATGAGTGGGTTCAGTGCAGGCAGCGGCTGGAGCCGCACAGAAACGGGCGAGGGCGCCTCGGGCAGCTCAGGCGGCGCAGGCGGCTCGCACGATGCAGATCTGCCGCGCGGCGGCGATGGGCGCGCCAGCTCGCCCGGCTCGGGAGACAATGGCGGCGGCGACGATGGCGACGAGGCGGCGCGCGAGAAGGAAAAGTCGCGCAAGGCCAATCCGCTGCTCGACCTCATCGAGACGGAGACGGCCTTCGTCGCCGAGCTGAGCAAGATCATTCGCGTGAGTAGCGTCGCTCCGCTGGCAGAATGCTTCGCCAGTGCGCATTGCGACCAGCCGCTGACATGTGGCACACAACAGCGAGTCGCTGCGGCCTGGAGTCGCACCAACTTCCCGCCGCCGGAGCTGGACACGATGTTCCGCAACGTCGAGTCGATCTACCGCGTGAACAGGTCATTCCTGAAGGTGAGTGGCAGCACTGCGCCTCAATGATCCGGAGCTCACACGCGCTGCGCAGTCGTTGCGCGAGATCGGCCCCAACCCTGCGTCGCCGCGCGCGCTCGGCGACCTGCTCATGCGCTGGGTGAGTGACGCTCGCGCCGTTTTGCGCGCATCCGCTGACCTTCGACACCAGATCGACGACCTCGAGGCGCCGTACATGCGCTACTGCGACAACTACTTCACCGACTTTGACACGTGGGCCGCGGTGCAGTCCAACACGAAGCTCGGCGAGCTGCTCGACGAGATCTCGGCGCCGACGCAGCCCGACGGCTCGCCCGTCGTCTTCTCGGACAAGAAGCGCTCGCCGGGCGACGTGTGGACGCTTGACGCGCTGTTCGCATTGCCGCAGGTGCGGCTCAAGTACTACAAGAAGCTCTACTCGCGCCTGCTCAAGAGCACACAGCCGGGCCGCAGCGACCACCGCCTGCTGGTGGGCGCCAACGAGAAGCTCGATGAGCTGCTCGAGCGCTCGAAGCGCCGCATCAGCATGAGCGTGCTCGATGAAGGGCCAGTGGCGCCGGAGCGCGAGCGCACGAGCGGCGATAGCTCTGTCGGCGACACGACTTCGATGACGCACGAGTGAGTGAAGAGCGCATTGCACCGCGCACGCGATCACTGCTGACCTGTCGGAGCAGCAGCAGCACGCCTGCCTCTGGCAACAGAGCCTCGTCGGCGACGTCTGCCTCTGATCGCATGTCCTCAGAGCCGCCGCCGATGCCCAAGGATCCCGTCACGAGCCCGCCATTTCTGGCCACGCGCCCAAACGCACCGCCTCGCATTGCGTCGCCTGCGCCGAGTGCTCCAAGCGTCTCTGCGCCGCAGGCCGACGACACGCTGCGTGCCGCGGGCGCGCTGTCGCTCGAGGACAACGCGGCAGATGTCCTCGAGCAGCGGCTGGACACGAGCCGCACCCTCGACATCTTCACGATGATGCCCAAGGTACGTGCGACGTGCCTTCCTACGCGCTCTTGCAGCTGACTCTCCCGCCCCCACAGAAATGCCAGCTGCGCATGAACCCGCCGAATCTGCCCTTCACGCGCACGCTGCGCAAGAGCGCCGATGTCATCGTGACCTTCACGCCCGCCTCGACCGGCAAGGAGATCGTCTTGCGGCGCGCGCATCTCGTGCTGCTCACTGATCTCTTCCTCATCTGCGAGCGCATGACGCCCAGCGAGCGCGCAACAGCCACGAGCCGCGACACCGACATGTGGCTTCTCTACCCGCCGCTTGCCGGCAAGCATCTGCGCGTCGCCGAGAGTGCGCAGGGGAATGCGCTCTCGATTGTCATCCTGAAGAAGGAGACCATGCTCATTCAGACCGACTCGCGGCAGGAGCGCGACGAGTGGCTGCAGCACTTTGACGCGTGCAACCGCTTCGCTGCCAATATGGGCCTGAAGCTGCAGACGGGGCCGTCTGCGGGCCTGCCGGCGCCCTCGCCACTGTCTGCGAGCACGCTGCCGCCGACGGGCGTCTCGCCTGCCATCTCCGTCACGCCGTCGTCGGGCAATGGCCTGTCGAGCACGGAGAGTGCCTCGGGCGAGCTCTTCTCGCCGCACTCGTCCACCGGTTCCAGCCTGGCGCGCGACAACTCGTTCAACTCGGTCGCCTCGTTCCCCAAGATCGCACAGGGCCAGAACGGTGCTTATGCCATCGGCTCGCCGGATCTGCGCATTCCGCCCGCGTCGAGCCCGGTCATGAGCCCGAACCTGACGCGCTCGCCGTCGCCGAGCAGCCCTGGCTTCGCCAACGGCTCGCGCTTCAACGGCCCGCCTGGCCCGGCGCCGGGCAGCTTCAGCGGCATGCCGGGGCCGGCTGGACCGCCCTCGGGCAGTTCTGGCGGTCCGGACTTTGGCCCTGGAGGGCCAAGGCCTGGCTTTGCCGGCGTCCGCCCGCCGTTTGCGCAGAGCAACGGACGCGGCTCGCCGGCGGAGAGCAGTCCGCCGACCGGTCCGCAACAGATGATGGGTCGCCGCGGCCCTTCACCCGGCCCTGGCGGCCCGCCGGGCGGCCCTGGACCGATGTCGCCGCCCTTCCGCGCGCCTCAGATGATGGGACGCGGCGGCCCGCCTGGTCCTCCCGGCAGCTTCGGACCTGGTGGCCCTCCTGGCCCGCCGAGCAACTACGGACCTGGCGGCCCCGGCGGACCACCTGGAGGCATGCCGCCGCGCAACGGTCAATACCCGGGCGGCCAGGGTGGCCGCGGCGGCCCGCCAGGCCCGCCTGGAGGCCCGTCAGGCCGGCCCATGGGCCCTGGCGGCATGGCAGGCCCGCCTGGTGGCATGTCTGGCCCGCCCGGCTCGATGCCGCCTGGAGGCCCTCCTGGCGCGCCTGGCGTCGCGTTCCCGCGAGGCCAGCGCGGCCCGTCGGACACGGGACCGCCCGGCCATGGCCCGCCGCCGCGCGAGCCGATGCGCCACCCCTCTGCGCCGAATCTGCGCTCGCCGCAGGTGGGCAGTGCGCCGCCGCCGGGCAGCAGTAACAGCAGCTTCGTCGGCGAGCGCGTCCGCTCCACGTCGAGCGGCGGCAGCGGTGGCGGTGGTAGCGGACTAGCCAAGCTGCCGAGCGACTTCCTCAAGGATCCCAGCGTGCGCCAGCACGAGTCGTACAGCCCGCCGAACAGCCCGACGCTGCGGCCCAAGGGTCCGACGACGAGCACGGTGAGCGCGCAGATGCGCTGCCGCCTCTACCTCAAGCAAAACCACGCGCAGTGGAAGTCGCTGGGCGATGCGCGCCTCAAGGTGTACCATCTCTCGCCCGACGAGGTCAAGCAGCTCGTCGTCGAGAACTCGAAGAAGGTGCTCGTCAGCTCCCTCATCATGCCCGACGCCGTGGAGCGCGTGGGCAAGGTGGGCGTCGCCGTCGAGGTCAGCGACGCCAGCAGCGGTGCGGGCCAGTATGCGCGCACGGGCATCGTGTACATGCTGCAGCTGCGCAGCGAGGACAGCTGTGCGGGCCTCTTCGGCGAGCTCATCGCCGGCTCGGACCGCACGACGACGGCGACGCGCTAGAGGCGGCATTGCGCACGCCGCCCTTCGATCTCTCTCCTGCCTGCATGATACCTCGGTCTGGCCTGTCTCTCGTTGCCACCCCACTGGAGAGCCTCGTGCCTCTCCCGCTCTCGGCGCCTGCAAAACGGCGCACCGCGTCTGGTCCTTCGCCACGCGCGCGTCCCTCCTTCGCCTCCGCTTCCCGGCTCGTGGCCCTGCGCCTGTACACTCCTCCTTTCCCTCCTACATCCGCACATCCCATTCCTCCCTCATCCACACGTTCCCGGCGCTCCGTAGAGGTACGCGCATCAGCCCGAATCACATCCATGTCCCCGCCTTGGGCTGCGTGACTAAGCGGAGGATCGGGCGCGGCGCAAGGCCGCGCATCGGTCAGCTGCGTCATGGCGGCCGAGCGGCCAGGGTGCAGCGAGGCGCAGCGAGGCCTGACCTCTCACCACCACCTCTAGCAGCAAGCATGGCGCCTCAGACTCGCAGTCAGAAGCCAGGAACCAGCACGAGCGAGGGCAAGAAGGTCGCAGCGCGCGGCGCCAAGCGCAAGGAGGCCGAGGTCGAGGTGGGGAAGGCCGAGAGCTCGGCGCGTGGCGCGCGGCAGAGCGACAGGAAGCCCGCCGTCAAGGCGGCTGGAGCAGCGTCTGCGTCCAAGGGCAAGCAGGCAGCGCCCAAGGGCAAGAGCAAGGCAAAGAGCAAGGGCACGCCGATGGCCTCCTTCCCCTACGAGCTCGACTGGAAGCGCATCGACGCACGCAAGCATCCCTTCCTCTACCGTCCGGGCCGGGTGAGCGTGCTCCCTGCACCAAGCAGCGCCACAGCTGACACAGCTATTGTAGGGCGAGCAGGGCGTCTTTGCTGTGCAGCCATACAAGGCGGAGTTGTTGCCGCTTTGGGCTTTCAAAGACCCCGCCACTGCTACGCGCAGCTCGCAGGACCTCGAGGCGGCGTTTGAGCGCTATCTCGACGCTGAAGACTTCGTTGGCGCCGACATGTGCCGCAAGTTCATCCAGGTGAGTCTGCTGCAGCACAGCAGCGGCTCAAAGCTGACGTGCTTGCTCAGATGGGCTTCACACGCGCACGACGATACGCCAACCACGCCGGCGGACGCAAGTACGTCGTGCCGGGCGGCAAGGAGCAGCTGCCACGCGGTGCCGAGGACCCCGTCAAGGCCGAGGCAGCAAGCATCTTCAGCGAGGGTGAGCTGGGTGGCAGAAGGCGCGTGGTAGCGTCAGCGCTCACGCCGCCTGTGACAGTGCTGGCACGAGTCAAGGCCGACGAGCGATACAGTGAGTTGCCTCCTCTGCCGGGCTCGTGTCTGGTGCTTCCGACTGACGACGCTCTCGCAGCTCGACTGCTGCAAGAGTTCAGCGAGCGCTGGGCAGACCACACTGTCCCGGCGCCCGACGAGCTCGAGGGCCTGGGCCTGCTGGAGCCCAAGCCCGACGCGGACAGCGGCGGCGACGACCACGACGATGATGGCGCCTCAGACGATTGAACACGAGCTCTGTCTGATTAGCCCAAGGAAGAATGTGTGCGTGACATGCATGTGTGCAACCATCGTGCCCCAGAATATCGCTGCCCAGCCGTCTAGTTGCGCCAGATTTTGAGCGTCTTGTCACGCCCGCCACTGACGACCTTGTCAGCGGCAAACGAGACGCAGTAGACCTCGTCCGAGTGGCCTGGCAGGTCGATACGCAGCTGTGAAAGAGCCGCCAGTCAGCAAGTGGCATCTCGGTGCACACAGCACAGCACGACGTACCTTGAACGTGCGCAAATCCCACAGCTTGACGGTGCTGTCCTTGCTTGCGCTCACGAGCAGCCGGCTATCAGCGCTCCAGTCGACGCGATACACGTTCGCCACGTGTCCTCTCAGCGTCGCGATGAAGCGTCCGGTGCGCGCGTCCCAGAGCTTGACGGCATTGTCGAAGCCCGCGCTGGCGACGAGACGGCCATCGGGAGAGAAGCAGACGTGGTTCACCGTCTTTTGATGGCCCGTCAGCCGCGCCAGAGACTTCTTGGGCGTCGCGCCGCCCGCGGCGCCGAGCGAAACATCGCCGGAGATCTGCGGCGCCCAGAGGAAGAGCGTGTGGTCGTCGGAGCCGGAGATGGCCTGCTCGAATCGCTGACCTGCCGTAGCGGCACGGTAGCGCGCCAGTGCAGACGCCTTCGCCGCGCCGTCGGCGTCCGTCGCAGCGTCTGGCGCGCCGGGCGCCGGCTTGGCGAGCTTGCCGTGGTGGTCGAAGGGACCGGTGCGCAGCACAAAGTCCGTCGAGAGAGCGAGAGTGTTGACCCAGTGCGCATGCTCGTTGAGCGTGCGGATCAGCTTGCCGCTGGCGGCATCCCACACCTTGACCGTGCGGTCAGAGCTGGCAGTGTAGATGGCGCCCTCGCCGCCCCAGCGCACCACATTGACGCTGGCCGAGTGGCCGCCGAGCGTGAATTCGCAGAGACGCGTCGAGACGTTCCACACCTTGACGGTGCCGTCCTTGGAGGAGGATGCGAGACGTGGCGCAGCGGCATTGGAGTGGATCGGCTCCCACGACAGCGACGTGATCCACTTGGTGTGCCCCTTGAGCACCTTGCCCTGCGGCGCCGCGTGCCGTGCTGCCCGCTTCTCTGCCACCGTCATCTTCGTCTTGGCCGGAGTGGCCTCTGCGCCGTCCGCTGCGTCTTGTGTCGCCGTAGCGGCCGCACGCTCCTCATCAATCGTCTTTGCGCTCTTGACGCCCCATGCCCGCCGGCCCGTCTTGCCCTCGCTCGAGTCGAGCGCGTCCCAGACCCACACATCGCCCTCCATGTCGCCAGTCGCCAAGCGTCGCTCGCGTCCCTCCCACTCGGCACACAGCACCCAGCCACGATGCCCGGCCAGCGTGTGCAGCGGCATCTCCGACTCGACATCCCATATCCGCGCCGTCTTGTCGCCGGCGCCCGTGGCGAGCAGGGTGCCGGTGGGCGAGGAGGAGGAGCAGAGAATAGGCGAGGCGTGGCCTGAGAGGGGCATCAGCGGAGCTACATGCGCGAGACAGCGGCATGCTCACCAGACAGCGTGCTGGTGCAGCGCGTCACGGGCCGCACACGGAACACGGCCTGCGGCTCGAACACGATGGAGAGCGTGTCTTCAGAGCTGAGGCCGAGGCGCTTGGCGGCAGCGGCATTGAGCACATCGTCGGCGATGCTCTTGCTGATCTGCAGGCGCATGTTGGCCGCCGACGTGGCTGCGGCGCCGGGTGCCTCGGGCAGCGCAACGTGGAAGGCGAACGGCAGGTCCTCATCGGCGTCATCGTCATCCTCGTCGGCATCGCCGCTGCGCGGTCGGCGCTCTGCGCGTGCCTGGCGACGCAGCTGGTTGACGAGCATCTCGAGCTCTCGCTGGCCCGTCGCTGCCGGCAGGCTGATGGCGGGGCCCAGCGGCACGCCGTCGGCGCCGGCGGAGCGCAGCTGCACGACGAGCGTCTCGGCGGCGGGGCCGAGCTGGCCGGCATCGGCCATGGCCGCCGCCGCCTTGTCGGCTGCGGCGTTGGCCAGACGTTGCCGCTTGGCGGAGCGTGGCGGGACGAGGGTGGCCATGCTGAGAAGGAGGGTCGGTGGGGTGAGGGTGGGAAATGCGAAGGAGCAGAGGCAAGCCCCTCCAGCGCCAGCAACTTTTGGGCTCTCGTACGGCAGCGCCGCGCGGCGCCTCGGCTAGAAAAAAAGCTGGCGCCGGGCTCCGCGGCGCGGCGGCTGGCCCACGGCGTGACCCTCTCATCACGCTGCTCTCCTTGGCAGCGCAGGGCCTGCGAGGAGCCAGTTCAGCTTGATTGAGCGCATGGACAGAGTCATTGGTCCGGCTGTGTGTGCAGTCGCAAGGCTTGTGGTTGATACATAGCGACCCTGACTCGACTGAGACGAGCTTGCGATGCGATGCGATGTGAGAGCGCGGGAATTTCAGAGGCGCGCGGCCGTGGCGGCTGTCTGCTCTGCATCGCGCGCGCCGTGATGCGCTTGCTGCTTCTTCCCAGCCTGCCTCTTACACCTCGCTCCCCGCATCTCACCGCCGTCGCAGCCACTCTCCTTTCCTCGGTCTTCTGCACCTCTTGCTCCATCTCTCTGCGCCTCTCTTCCGCCGCTCTTCCAGCAGCCGTCTCCTAGTGTGCCACGCGCCCGAGTGCTCTCCAGCATGGCCAAGAGCACGCCTCGCGCAAAGGCGCCTGCCGCTGCTGCGGCCGCAGCGCCGGCCGCCAGCACGTCGGCCGCCGCACCCTCTTCCTCGTCTGCGCCGGCAAAGCGGCGGCGCACCTCGACGTCCGCCGACAGTGCCTCGGGCGCACCTGCCGCTGCCGCTGCTGCCAAGGGTCCCTACCATGTGCGTGCCTCAGCCAACCCGCCCAGCATGACCCGCAACTCACGCCGACTCTGCAGGATGCACTGCTGGCGCACGACGGCGCCTTCAGCATGCTGCTCTCGCTTCTGCCTGCCAACCTCTACCTCGGCCCCGCCGACGATGCGCTGCTCGACGAGGAGGCGGCAAACGCTGAGAGCGGGCCGGGCGCAAAGTTCATGAAGAACAAGAAGAAGAAGGACAAGGAGCTCGAGAGCGCACGCAAGAAGGAGAAGGCGAGAGAGGGCAAGCGGGCAAAGGTGCGTCTGGCGCAGTGGCTTGCGATGGCAGAGCGTAAGGCTGGAAAGAGTGGCGGCGCTGCGAAGCTAGTGGGCTGGGCGGACAGGCTGCGCTCGTCGAGTGGCGGAGCGCTGTCGTGGACGTGCAACTTGCGCCTCTCCTGTCGTAGTGCACCTGCTCACGCCGGACTCTCCGCAGCTCGACCCGGCCAACCAAAAATCCATCCCGGAGCTGCAGGCCGAGCGCGCTGCCATTGCTGCGGCACGGGCAGCAGCTGCGGACGACGACGTCTCCTTCTCCGGCTCGGAGCTGGGCGGCGAGGGGTCGGACGACGACGACGAGGCCGACGCAGGCTCGGAGCATGCAGGCGACACAGACGAAGACATGGTCGACTCGGACATGGAGACGGATGCCCGGCCCGCGGCTGCGGCCGCACCGGTGCAAGACGGCGCAAGCAGCATCACCGAGCTGCGGGCGAAGCTGCATGCGCGCATCGGTGTGCTGCAGGCCAAGCGGCGTGCTCCTGGCATCACTGGCTCCAACCAGACGCCGCTCGGCGCACGCGCGGGCGTCGTTGCGGGCGCCAGCAGTGCAGCGCTGGATGATGGCGAGGCGGATGATGGCGAGAGTCTGGCGGGCAGCAAGGACGAGCTACTCGAGGAGCGGCGGCGCAAGCGTGGTGAGATGCGCGATCGCCGTCGCCGCGAGCGCAAGGAGGCTCGTCGGGCCGCGGGCACGCCCAAGCCGGACAAGAACGCCGCCAAGCTTGCGCCTGGCGCTACGAAGGGCGCAGGCGCCACGAGTGCGCCGACGCGTGCGCCGGCGCTGCTCGTCTCGGACGGCCGGCACGGCGGTGCTGCACGCGCAGGTGGCAGCGGTCGCTCAGACGATCCGTCGGGCACCGACGTGACATTCTCGAAGCTCAAGTTTGCAGCCGACGCACACACGGACAAGAAGAGTCGCCACGCCATGCCTGCCGACCCCAAGGCCGCACTGGCCGTGCTCGAGGCGCGCAAGGCTCGCGAGGCCAAGCGTGCGGAGAAGCTCGAGGCAAAGGGCCCTGACGCGGACGCCGAGGCACGCGCAAAGGAGAAGAAGGAGGCTGAGCGCTGGAGCCGTGCTGAAGCCGCGGCGGAGGGCGTCAAGCTGCGCGATGACGAGGGCCTGCTGAAGAAGGCAGTGAAGCGCAAGGAGAAGGAGAAGAGCAAGAGTGCAAAGGAGTGGTGCGTTGCGTCTGCAGTGCTTGTGAAGTGCTCTGCTGACCCTTCCCTCTCACCGTTAGGGGCGACCGCGCACGCGACCTGCAAAAGAAGACGGAGCAGCGCATCAAGAAGCGCACCGACAATCTGGCGGCGCGCAAGGAGCGCACGGGCGGCAAGAAGAAGGGCGGAGCGGCCGGCGGTGGCGGCAAGAAGGGCACAAAGGCTCGCCCGGGCTTCGAGGGCAAGGCGTCCTTTGGCGCTGGCAAGAGCCGCGGCGGCGGCACTGCCGGACGCGGTGGACGCGGAGGCGGCAAGACGGGAGGCCGCAAGTAGACAGCCTCGTCGTGCGCGGCTGTCTGTTGGGCTCTATGAGATGTCATTTCAGCCAAGCATGCGTGCGCGCTTTGGATCAGCGGCATCGCCGCCAGCATCAGGTGAGGCGCCTCGTTTCAGCGCGCCGGGCGCTTCGGCATCGAGCGCCTCGGGCTGCGTCTGCGTCTGTGTCTGGGTGTCGGTCTGTGTCTGCGTCGCCTGCTTGGGCTCCTGCGTGAGCGGCTGTGCAGATGAAGCAGACGAGTCTGCCGAGTCGGTCGGCGACGATGGGCCAGGTGGGCCTTGTAGCGAAGTCAGGTCCGCGCCGGGAAAGAGCCACATGTGCGGCCTGCGGCTGGTTTTCAGCAGGAAAGCGCACGAGGGACGAGCGCGCCGTGCTCACCGCACGCTCTCTTGCGGCTCGATGTCCAATCTCGCTATGTCGACGTTGCTCTGACTCGCAGACGCGACCGTTCCCGTCGGCGCGGCAGGCAATGTCCAGCCTAAGCGCTGACAGAGGTACTGCACGATGACATCCGCATCTGCATCGCCGCATCAGCGAAAAGGGCAAAAGAGGCGTGCCTCCTGTGCGCCGGCCTCACCACCGAGCAGCTGAATGTCAGACTGGATGTGCAGCACAGGCGTGCGGTTGATGAGCAGCACAGGCACGCTGTGCGGCATGTGTCCGATGAGCTCGGAGACTGGCGCCACCTTGAGCGCCGTGCCGACGATGATGACGAGATCGACGGACTCGCGATCCTCGAACAGGCCTGCGTGTGAGGAAGCGTCAGTGGGGCGTCATTCGCCACGAGCTCTCGGCACTCACAGCGGTCGAATTTGTCGCTCAGCTTCTCGCCGAAGAAGACGATGTCTGGCTGAGAGGCGGCGTCAGGCAAGCGCTCGTGAGCGCGACACGGGCGGCTCACCTTGAGCACCCCCCACCCAGCCGGTCTTGCATCGCGCTCAGCCTCGTCCGAGTCGCTGTCGTTATCGTTCCAGCCGCCCTTGCTCTTGCCTTTCGCTTTCGCCTTGGCCTTTGGCGGCGCAGGTGCATGACAGCGAGGACAGTACGGCACGCGCTGCGCAAAGATGTCCTCTTTGATCGCGCTGCCCGCGACTGAGTAGCCGCACAGCGGGTTCGTGCAGCTCGCTTCGGCGAATGAGCCGTGGCAGTTTAGCACGCGAGTGATCTATGAGCAGCACTGTCAGGATCCCACAGCGCGAAGGCGGCAGGGAGCAACGCACGCCAGCCTGCTGTTCGAGCGTGTCGATGTTCTGGGTATAGTCGCGCAGCAGCACGTCGCGCTCCTCGAGCAGCTTGATGAAGCGATGCGTCGGCGAGGGCGTGAAGTTAGAGGGAAAGATACGGTGCGCGAAGCTGAAGAAGCACGCGGGGTCGGACATGAAGTACTCCTTGTCGAACATCTGGCGCGCCGCCGTCAGCGCAGAGTGAGAGGGCTAGCCACAGATGGACTGACCTCTTGAGGATCTGCTAGGTCATACTTGCCCTCGCGCATGAGAGTCGCATAGATGCCGTCCTGCGCCTGGATCAGTAAGGAGGTCAAGACGCGGCAAAGAGAGTGCTCACCTTGGAGCGAAAGTCAGGAATGCCGCAGCTGACGGAGATGCCGGCGCCGGAGAGGACTACGATGCGGCGAGAGCGACGAAGCAGCGCCACGGCATCATCGACGCTGTTGTACTGCGGCAGCTTCTCGCGCCGACGCAGGATGCGCATCAGCACGGCTCGCAGCACGCCGAGCACTAATGGCCGCTCGGCGTCTTCGCGGACGTTGCGCGGCTGCAGCGATGAACGGCATCAGCATCCTGATCCTGCGGCAGACTGGATGTACCTACCAGCAGGGAGCCCAACCGGACGAGCAGCAGCTGGATAGCGCGCACAGACACGTCGGGCCGGACGTAGGTGCGGATGAAGTGCAGGAAGCCGCGCTCTCGCAGGGTGTAAAGCATCTCTTCCAGCTGCTCGTCGGGATACAGCACGCACGCTTGAGAGAATGAGCGTGATCAGCGACGATACTGTCAGTCAGAGGCGTAAAGCCCGCACCTTGCTCGTAGAAAGCAGCCGCCTCGTCGTCGCCTTCCTCCTCGCACTCCTGCGCGAGACGTGAGTGAGCAAGCAGGCGCCGAGGGCAGCCTCTAGGCCGCACCTCTTCGGCAGCATTTTCGAGCAGCTCCAGTCCGGACGAGTCGCAGTCGTGCGGGCCGTCTCCAGGCATCATGGGAGCGTCGAGTGCGGCCTGTGCCGACGACGAAGCGATGGATGCCGGCTGCAGCGGGCGCACGGGAGCGGCGCCTGGTCGTAGATCGGCTCCTGGTGCACTGCACAGCGCGCCGGCTGCCGCCTCGACTGCCGCTGCCGAGCTGGACGCTGCGTGCTCGGCCATGCTGTGCTCTGATCGTGCGAGGCTGCTTGCTGTGGTGGAGGAGAGGGCAGCGAGCTCGGCGTCCGTGCCAGGGGAGTGGCCTGGGCGCCGTGGCCTGAGAACAGGAACATTCGGCGCGCCCGGGCGAGGCGGCGCGGCGGAAAGCGGGCAACAGCGCTGTGGGAGCAGCGGGTTGCACCCTCGAGCTCGCGCCTGGATCTTCTCGCCGCGGCGGCGCCCGGATCTGATTGCGCTTCCACCACCACTCCTCCCCCCGACATCATGACCAACACCGCAGCTGCCATCGTGCGCAAGGCCGGCTCGGCGATCCGCCTCGGCATGATGCCTGCCGACGGCATCGGGCGCGAGGTGCTGCCGTGTGCGCAGCGCGTGCTGCAGAACACGCCGGGCGCGCCCAAGTTTGAGTTCCTGCAGCTGGCCGCCGGCTTCGAGCACTTCCAGAAGACGGGCAGTGCGCTGCCCGACGAGACGATCCGCGCGCTCAAGGAGGAGTGCGACGGCGCCATGTTTGGCAGCGTCAGCTCGCCCAGCCACAAGGTCGAGGGCTACAGCTCGCCCATTGTGCGCCTGCGCAAGGAGCTCGACCTCTACGCCAACATCCGCCCCGTGATCGGCGTGCGCGGCACCAAGGACGACGAGAAGTGGGTCGACACGGTGATTGTGCGCGAGAACACCGAGTGCCTGGTGAGTGAGACGTGCAGCATGGGCAGCGCAGGCGGCGCTCATGCCTTGCACAGTACGTCAAGTCCGAGACGTCCGAGTCGACGCCCGAGGGCCAGGTGGCTCGTGCCATCCGGCAGATCAGCGAGAAGGCCTCCACGCGCATTGGCCGCAAGGCCTTTGAGGTGGCGCTTGCGCGTCAGTCGATGCGCGAGAAGACGGGCGCCACGACGAGCGGCAACGCCGCCACGGCCAAGGTGACGGTGTGCCACAAGTCCAACGTGCTCTCCGTCACCGACGGCCTCTTCCGCACGTCGGTGCGCGCCGTGTACGAGAAGGACGCACGCTCGGCTGGTGGTCCCGGCCGCTACGCCAACGTGACGATGGACGAGCAGCTCGTCGACAGCATGGTGTACCGCCTGTTCCGCGAGCCGCACGTGTTCGACGTGGTGGTCGCGCCCAACCTGTACGGCGACATCATCTCCGACGGCGCCGCTGCCCTTGTCGGCTCGCTCGGTGTCGTTGCCTCGGTCAACGCCGGCGACACGTTCTTCATGGGCGAGCCGGTGCACGGCTCGGCGCCCGACATTGCCGGCCAGAACAAGGCCAACCCGATTGCCTCGATCCGCTCTGCCGCGCTGCTGCTCGAGTACATGGTGAGTGAGCAGAAAGCAGGTCAGGTGCGGTGGGTTCTGATGCCTCTGTCCGCAGGGCTACCCCGAGCCGGCGCTCAAGATCTACAAGGCCGTCGACGACGTGCTGCGCGAGGGCAAGTACCTCACGCCCGACCTGCACGGCAGCGCCACGACGACGCAGTGCGAGGAGGCCATCCTCAAGGCGCTCGGCGCGTAAAAAGTAGACTCGTCTGCAATGCGACAGATGCTACTGTGGCAGATGCGTGCCATTGTCATGTCCGCCGCAGGCCGTACTGCGCCAGCACGTCGGCCTCCTCGGCGGCGCTGGCGGCTGCTGCGGCGGGGCTGCGGAAGAGGAGATCACTGCCGCCGGCGCTCTTGGGAAAGGCGATGACGTCGCGGATGGACCAGGCGTCGCAGATGATGGCCATGAAGCGATCCATGCCTATGCTGGGTGAGCAGATGGCAAGCATTTGCGGAGCGTGGGGACGTACCGATGGCAAGGCCTGCGTGCGGTGGTGCGCCGCAGCGCAGCGCGTGCAGCAGGTGGCCGAAGCGTCCGACCTCCTCGTCAGTGAGCTGGAGAAAGGGGGATCAGCCGATGTCGCGGCAGTCTCTGCTTGCTCGGCCTCACCCGCAGGACGTTGCGCATGACATGCTCCTGCATGTCCGCGCCGTGTATCCGCACGCTGCCGCCGCCCACCTCCTGGCCATTGAGGACGAGATCGTAGTGCTGTCCTCGGATCTGCGCGAGCTGCTCATCGCTAGCCGGCGCATCGCGCGAGCCCAGCAGCTCCACATCCTCAGCCATCGGCGCAGTGAACGGATGATGCGTGCTGGACCAGCGGCCGCGCGCCAGGTGCGCCTTGTCGTCGTCGGCGCGCGTGAAGAGCGGAAACTCGGTGATCCACACGAAGTGCGGCCGAGGTGAGCGAGCAAAGCCGCCTTCTCGGTGTTCCAGCTCCTGCGCTAGACGCAAGCGCAGGTCGCCGAGCAATGTGCTCCCGCCGTCGGCGCGTGCTGGTCGGCGCGCCACGAACAGGAACGCAGGGGACGCCTCTTTGGCTGGTGCGCGAGGGGCCTCCTCAGTCGCCATATGGGGCGGGATCTCTCGCGTTGCGATAATCGCGGGAGCGGGGCTCTGCTGCTCAAGTAGAGCCGCCATAGTTGCCGAGGTCTCCTCAGCGGAGAGGCGGCCGGCATCGGCGGCTGCGCTGAGAGCCTTGGCCAGCTGCTCGCGCGGCACCTCGTCCGCTGCGATGTGCTGCTCGGCGAGGTACTCGCGCACATGTCTGCTCTTTGTGAGCAGCAGCGCGGAGAGATCCGACGTTGCCTTGAAGACTTCGACCTGCGCAGCGCGTCAACACAGCGTGTGGAGCGATGTAGTGTGTGACTCACCTCGGCCGCGCGCTCCTTGTCGCCCAGCAGCTGCTGTATCGCCTTCTTGTTGAGCTGCCCGTCCGGGCCCGGCGTGTAGTGTAGCACCTCAACGATGCTGCTCGGCGGAGCGCTGCTGCTGGCCGCGCTCGCAGGATACAGCACGTGCGAGATTGGGCAAATCTGCGCCGAGGCGTGAGCGTGGCAGAGGCGACGTCGAGCGTGCAGCTCACCTCGAGGCCGAAGCGCAGGTCTGGCTTGTCCGAGCCGAACTGCGGGCGACGTCAGGCAGAGCGCAAGGCATGCGTCCCCCGCTGTACTCACGCGCGCCATGGCTTCCTGATACGGCATGACGTCGAAGCGCTCCGGCAGCTCCTCGCCGCGGCCCTCGGTCCACATGCGACGCACTACGCCCTCGACGACGTTGCGCACCTCTTCGCCTCCCATGCGCCACTTGTCTGTGACTGTTCGCGGCGCGCCCTGCACGAAGGCCATCTCAATGTCCAGCTGCGTGAACTCAGGCTGGCGGTCCTTGCGGCCGTCTTCGTCACGGAAGCAGCGCGCCAGCTGAAAGTAGCGCTGTGTAGCGCCCGAGGCGATCAGGAGCTGCTTGGGCTGCTGTGGACTCTGCTGCAGCGCGTAGAACGCCGGTGCCTCGTCGGCGCCCACGCGCGTCGGCACGAGGAACTCGCGGGCGCCCTCGGGCGTCGAGCGCAGCAGGACGGGAGTATCCACTTCGGCGAACCCAGCGTCGTGCAAGAAGCAGCGTGCGGCGTGCGTCACGCGGCTGCGCAGCTGCAGGTTGTTTGTGAGCTTTGGCCGGCGCAGGTCGAGGAAGCGGTGCGGCAGCCGCAGCTCCTCGCGTGCTGGCTGGCAAGAGGCGTGAGTAAGGGGCCTTGCATTTGTACGGCAGTCAGCCTGACTCACCAAGCCGCGCTCGAACCCGTAGGACGGTTCGAATGGCAGCTCGCTGGCGGCGTTGAGCAGCGTGTACGACTCGACCTCGACGTCGACTGCGCCGGTGGCCATGTGCTGTGCGTGGGTCAGCGACGGCAGTACTGCCCGGCCCAAGCGCAGAATCATTGCAAGAGCGCTCGCTCCTACCCTTCAACGCCTCGCCTCTGCCTTGATCCTGCCCCTCATCGTCTCGCCCCTGCTCTGCCAGTCCTGACCCCTTCAGCGCTGCGACTCACCTCATTCTCGCGCCCCTCTCCGCGGGCCCGCACCACACCCTCTACGCACAGCACGCTCTGCGCCCTCTCATTCATCAAGTCCTTCTCCTCGATGTTGCCTCTGAGCACGAGCTGCGTGTCTCCGTCTGCATCGCGCAGCACGCGGAACGCCAGGTCCTCGCGCGCCCGCCTCTTTGCCGGCAGCAGCCAGCCGGCGAGCACGACGCGCTGCCCTTCATGCGAGGCACGCAGGGCGCCGCACGAGTGCGTCGGCGCCGCGAAGGTCGAGACGCAGCGCCGTGCGGCTGCAGCGCGCAATGGCGCGAGACGCAGCAGGCGCAGCGGCATTGCTTGAGGGTGTGGAGGTGGGAGGCAAGCGGCGAGAGGGCAGGCCAGCTTGAGGAAGTGTGCAGCGCGGAACTCGGGCAGCGCGAGCCTTTGGCGCTCGCCCGAGTGCCGGCAGCGACATCTTCCCGCTCTGGCGAGCATCGAGCCACCGTCTTCTCTTCATCCATCGAGAGCAAGCAGACGATCACGCAGAGCAGCACGGCGAAGGCAGTAGCATTTCAGGACGTAGCACAGAGCAAGCGAGCCGCGGACGGCTGCCGCTCAGGTGCAGTGTTCCGACGGCGGGACCATCCGAGGACTGGGTCGGGGCCGAGACGGGACGAGACGGGGCACAGGGACGGGATTCGCAGTCGAGGCGGCGCGGTACGTCTGGAGAGACGTGCCAGGCCGGAAAGCGACGGGCCGAGTCGGAACGAGGCGGGTCGAGACGGGAAGAGGGTCGGGAAGGGAAATGTCGGGTGCGGCGATGCGCTGGCCGGACGGCGTCGCGCTGCGGTCGAGAGCCAGCTCGAGACCTCGCTCATCGAGCCTGTCGCGCAGCTCTCAGAACGAGAAGCTCGCGGCGACGGGCGCATTGTCGCTGCTGCCGCCGACGCCGAAGTGGTAGTCGCCGGAGAGGAGCATCCAATTCTGGTTATCGGTGCTCCAGACGCTGAGGTCCTTGCGGCGCAGCGGGAACGTGACCGTCTGCGTCTCGCCGGGCTGCAGCAGGACCTTCTCGAAGCCGCGCACTTCTCGTTGGTCTTCTGGATCGACGTGGTGTCGGGCGCGTAGGAATCGGCCACAGTGACGCCGCTGATCTCGAAAGTCGTGTCTTGCGGAGCGTCAGCTCGGCGCATGTGTGTGGCCCTGGAGAGGCGGGACTCACAAGACAGACCGTGGCCGAAGGCGTAGCGAGGAGTTGCGTTCTTGTACTCGAACCAGTGCCAGTCGCCGCCGAGCGTTCTAAGGGAGGAAGCAAGGTGAGCATTGCGCTGCCTGTGCGCTACGGCTCACTCACCCCTCGTCGAAGTTGGCGACCGGAGCGATGTCAGGCACGCGCGCGATCGAGTTGGGCAGGTACTGGTCGAGGCTGCGACCCCAAGTGAACGGAAGCTTGCCGCTCGGTGATTTGTCGCCGAAGAGAATGGCTGGGAGGGCGCCAGCGCCTTCTTGGCCGGGAAAACCCGCATAGAGGACGGCCGTGACGTTCTCGTGCTTGATCCAGTCCTCAACGAGAACGACGCCGCCCGAGTTGATCACCACGATCGTGTTGTTGCACTCACTCGCAGCCGCCTTGACAAGTCGGTCGCCTCCACCGAAGAGCGTGATGTTCGGCCTGTCATTGCCCTCCGTAGACCAGGCGTTGACGAAGACGAGGGCCGCTTCCGAAGCACGCGCCTGCATGCGGAAGTTGCTGAGGTTCATGTAGCCGTCCGAAGCGTCCAAGTTGATGTCGAAGGCTCCACGGCGAGCTTCGTGCTGCATCACGGCTGCACCGGAGAGGATGTAGCTGGGAATGCCCCACCCGGAGCCTCCTCCCATGGTGAGCGTGCCATTCTTCGAGTACTCCGAGCACGAGCCGCCGCCTTGGCCGCAAGACTAGACGACAAGGAGGTCAGTCGAGCTCTGGAATGCCAGAGTGAAAACACTCACGGTCCATCCAGTGGGCTTGTCGAACGCGCCTTCGCCGAGCAGGGCGAGGCTTCGAAGGACATGACGCGGCTTGAGCGGCAGACCGAGGCCGGCGGAGCGGTTGTTGTGTAGGAGCACCACCGCCTCTTCGCCGATCTCACGGATGAGGTCGGCCGTTTCGGGCTTGCGCACGCTCGGGTAAAGCGATCGAGTGGTGTCGCGCACGTCGAAAGAGACTTCGGGCCACTGCTGGTCCCCTTGGAGCTCGAGGATGGGGGCGAGAGTGCGAATCGCCGCGTCATGGATGCGCCACTCGGGGACTCTGCCCGCTTTGATGTCGGCGAGGAGGCTAGCCCCCCCGAAGTTCCCGAACAGGCCACCATACGAGTTGCCCGGCATGGAAATGTCCATGCCTCCGTTGTACGCGTCGTTCGAGTGAGTTCCGCCCTGCCAAGTTGCTGTCAGCAGGGGCCATGCGGGCTTGACGAAACGCTCTCCCTTTCTCCCTTCGCCGCACTAACCCAGTCGCTCATCACCGAGCCGTGGAAGTTGAGCATGTCTGGGAGCGCTGGTGTGAGCTATGTTCCCTTGCAATCAGACGCCGGACCGACCCTTCAAGATGTAGTTCTGACTCAAAGCATCGGCAGACGCCTGCGTCCCGTTGAGACGGTTGTAGCTGGACATGATGAAAGCCGTGCCAGCGCGAACAGCCTCGGCGAAGGAGAGTGCGTAGAGTTCGTGCGTGGTGCGGTCGTCGAGACGCGAATCCACACTCTGCCCGATCGGCGCCTTCGTGAAGTCGTTATCCTCACTCCTATTAAAGGGGCGACGACGAGTCTCCTGCCTGCGCGAGAGAGGGAATCAGTTCTGGTGTGCGAGGGAGAAAGGGAAGAGTCGGGCAGGAAGAATACACACTCGTTACCTAGCCAATGCTTGGCTGTGCAGGCCAGACCATTGGCCTGCATGTCGCGCACAGTGATGAAGCTTGCGATGCTCGAGAGGTAGGAGTCGGCAGACCAGTTTTCCCAGTCCCTTCCCTGCGTGTCAGCAAGATGAGCTGGACGGGCTGAGCGAGCGGTACATACCTGCCTCCGAGTGGTGAACGGCCGAGCGGAGAGCCCGTGACGGGGCTCAAGGCAATGTTGACGCCACGATCCTTGAACTCCTGAGCCATGGCCTTGGCACGGGCGCTGATGAGACGGCGAGACCATGTAGCACCGGCTGTGATGGCGGCCGGGAACTGGCTCACGCCACGACTGGGGCGAACCGAGCTTGGGCCGTCTGCCATGCACAAAGGCTTTACGCCGAGGCGTGGAACTTCACCAGTGTACTTGACGGGAGGTTTGGGTGTCAGTCAAGAAGCGGGTAGTGAAGAATGGGTAATGAGCAGAGGGGATGGACACGCACGCCAACACAAAAGCCCGTGTATCCAGATGTGACGTTCACTTTCTCCTCGATGGTCATCTGCTCGCTGCATGGGTCGAGCTTCAGTTGATGTCAGGCCTATGCTGGCGGTCGGTCACAACTTACACCAGCTCGCGGGCCTTGGCGAAGCCGCGTGTCCATACGCCACCGGTGGAGTTGGGTGCAAGGATATCACCACCGAGGTGGCCACCACGCTCGAGGAGCAGCGCAGAAGGCTCATCGAGCGGCGCAGAGAGCGCACCCAGCGTCGCCGCTAGAGCGAGGAAGGGGAGGAAGAGGCGCATCGCGAAATGCGCTGGAGATGAGAGATGTAGATGATCGGATGGGTAAGGGACGGTGGAAGGGAGAGAGGGAAGGAAGAGGATGGGGTAGAAGAGCTTGAAGCTGAGCGATGCCCTGCTTATGTAGCCAACAGGACCATGGCTAGCTCTTCTTGGGGGAGCGCCCGCGCGTCCGTCTGGGGGGCGCTGCCGGCGCTGCGAGCATCCTCGTTGCTCGAAGGCCGAGGCGGCACTGCGCCAGTCGATGCAGCCGAGCTGTGTGAGCTGCGGCACTGCACCACTGTGCCGAGTGCCAGCTCAGGGCGGCGGGAAGAAAGGCGAGCGCAGCCGTGGCTCGGATGCGCTGGCCCGAGCGCGGCCGCTGCACTCTTCCTGCGCGCGGCACGCGCCCAGGGGGCCCCTTGAGGCTCGGCGAGCGGACATGCCCCTCTCTTGCGCGACGCTTCGGCATGCTTCTCTGAGGCAAACTGCGGCACTGCACACAGAGGAATGCTGCCTAGAGGTGCTGCATCATGCCATTCTGCCGCCTCGGGGCCCCGCCGCCACAGGGGCACGGTCGTTGTCCGTGTGGGGCCGCGGGCCTTGTCCGCGTCGTCGAGGCACCAACTTTCGGCACAACCGCGTCATACAAGTGGTAATTTGGTCCAAATCAGTGCCCTGGGGACCGCTTTGGGGTGCGTGGCGCCTCTCTGCTGCTGAAGGATAGTCCGCTGACTTGCTGCGGCATCTTGCAGTGCAAGCAAGTCATTGGCAGCTGGCAAAGACAGGCATCTGTGCTTGCATGTGTCCAGTCCCCTCCTTTTTGACTGCTTTGTTGCTTTGTGTCCCCTTCTTTTGCTGACTTGTTCAGCGGTGTCTAGCTGCAGCTGTCCAGATCCTACACGGCCGCATTTAGATCTGAGGACCTCCTGAGGACTCGGCAATCTTGAACCTCTGTCGTAGAGTTCCGCCCGTGGCTTGAGTGTGCACTTTGAGCGGAGCGGAGCCGACGTGCAAGGCCCTTGAGTGCCTCTTCGGCTAACGAGTAGAGGGGCAGTCGCTGGGTGCTGCATGCGCAGGAGGCAGCGACGCTGCGTTTGGGACCGGACGAAGAGCGAACACCGTAGAGACGCGAAGCCATCCCTCCCGTGCACAGCTCTGAAGCTCGTCTGAGAGCTGTGGTGCTGTGGAACCAGATCTCTTGAGGTGGAGCCTTCGCAGACGCAGGGATGTGGAAGTCGAGACTGAACGTGCTGCGCTGCGCTTGAGAACTTATTGGTGCTGCAGCTAGCACTTGGTAGCCGAGGCAATCAGGATGCAGGGGGTGCCAGCGGTGACCGACGGGCACCCATGCCCAAGGGGCCTCCCTCCCACCACCGCATAGCTCTGGTGCTGCAGCATGCCCGAGCAAAGGCCGAAACGCTCTGTGTCAGCCCCACACGCGGATCAGCCACAGCCCCTCTTGACTCAGCACACCTCCTCCTTTCGCCCTGCCGAGGAGCGCTTGGCGAGCACGATCGGTGCTTCTTCGGTCTTGAGCCTGCTCATGACACTGCGCTCCGGCACCGGTGCTGCATCTGCTGCGCGACGTGCGGGCTTCGCTCGCTCGTGCCTACCTCGAGCGATCGCCAGTGACGTACGAGGCGCCCACACCGACCTCCTGAGCCTTGCGCTGAGCGGTGAGCTGCGAGCAAAGTGTGCTTGATTGAGCCAGGCGCAGGCGCACAGGATGTAGACGTCTTGCTGGCCGGACCACCTCTCGCGCGACAGAGAGCGCCGGAAGTCAAGGACTCTGCCGTGCCCTGCCCGACGGATGTCTCGGCTTGGAACTGCGCCCTCTCCTTTGAGCCAGAGCTTCGCTCGTCGCAAGTCGAGTCCTGACGCCGGTGCCGCCTCGTCGCGCGCACGTTCGCCATTCATCGAGGGCGAACAGACCTCTCTGTGCTCGAGCACGCGAAGGCGCGCGCCAGGCGAGGCATAGAGAGAGAGGGAGAGATGCAGCATTGCATACACGGACGAAGAGAGATAGATAGGAAGGGTCGAAGGTGACGCCGAGAGTACAAGAGGGGGCAACAGGGCAAGAGAAGGGCCCGACGAGCCGGCCCACAGGTGTCGCGAGGAGACTGAAGAGAGCAGAAGAGCGCCGGACCGACCCGCGGCGCTCAGCGAGGCCCATAGCCCGAGCTGCGCACGCCTCCTGTGCCAGTGCCCGTCGTGCCGGTGCCAGACGCAGCCGTGCGAGTGCCCGTGCCTCGCGTGGGAGCGCCTGCGCTCGCGCCACGAGCACGCGCGATACCGCTGGGCCGGGAGATAGCCGGAGCCGGAGCCGGCGCCGCTGAGTCCAGTGTCAATCGCTGCCGCTCGCATCACAGCGGACCACTCACCTCCTCTCCCGCGTCCCGCAGTCGCAGCGCCTCTCGGCACCGTCCGTCCTCTGGCCGCAGGCACGCCTCTGCCCCTCCCCCGCGTCGCAGTAGCGCTAGCCGCCGAGCGCGTCGCCGCTTCCGCGCGTGCTCTCGCAATCGCCGCTTCGCGCGCTGCGCTTTCGGCTTCGGCAGCTGCGCGCAGACGCGCAGTCTCGCGTGCGGCCAGCTCGAGGGAGAGGGCGTGCGCTGCTGCGTCCTGCGAAGCGAACGAGATCAGCGAGGGAAGGAACAGATGAGTGGCGCGTGCGACGTACCTCGGTAGCGCCGTGCCAGTCTGCATCGAGAAGCAGCCGCTGTGTACGGTCGGCTTGGCGCAGCAGATCGATGTACATGTCGAGCAGCGCGTCGGTCTGGGCGATGCGCGTCGAGAACGTCTGAGGGGAGGGAAGAGAGGGGGGGGGGTGTCTGAGCTGCTGCGATAACGGTGTGGAGGCACGCAGCCCCTGCCGTGCTTCGCCCTGCTTCGTCTTGCCCCGCCTGCCGCCGTGGTCGTGCACTCACCTCGACCTGCTCCCGGCTCTCGAGCAGCATCCTCTCGTACGCCTCAAACGTCTCGTTCATCCTCCTCAGCTCCGCCAGCTGAGCCGCCCTCGCCTCTGCGCTCTCGGCGCGCGATGAGGGCGTGGGCTCTTCCGCCGTGGACGCGCTCATTGCCGGCGGCGGCGCAGAGGCAGCGTGCAGGTACGAGTCATCTGCGTCGTCGTGCGCTTCCGGCGCGAAGGACTCGTCTGCGGCCGCGGCGCTCGAGTCGGCGGCGTAGAGCGATGCCTTCTGGAAGAGCGAGTAGCGGGCGCGCGGCCGGGCGCCGGCGCCGGCGACGGGCGGGGCACTGCGGCGCGACGCCTCCTCTTCGAGCGCGCTCGAGTCGGCGATGCCCTCGAGCAGGCGCATCTTGGCCTTGCTGGCTGCTGCAGTAGGCGGGCCCAGGGGACCCCACGAGGGACGGGGCGCACGACGCGGCACGGCCGTGGGTGCCTTTGTGGTGCGCGCCACGGGCGCAGCCGGCGACGAAGGCTCGGCGACGCGCAGGGCGGCAAAGTCGACGAGCCCCGAGTCGTCGCCGACGTCGGCCTCGGCCAGGCCGCGCAGCGAGAAGCGCGCATCGAGCGTGGGGCTCTCCATGGCGGCGGCGGCGGCGCGGCGAGAGGCACTGCTACTGCTGCTGCTGCTGCTGCCCTTGGGAGGCGTGCGTGGCGGCATGAGGTATGAGGTGATGGTGGAGCGGAAGCAAGGGCCGGCATGTGCACGGCGCGCGTGTGTTGCTCTCGGTGACGCGACGCGCCTGCTCCCACGCCTCAATGGGGCATGCGCGCGGGCAGGGGGCCGCTCCTGCTGCGTGCTCCTCCTCGACATGAACCGCGTGCTCGACTTGCTGCTTCGCATTATCATCCCCGCTGGGGGGATGTGCTGACAACGCTTGTAATGCGCTGTTACATGTGTGTGGTGTGTGGTGGCGGGGGGCAGAGGCAAAGGAGCGTGTGAAGTGAGATTGGGGGTGGAGTGAAGCAGGGTGCGACGTGCGCGGACGGCGAGCTGAGGCAGGGCGGTGCGTGGCAGTGGACAGAGCGTAGGTGCCAGCGGCTGGGCGTGGGAGAGAGGAGAAGGGGGCCGGGGGCAGGCGTCAGTCAAGTGCAGCGCATGCGCAGTTGCGGCCGTGCTCACAACAGGCGCCACCCGAGCAGCGACGACGACGGCGGCGACGACGACGGCGGCGACGACGGCCTCCAGGCGCTGGAGCGAGGAGGCTGAGGTGCAGGCGTCAGTTCAGTGCAGCTCGGGCGGGCGCTGTGTTGCCTCTGCTCACCCCGCACGACACGGCCAAGGCGGAGCGCCGCAGGGGAGCGGGAGAGGGTGGTGGCGGGAGGCAGGGGGCAGCGCCGGGGGCGCAGCCTTTATACGGTGCGCAGCATGCTGCTTCGGGAACACAGCTCGGGCAGAGGCAACGCCATGCGCTCGCCGCACGGAGAAGCGCTGCTCGCCGCAGCTCGACACGCATGCCAGGATGCGGCACAGGCCGTCCGCTGAGCGGCGGCGTCAGCACCTCGAGTGCCCTTCCGCCTGTGCCCAAGACGCAGCGCAGCCTCGATCTCGCCTAGGGCTCGCTCTTCCCTCCTGACGTTCATCCTCTCTCTCGCTTCTCTCTCTAAGCCTGTCCTGTCACGCTCTCCTTCTCGATCGACGGCACGCAAAGCCCTCGTGCCCTGCGCTGCGCCCTCGCTGCCAGTGCTCCTTGCGCCGCGTGCTTGCCGTCGCCTGGCGCGCCGCAGCTGTCTTCAGCCGCTTAAAGCACCGCCAGGCTAGACTCAACTCTGTCCTTCTTCTTCACCCGACCTCTCACCGCGCCCCGCGCCTTTCGCTCTGCGCATCGGCTCGACGCAAGTCCGGCGGCGTCGCAGCCTCCAGCTCGGCTCGTCCGCCCACTCGCTGCGCCCTGCCGCGCCGCAGCGCTGCCAGTCGCTCTCTGCGCTGCACCGCCAGCGCACTCTCTCTCGTCTCTCTCCCTTTCTCTTCCTCTCCCGCCTCGTCGTCGGGCTCCTGCCATCGACGCTGATGCCGAAGCGGCGATGGGTGTTGGAGGAGCTCTCCTACGACTCGGGCCCAGCTGCTGCGCGGCCGATAGATGCGCAGGGCGCATCCCCGCTGTCGAGCGCTAGCTCGTGCGCTGCCGACGGCGAGACGGTTGGAAGCGCGAGCGCTGCGGCTGAGACGAAAGCTCGCGACCAGAAAAGCGCAGCACAGGAGAGCACGGCGGTGAGCGCAGCATCGCCTCACGTGAGCGCCAGCCGCGAAGCTGACTGCGACTGCTCCTTTCAGTCCGCCAGCTCTGCACCCGTGTCCGCGCCCAGGGCACCTCGCCACGTCATCACCGTGGAACAGCTGGTGCAGGTGCACGAAGCCAACGGACGGAAGGTGAGAGAACGCCACTTCACACGAGACTGTTTGAGCGGACATGCCGAACTTTACGAGGAGCCTTTCACTGGAGGCTTCGGCCGTTCAAGCGCCGTCCGGATCATTCTAATGCGATACAGAGACGGACGTGCGGTGAGTGTGGTCCGCGGCGCCAAGGCTTCAGGTCTAACCGTCCAAGAATGCTCAGAGTCACTGGCTGCGCGGTGCCGGAGAATTGTCCATGCAGGAGAATGATCTGCACGAGAACACTTGGCTGAACGTGCCCGCCTTGCACTCGCTGGACAACGTGGTCATCCTCGACGATCACTGGGCGAGGGCGGCGAAGGAGCACCGTTGCCTCTTCTTCATGCCGCTTCATCTTCCGGTGTGGATCGAACGGCTGGAGCGTGCGCTCGCGGCGGAAGAGAGTAGCGGCAAGACAGGCGACTGGTACTGGCTGCCTCGCGAAGCACTGGCCCTCAACGGAACGCGGAGCGCCTGGGCGACCCGTGGATCGGCCCTGTCGCTCTACGAGTATCAACCGGTCGTCGTGCCTCATCTTCACGACAGCAACAAGTATAGATGCTACGGGCTCGAGACCATCCGCGAAGCATGCCAGCAGCTAAGGACAGTTTTCGACGAGAACGCTCCCACGCGGGGTGTCCACAAGCTGAGCGGCGGTGGCGTGCCCCTGCAGTACGAGCCGCCACTACCGGTCATGCATCTCGCCCTTTCGCCCATCGAGACCGCCGCAGTCCTCGCCGAGCGGCTCGACGAGTGGAGGCGTCAGAAAAGACTTCTTGAGGACTGGGCGCGTGACGTCGAAGAGGCGAAGGAGTGGGGCCATGATGCGCCGCCGGAGCCTCGCGTGGACGCCGAGACGCTCGAGTGGCGCGAGCACGCACTATACTTTCTCTCGCTCGCGGGCACACAGTCCACGACGGCGTGGCGCGAGCTGGAGCGTCCTGCCGGTCTGCGTTCGCCGCCGCCTCTGCCCGCCGGCGACGTGGTCATCACTGCGCGTCGCCGCATCTACACGCCGCCGCATCTCCACGCTCGCTCGGACTCGCAAGACTCGCAGGCGACCGTCACCGACGAGCTCACGGCTGTCCTGGCCGGTGCCAGTGCCACCACGAGCACGGCCTCCTCGTCGCGTGACACCACAGGTCTCTCGTTTCAGAACCTCTCGCTCGCCGCGCTCACGGCCGAAGAGCGTTTCGAGCTTGGCTCAGCTGCCCGTCGCGCGGGGCAGCAGAACGACGGAGCGTGATCGGCCGGTCTGACCAAGTTCAAGTCCCGCCATCTTCTCGACCTCTCTCCTCGACCTCGAGACTCGCGACTCTTTCGGCCTCTCCTCCCTCTGCAGTCCTGCCCTCGTCTTAGCTTCTCACTCCCTCGACATCGCTTCTCGCTGGCAGTCGTCTCGTTCTCAAAGAGCCTCTTCCCGCCTCGCTTTCCCGGCCCGTCACGACTGTGCGCCTCGCGTAGGAGCCATCCTCGGCCGGAGCTTTCAGCTGGATCCTTCCGCCGAAGACCTCGCTCAAGTCTCGCTCGCCGACCTTGTACCACTGCCTTCTCTACATCCGCGTCTCCTCGGCATCTAATTCGCCCTCAAGGTCCTCTCGTCCGCATCTCGACACCTCGCCTTCATCCCAACTACAGATCACCCGCAGGATCGAGACGCGGCTCCTCCTCTCGTAGGTGCTCTCGTCTGCGCTGGCCCAATGCAAAGCTCACGCTACAGTCCAATCAGTGCGGCCAGCAAGCCTTGCGTTGCTCCTCTCCGGCCTCACCATCCCACCACGCCGCCCTCGAGTGGTTCTGTGCTGGCATTCTCCCGCACGTCAAGCCGTTCCCGCTCGAGGCGCGCGGAGCGGCCAAGCTCCTCGACACTTCTTCGTTCATCAGCCCCACATCTTCCGCACTCCCGGCTCTTCGTTCCGTATCTGCCTCCCGAATTCTACTCCCGTCTCAAGTGCGCTCTCTCGCCATTTCCTTGCCCACAGCCGGTCGGTGGGTGACGAGTCAGGCCGCGGCTGCAGGCCGGCTGTGGCAACGCGACGCGTCTCGACGCGCGATCAGCCACCGCCGTCCGGCGGGCTGAGAGAGAGGCTGCGCCGCTGCGCCCGCGTGCTCTCCTGCGAGGCTGCAGGACGCAGGCGGCAGCATCCAGAGAGCGTGCAGCGGCGACAGCGCCGCGTGCAGCCGGCGGCGCGGAGAAGAAGTGCCTCGGCGTCGGCGTCGGCCAACGAGCGGCAGCAGCAGCGGCGGGATGCCCGAGGCGGCCGCATGGCCGAGAGGCACACCGGCTACGGCGCCCGGTTCGCCCGCACGCCGCCGCCGCCGCGCGCCACGCCGAACTTTTTTCAGGCGCGAGAAGAAGGGCTCGAGGGCGATAAGGGCTCCGCGAGCGCCCGGGCAGAGAGCGGCATGGCGGATGGCGGATGGCAAGCCTCTCTGCCGCGCTGTGCCTGAGCCGCTCCAATTTGAAGCGGAAGAGAGGGCGCGAGCGGGGGCACATCGGGAGTGCCGGCGGCGTAGCGAGATGAAGGTCGCGTGGCCTCCTCGCTGATAGCGCCTCGGCCAGGAGCAGCAAGCCTCTCGCCTCTCCCTGCTCTCTCACCACCACCTCCTCCCTTCAACACCTCACCCCAACATCATGCCGTCGCTGCTGCAGCGCTGGCCCGCCACGCGCGATGCGCTCAACGACCGCGTGGCGCGCTCGGCCGTCGGCCACTGGTTCCGCCTCGAGGGCTGCGGGCACCCGCTGGAGCGGCCCGGCTCGCGCTTCACCACCGAGATCCGCGCTGGGCTCGTCACGTTCGCCGTGCGTACCGCATGCACGCACACGCATGGCACGTCCGGCTGACCTGGTCTTGGCTCGCAGAGCGTCGTGTACATCGTCGCGCTGAACCCCAGCATCGTCTCCTCGACGGGCGGGCCCTGCGTTGCCGCCCCGGGCGTCAATCGCGCCACGGACGAGGCGTACCAGATCTGCGTGCAGGAGGTGCGGCAGGAGTACATCGTGAGTGAGCAAGCAGCAGGTCAGGTGTAGAGGTGGCTGATGGCGCTGCGGCGCAGATCGTCACTGCGGCCCTCTCGACGCTGGCCACGGGCCTCATCGGCATCTTCGCCAACATGCCGCTGGCGCTCAGCACGGGCCTGGGCGTAAACAGCTACTTTGCGAGCATTGTGGGCCAGTATGGTGTCGGAGGAAGCGTGACGTACGGACAGGCTTGCGGTGCCGTCTTTGTCGAGGTGAGTGCAGCGTGGAGCCAGTGCTGCCAATGGGATCGGCCAAAGCGGGCTCGCGCCATCATCAGTCACTAACACCCTCTCCAGGGCCTGCTCTTCTTCTTCCTCAGCCTGATTGGCCTCCGTCAATGGCTCGCCCGACTCATGCCCCGCTCGCTGACGATTAGCGTCAGCGTGGCCATCGGTCTGTTCCTGGCGCTCATCGGCCTCGGTCCCGCTGGTCTGGGCGTCGTGGGCGGCGACTACATTGATCTCGTGGGGCTCGGCGGCTGCCTGCCCGAGTTTCAGGATGCAAACGGCTACTGCGAGAGCCACGTGCTGCGCTCTCCGAAGATGTGGGTCGGCATCTTTGTCGGCGGCATCTTTACCGCGCTGCTCTCCATCTACCGTGTTCGGTGAGTGGGCACTCCCTCCTGCGCTTGCACTGCCGCACCTTGCTAATTCCAGCTTTGCAGCGGCGCATTCCTCTGGCCCATTCTCCTCGTCGCCATCATCTCCTGGCCGCGCAGCACGCCCGTCACGCTCTTCCCGCACACGGCGACGGGCGATGCGGCGTTCGACTTCTTCAAGCAGGTGGCGCGTTGGACGCCGCTCGACAAGCTGGGCCCGCAGAACATCGACTGGAGCGGCTTTGGCAACGGCCAGGTGTGGATCGCGCTCATCACGTTCCTCTACGTCGACGCGCTGGACACGACAGGCACGATGACGGCCATGTCTCGTGCTGCTGGCCTGTACAATGAGGTGGCCGGTGAGTCGCGTCGCGCCGGCTGCAGTATCGCATCGCTGACGCTCCGTGTAAAGGCGACTTTGAGGGCAGCACGCCTGCGTTCCTGGCCGACTCGGGCTGCATCAGCATCGGTGCGCTGATGGGCTCTTCGCCGTGCACTGCCTTTGTCGAGTCGGCCGCTGGCATTGCCGAGGGAGGTCGTACGGGCATCACCGCGTGCACCACTGCCTTCTGCTTCTTGTGAGTCCTCCCCCTCCCCCGCACACAGCCTGCGCACGCGCACTGACGCCACCGTCTCGCGGCCAGCTTGACGCTCTTCTTTGCGCCGATCTTCAGCTCCATCCCCAGCTGGGCGACGGGCTCGACCCTCGTCATTGTCGGCTCGCTCATGGCCGCCAACGCACGCACTATCAACTGGGACTATGCCGGCGATGCCATTCCTGCCTTCGTGACGATCGTGCTCGTGCCGTTCACCTACAACATCGCCTACGGCATCATCGGCGGCGCATGCACCTTCATCATCCTGCACAACGTGCCCAAGATGCTCGGACGCATCCACCCGTCGCTCCTGCCGCCGGGCCACGACACGATCAAGGAGCCCTACTCGCTCGGCATGACGCTGTCGAGCGGCGGCAATGGCCTCTCGGGCTGGCGCGCCTTTGTGCCGCCGTGGCTGCGCAAGGCACTTTCGGGCGAGCGCCACTTCTGGAAGCAGACGGACGAGGAGATTCGCTCGACGCTTGAGGGGCGGCGCATCACCGATGCGCGCACCCAGGCGCGCGCCAGCCAGGCGGCGCGCGAGCGCGAGGAGATGCGCGCGACGATGACGCAGGGCCCGCAGGAGGGCGGCGCGTTCAAGGACCACGACCTCGAGGCGGGCCTGCGCAACGTCCGGAGCCGCAACGCGCCGCAGCAGCAGTCGCAGGCGCAGCACGACGAGATTGAGAAGCTGCGCGACGAGGAGGAGCCGGCATCGCCGGATGCGTCGAGCAAGGGCGAGTAGCGGGAGAGGTTCCGGAGGCAGGCAGCAGGCGAGTCGGGCGCGGAGAGAGGGCGTGCTGCGAGGAGGAGGCAGCGGCTGTTGGCAAATGGTCGGACGAGAACACTAGTCACCCTGAATAGATTCCTTATCACCACTTTGGCCTGACCCATCGCCGCCATTGAGGAGGGATGATGTGCGAGCAGAGTCGTGCTTAGAAGCGTCGAGTGTGCTCGCTGCGAAAGCGGCCAGAGGGCAAGGTGAGCGTGACAGGCACGCGTAGGCGTGAGAACGTTCGGCCCCGATGCCGTTGGCGGTGCTTCATGCAGATGCAGGCACCGCCCCAGGAGCGCACTCGACTCCTTGCTCCTGTCGTCGGCGTCTCCGCTTCTCATTGCGCTGTGCATATGGTGGCTATTCTGGGGAGCGGCTTCTTGCTGTGACAGAGACGAAGCAGAGTGCTTCGCGCGTGCTCCCCGCACCCCCCGCTCCGCCTACGTCACGACCACCACCGCCCTGCCCTGTTACCTCATGCTTCCAAGCATGCACCTCCTCACGCTGCTCGCGCAGCTCTCTCTGCTCCTCCTCAGCGCCGCTCTCGCTACCAAGGGCCTAGCGATGCCGCACCACGCAGTGAGCCCGCCCCCTCACCCGCCCTCAATGCCGCTCTAGGGCCCTTCCTGTCGAGCCCCAGGCTTACGTCTCTCTCGTTGCCAGCCGCAGCTCATTCAGCGTCGCCTCGAGCTGCGCTGTCCCCACTCCACGCCCTGGTACACCGCGCTGGAAGATGGCGGCTCACGTACGTCCCCCCCCCCCCTTTTCTTAGGCTTCCCTGCTGACCCCTTCTCAGGACTAGGCGAATGCGACTCCTCCTGCCTGCCCCTCTCCTCTCTCTCCGGCTCCTTCAGCTGCGCAGAGTCAGACGCCTTGCCTCTGGAATACTTGCATGCGCCAGCTGCCTTTCGTGCACGCTTTCCCTTGCGCAGCGCCAGCTGCACCACGAGAATGGTGCCTGCCGCCACGAGCGAGGAGAAAGGGGAGAAAGGGAAGGGCCTGGATGACGCGGAAGCGAAGGAGGTGCTGAGGGCGTTTGCTGCGGTGAGTGACGCAGAGGAGGACGCAGAGCAGAGGCTGATGAACGATGGGACAGAGCTGCGAAGAGGCCGGCGGGATCCTGACGAGGCCGAGAGTGCCGCTTTGGTGAGCGGCCGAGGAGAAGGAGAGGGGGGGGCGGGGGCGAAATGCATCGCACGAGAGAGCACAGCATGAAGAGGCTTGAATTGAAGGGAGACGATGCGAGGGATGTGCGAGTGAGGGCGAGAGAGGATAGATAGGGGAGCAGTGAGAGAGGCTTGATGTATCTCGACGGAGGGTTGAGGGAGGCGAGAGACGGAAGCTGGCTTGAGCGAGAGGGAGACAGCTGGCGGGAGGTGGAGAGGGGCATGCCCATTGCGCAGCACCCGGCTTGGGGGCAGCGTTTGCTACTCCTCGAAGATGCGCTGCATGACGGCGTCGCGCAGCTCCTTGACCTTGCCCTCTGCGTCTTCCTGCTGCGCCTTGCTCTCTTCATCCTCGTTCGCCTGGCCGCCGCCTTCGACCTGCTCGGCCAGCGAGAGCTTCTTGGCGCCTAGTCGGATGATGTGCTCCTGTGGCGCGGCGGGGCGAGGTGTGAGCATCGAAAGAAGGAAGGAGGGGGAGGGGGGGGGAAGGAGACGCACGTCGATTGTGCCGCGTGCCACGAGACGCGTCACAGTGACGGGCCGCCGTTGGCCGATGCGGTAGCAGCGGTCTTCGGCCTGCTTGTCGTTCTGCGGATTGAACTGCAAGGCAAAGCGTGATCATCAGTGGCCATTCGCACAGCCCAGGCGCGCGGGCGCAACAACTCACGTCCGAGTCATAGATGATGACATGGTTCGCCGCGGTGAGGTTGATGCCCACTCCTCCGGCGCCCGTCGAGAGCAGAAAGACATCGATCGTCTCGTCGCTCGTAAACTCGTCGACGATGCTCTGCCGTTCGTCGACCTTGGTCTCGCCCGTGAAGCCGCGATACTTGATGCCCAGATGCTCGAGCGCCACGACGATGATGTCGAGCATCGTGACGAACTGCGAAAAGATGACGGCTCGCTCGCCCTTTGCGCGCACGTCGTCGATGATGCGCTTCATGGCCACGATCTTGCACGAGTCGAGCCACAGCTCGCGCGGCAGATCGAGGGGACCACCGCGCTGTGCACGCACACGGGTCAGCAAGGACGGCGCGTCTTCCCCCCAGTGCCAGCGGGGGCCACTCACCAGGCGAGGCAGGCCCGCGACGATGGAGCGGTTGAGCTCGGCGTCCGAGTTGATCTCAAAGTCCTCCCTGACGTGCGTGAGGTTGCGCTCCGGGTCGTCCTTGCAGTACTCGCGCGCCAGCCTGTCGAGCTTGGCGGCGTCGTAGAACGTGCGAAAGTTGAGCGGATGGTTCGCCGCCTTGCGCAGCTCCATGAGCACGTGGCTGGAGCCGCCGGGCTTGGTCTCGGGCACGGCGGCCTTGCCTCGCGCGCCCTTGCCCTTGGCGGCCGCCGCGGCCGCACGCGCCTCCTCTCGCATCGCCTTGGTGTGCGCAAAGATGCGCGAGTAATGCTCGCGCTGCGTGGCAGTCATGTCGCACATCTCGACGCGCTCCACCTTGGGCGGCAGGTCGGGCAGCACCAAGGCCTTGCGACGCCGAAGCACAAACGGCCCGAGCATGCCCTTGGCACGTGCGATGCGCTCGGTGGAGAGAATGTTCTGCGGCTTGGAGGAGTTCTGCCCCAGAGCGACACAGAGGCATCAGCAAAACGCCCCATCGCTATGCTCGCCGCTCCCGACACGCGCACCTTGAAGATGCCCTCCAGATCCTCCGCCGCGCTGCCGAAGAAGTCCTCGAGGATGAAGTTGAGCAGCGACTGTGGGGCGTGGGGGGAGAGGGGTGAGTGTCTGCTGCAGTCCATGCTCCTTCTCGTCCGCACCATGAGCTCCGCCAGATTGTTCTGCAGCGGCGTGCCCGTGAGGAGCAGGCGCCATTGCGTGCGGATGCGAATGAGCTTGCCGTACTTGCTCGAGTTCTTGTTCTTGAGCACGTGGCCTTCATCAAAGACACTTGCCTGGCGCAAAGACGTCAATGCGCAAGCTCGCGGCCCACTTGCGCCTCGTTGACGACTCACCGCCCAGCCAAACTTGCGGAAGAATGTGTAGTCCTGCGCACTGATGACCGAGTCGTAGCTGGCGAGCACCACCTCATACTCGCGCTCCTCGCCCGCCTCCTTGTCCTCGCGCAGCTCCTCGCGCATCTCGGCGCGCTCCTTCTGGTTGCCGCGGTACGTGTAGAGGGCAATGTGCGGCGCAAACTGCGCAAACTCGCGCTCCCAGTTCTCCAGCACCGACGAGGGCACGACGATGAGATGCGTGCGCCGCTTGCCCGGCTGGGCGAGCTCGTGCGTGAGAAAGGCAATCACTTGACACGTCTTGCCGGTGCCCTGTTGGACAGAAGTGAGCGGCGTTGGACCCAGACAGCCATTCCAAGCGGCGTTCCGCTTACCATCTCGTCTGCGAGGATGCCGCCCTGTCGCAGTCGCATCAGCGGACTGAAGCCTAGCTTCCACAGCGCGCGCACGACCACTCACCAACTTCTTGCTCCACAGCAGCCTCAGCCAGTTGACGCCGTACAGTTGGAAGTCCTTGAGCACCGTGCCCTCCTTCAGATGTTCCGGCTGCTTGCTCAGATAGCCGCTCGACGGTGCCGCTGCGCCATTGGCAGTGTCCCAACTGCCAATCTCGCGCTGCAGCATGGCGCCCGTCTTTTCGCACTTGGCAAGCACGTTGTCGACTGCGCGATACGACTGGCAGAGTCTGGCGTCAGCTTGGCGCTCATGCGAGGTGGAGGAGCAGGCAGGGAAGCATTGCACGCACAGCCATGAGCGACTCGCAATTGTCGTACAGCCTTCGACTGAGCTTGGGCGTCGCGTCGAGCTTGCGGTACACGTCGTCGACGTTGCGAAACGGCCGCAGCGCAATGATCTTCTCTGCGATCTCCTCGTCGCAGCCTGCGCGCAAGAGGTGGCTCACATCAGCCTTTCTGCCAGCTGCTGCCTTTTTGCCGCCCGCAATATAGCCGATCGAACGTCAGGCCACACTCACCCATGGTGTCCATCAGCGCGCCTTTCTCGGCCTGCGCAAACCATTCAAACGCATTGTTGGAGCGTTTCGCCTGGTCGCCCGAGCCGTAGCCGCCATCGCTCTGTCCGTCATCCTCGTCGTCCGAGATACTGACGGCGCGACTACTGCTCTGTCCCTTCTTGACTGTCTGCATCGCCTTGCCCTGCTGCAGTGGCGCAGGTCGCGACAGCGGACGGGCAGAGGCGGGCGCAGCGGTGCGCGAGGCCTCCCTGATGGCGGCACCGACGCCGAGACGAGAGGCGATCTTGAATGTCGGCGACGCCACGGCCGTACGAGCAGCAGCGACGGAGCCGGAGGCAGAGCCGTTCTGCTGCTGCTGCTGCTGCTGCGAGTGCGCACGATGCACAAAGACGGGCGAGGGCGAGGGCGAGGTGAGCGAGACGTACGAAACCGTCTGCTTGCCCTGCTTGCCCTGCTGCTCCCTCGACGCGGCAGACACAGACGCTGTACTGCTCGCCTTTGTGCTTCCCGAAGCCTCGAGGGACGACTGCGACTCTGCCGTGCCGCTTGCACTTGAGCGTGTCTTCTCCTTCGGCATGTACGGCCACACGGCCTTTTGTCCGTCGCGCTTGAGCAGTTCCAGCGTCTCGCCCACGTCCAGCTTGGCCGTCTGCATCAACTTGGCCACTGCGTCTGCGTCGAACTCGCCTCTGGAGCGCCCGAGGACATTGACGAGCCGTTGGGCTTTCTTACGCACCTCTGGATCTACGGCGGAGGCTGCGGCCGGCGAAGCCAGCGCCTCAGGATGCGGCGAGGCGATCGGATCGTCCGAGTCTGAGTCTGATGCTCCTCTCCGAGCCTTGCCTCCACCCATGACAAAGCGGCGCTTCTTGGGCTTTGGCGGCGCAGCTTTGACATCGACCAGCTCGACACTCGAGTCGCTCATCTCTGCCTTTTCCCTCAACTGCTCCGCTCGCGGCAGCGGCGCCGGACGCTTGGTGCCCGAGGCGCTGCCGCTGCGCGCATCATTGTAGCGGTACGCAGAGAGGTCGATCCTGGAGCTGCTGCTGCTGCTGCCGGAAGTACCCGAGGCGGCACTGCTGCTGGGCAGCTGCGAGGCACTGCGAGAGTTGATGGCGGCCGCGGAGAAGGGCGCAGAGAGTGGATCGGAGGAGGAATGGCAAGTCGGAGGCGGCGCGAGCTCCTTCTCCGGCGACGCAGACGTGAACTTTGTGCGTCCCGGCGCCTTGCCGAGGCCGTTTGCATAGCCGGGCATCGCTGCCAGTGGCTCCGGCGGCTGCTGTTGCGCGAGCGCACACGTGAGGCGCGAGCTGGCGCTTGCGACGGCAGATGAGGCAGCGCGGCCGCTGTCGTCGAGGCAGGCACTCTTGCCTTGCTGCTGCTGCACGGGCGAAGAGTCGGGCAGCAGCTCGTGGCCGGGTGCGCGGCCACTGTAGGCACGCCGCAGCTGCGCGCGCGACGGACGAGGCGACGACTCGGGCGCCAGGATGCGGCGCTGGCGAGGCGTGGCCGTGTATGCCGCGCTGCTGCTGCTGCTGCTGCTGGCGGCAGAGGTGGAGGGCGCGAGGGCGAGGGGCGGCGAAGGCGAGGGCGAGAGCGCGAGAGGCGCGGAGAAGGCGGCCAAGACGTCGCGAGTGGCGTGCGGCGGAGTGGTGCTGCTGCGCTGCTGGAGTGCGGTAGTGTGGGGATTGGAGGTGGAGAAGAGGAGGCGGGGCATGCGACGCGAGGCCGTGAGGAGAGAGGAGAGGGACGATTAGGGGGGCCAGAGCAATGAGTGAGAGAGAGATGCGCTGGCTGCGTGGAGTGCAGGGTGTGCGGCGTGCGGAGCCGGCGTCGCGCGGGCAGAGAGACGCGGGCTGGCACGAGCTCGAGGGAGAGGGAGGAGGAGAGGGAGCAGCGGCTTGCTCATCAGAACGCGAGAAGGCGGCAGGCGGCGCGCGGCGCGTCCAGACCGCGTGGGAACAGCAACACGACGAGGTTGTAGTGCGCATACACGTCCGCCACTACACGCACTACAAGCCGCCGGCGCGCGTGCGACTCTGAGGCGATGCACCAGCCAACTCAGCTCGATGGCGCCGCGCACGTCGCCGCCAGCGGCTGCTGCCTCTCCACCCTCTCCACCTCGCGCCTCCTGCTCCTCCTCACCGCTCGCCTCCCTCACTTGCTGCTCGCGCCGCACCGGCGAACCCTCTCACTTCGCATACGTGCGTCTGCCACTCTTGGGCGCGCGCGTGCCCGCTCCTGCGCAAGCGCGTCTGACAGCGTCGCCCTCTCCCTGCAGTCTCGTTTGCCCCCTCTGCACAGCCGCTCGCCTCGCCTCCGCTGTCGTTTGCGCCATGCGTGCCTCGTGCGTGTGCTGCTTTGTGCATCCTCACCGCACTCCTTGCGGCGCGCTCACTGACCTTCTTTCTGCTTTGCAACGCAACGCAACAGCGCCATGCTGCGTTCCTCGCTGTACCGCGACCCCTGGGCGGCGCGCGAGGCGTGGCGCAAGCATCCCGTCTTTTCCTCGCGCTTCCAGCTGCGCAACTTCTGGCCCGGCTTCGGCCTCGGCACGGCCGCCTTTGCCGTCTATCTCGCCTTTGACATGCTCGCACACCCCGCCAACGTCGAGAAGCTCGTCGAGGATGCGCGCAAGCAACGCAAGGAGATCTAGAGAGGGGCAGGGGGGGGGGGGGGGGGGCAATGAGATAAGGGCATGATTTTCTCGAGCCCGCGCGAGGGTGGAATGATGGGTTGAATCTTGGTGAGCCGGCACGAGGTGAATGCAGGGGCCTGGGCTGGAACTTGCCATGCTGCTGGAGAACGCAAGGAAAGGAAGGAGGAGAGGCGCGATGGGGGGGGGGGGGGGGGGGGGGGGGGGGGGGGGGGGGGGGGGGAGCTGCGGATGACGGAGGAGTGGGATGCCTCCTCTATCGCCCCGCCGGCGTTTTCGGTTTTGATGGCGCCACGGACTTCTCCCCCAGCCCCCGCTGCTATCCCTGCAACGGGCGCTCGATCTCCTTCTCGGGGGGCCGAGCGTGCGAGGTCCCCTCACTCCTCTCCTCCCCCCTGCCCCCTTTCTCCTCTTCCCCCCTTCACGGACAGCATAAAAGGCGATGCGCCCCAACCCCCTTCTTTTGGGCGCGCCGAGGGGCCGTTGCTTTTACCGGCACGTCCTCTTGGGTCATCGCAAAGGCGCCGTCCTAGATCAGACCCCATCGAGCTCCCGCCTGAGTCTTCTCTCCATTCTCCCTCCTTTCGCGGCTCTCGCAGCGGACGGAAGGGGGGGAACTCGTTCGGCATACTACGCCCTCTTAGGCGTCGAACGAGGGAGTTAGTAATGACCGCGGGTCATCGCGCTCTTGCGCGATGTAAAACGAACGTTTGAGACTCTACCACCCTGTCCAGCCAGACTCCGATGCCTAAATGTCAAGGGCACGCGTCGAAAGGAACTCGGGGGGACAGCCAGGCATGCCTGTGCCTTTGATAAGTTTCTTGCCCCCATCTCCCTCCCCCCCCCCTCCTCTTCTTCCAAGCCTTTTCACGTGCTCAAGGCCTCTTCGGCGTGCTTCACGGCCTGGCCACCACGTTGCTTGCTCGCACACCTCTCGTTCGCAGCATGGCCCACTTTCGTAGCGCCAACACCCCCGCCTTACTGCCGATTTCGCCTGATGTCTTCATCCTGTGCGTTTGAATGTTTCGTACTGATTCGTACACGACTAGAACTGCGGGGCGCCGTTGCGCATGCACGGCAAAGATAGCGCTTCTTTGCATCAACCCCCCAGCTGGTGTGTGTTCCCATGCAACGACGCGCGCGCCCGGCGAGCTCCCAAGAGCTCCAAGAAGGCTTTCAAGAACTCAGAAGCTCCTCGCCGCGCAGTTCTGCGAGGATGAATTCGACCTTTTGGCGAAGATGGGGCGAACAACGGGGCGTCAGCGAGAGGGCATGAAGTCGAGGCGCTGAGCACAGCGCAAGAGCGGCCCCTCGCACGTTGCGCGCCTCTCGTCTCGTTGCTCCCGCGCGCCAGCCTACACTGGAAAGAGAGGAAAAAGACACTCAACTCACCTCCCACGCCTCGCTCCAGTACCGAATGCCCGCCTGTGGCGCTCCCTCCTTCTCGATGCGTCTCTGCAGGCCCCTCTTTGTGCGCACCAGCGCCACATCGCCCTGCTGCATGCGCATCACGGGACAGTAGTCGTTGCCGCCGTCGCCAATGTACACGACGCGCTCAAAGTTGCCTCTGCCGCCGTGCCGCGCGAGAAAGGCGTCGAGCTCGTCGCCCTTGCACATGTTGGCACTGCAGCCTACGGCACACGTGTGCTGCGGACCCGAAGGGTCGACTCGTCGTCGCAAGTTGAGCAGGCCCGAAGCTTCGAAGTGAGCGGGGTTGGTGACGATTTCGAGAAAGTATTGATGGATGTTCTGGTCCTGTGATGGCCACAGACGCGCGCGTCGCTCAGCGTGTGCGTCTCGGGGGCAACAGCCATTGTTCCAAGTCCCGCAGCGAGCACTGAGGCCAGACGTACCTTTAGGATGGTGTCGATGTACACGGTGTTGGCGTTGGACAGCAGGAACCACGTCGTCTGTGTCGTCGCGCTCTCTGCCGTCGCCTTTACTCCTCTCGCCATCGCCGGGTGCTGATCGCATTTGTGGTGCTTTCGTCAACGAAGCCAATTCGGCACGACGAATGGGGCGCTGTCACCGCGCGGCCCACCCGCATTTCTCGCAAGCCGCTTGAGTTGACAGCAGCCACGAACACAAACAAACTCACAAAGTACATGCTCCTCAGCGCCGCCTCAATCTGCTGCTGCGTGATGCCGCGGGCATGCAGCTGGCGCAGCAGCTCGGCACACAGATCGGTGAACTGCGGGCCGTTGGGCTGGTCGAAGTTGCGGCGCAGGTCCGGCGCCAGCACTTCGTGCACCCAGCGGTCCGAGTCGGCATCTGCCAGGCTGGTTGCGAGGAGTGGGTTGAGCAGGAGCGAGAAGATGGGGGGCGGGCATGGGGGGAGAGACGCACGACTCGTCAAAGTCACTGCAGATGAGCTGGGTGCGCACGCGCGGCAGAGGCGAAGGAGCGGTGGAGGTCATTGCTTGGGCGTGTGGTGGAGAAGAGACAGGCTTCGCTCCGTAGAGTTGTGTCGCACGAGCCTCGACAGCCAGAAGCAACGTTGCCAGAAATCTCGAAGGCGCGCGCAGCGCGGATGATCCCGCGGAGGTCGGACCTGCGTGGGAGCAGCTCATGGCGAGCCCACGTGATGCCTCGCACGGCCCCGCGGCGCTCTCCGACTCCCGAGAGGTGGCGCCACGGCGCGCGGCGAGCACGCCATCCGCACGCGCCGCGCTGCCTGCGATGCTTCTTCCAGCTCGCTCCACGCCGACGGCCACCGACCGAGCGGCGCCGCGCCAAGAGGCAGCACGCCCGCAGAGCGGCGCCGCTGACCTGAACGGCGGCAGTTATGTCCGAGTGCGGCTGGAGAAGCTCAGCGAGCGCGGCGCGCGGCGTCCGTGCGGCGTGAGCGCGCGTCTGCGCATCTTCCACGGCCCTCCGCACCTCTCACCTTCTCCCTGCCACACCACCATCACCCCTTCACCCCACCCCTCTCATACAGCCCAGCATGCCCGCCGCCCTCCGCCTCGGCTCCACGGCGCCCAACTTCCAGGCCGAGACGACGCACGGCGCCATCGACTTCCACCAGTGGCTCGGCGACTCGTTTGGCATTCTCTTCTCGCACCCCGATGACTTGTGCGTGTGTGTGCTGCTTCGTGGCGAGAGAGGGGCGGACAGGGTTGGAGAGGCGTGCAAGGTCGGGTGATGGCAGGCGCATCTCGGTGGCGACCCGCTGCAGTGCTACCTCGGCTCGCCACACACCTCTCCCTCTCTCACACAGAAGCTCAGCTCACGCCTTTCTCCTCCTTCCGCTCCACACAGCACGCCCGTCTGCACCACGGAGCTCGGCGAGGTGGCCAAGCAGAAGGCGCAGTTCGACAAGCGTGGCGTCAAGGTGATTGGTGAGTTTTGTGTCTTGGGTCATGCTCGCGCACTGTGATTGTGTGTGTGTGGCCGCCGAGGCGCGCAAAGTGAGAGGATTGCGAACAGAAGGAATATGAGTGGGGGGGCTCAGCTGTTCTTTGAAAGACGCAGGGAGAGAGCAGCAAGCCTGGATTAGGCTTAGCTACGGCGCGGTGCGGCTCACTGCTCTACGCGCTGGCGATGGGATGGGCCAGCAGATTGGGTCGAGCGGGCAAGGTGCTGCCAACTGCCAACGCTTCCGTAGCGTGCGCGAGAGAGGGCTCGGATGCTCGAGGGACATGTTGCGGCGAGCCTCTGGGGGCCTCAAAGCTTGCAGCCCAGAGGGGAGCCATGTGTAGCTTGCGCGCCACTGTGGCGCTCGACGCTGTTTGCCATTGCTCTTCCTGTCGCTGTGATGCGACTTACTCCCCCCATCCTCTGCTTTCCTCGTTGGCTTACGGCCCTCTCTTGACTCCCCTCAGGTCTGTCCGCCAACTCCATCGACTCGCACGACCGCTGGATTCAGGACATCAAGGATGTCTCTTCGGCCGAGGTGCAGTTCCCCATCATTGGCGACGAGAAGCGCGAGATTGCGACGCTGTACGACATGCTCGACTCGCTCGACGAGACCAACGTCGACAACAAGGGCCTGCCGCTCACGGTGCGCAGCGTCTTCTTCATCAACCCGGCAAAGAAGATTGTCGCCATGATCACCTACCCCGCCAGCGTGGGGCGCAACTTCGACGAGATTCTGCGCGTCCTCGACTCGCTGCAGCTCTCGGCGCGCCTCAACGGCAAGATCACCACGCCCGTCAACTGGCAGAAGGGCGACCGCGTCATCATTGCGCCGCCCGTCAAGCAGGAGGAGGCAGACAAGCTCTTCCCGCAGGGCTACGAGACGGCAAAGCCCTACCTGCGCTTTGCACAGCTGAGCAAGGAGCAGGAGGGCAACTAAAGCAGGCGGCCTGTACCTGTTCCTCCTCCGTCCGTCGCGGCGAGGTGCCGCGCAATGAACTCGCTGCTTCTTTCTTTGTTGAAGGCAACGCGCGGCCTGCCCAATGCTCTGTGTGGGAGTTCTGAGGCCGTGCGGATGAGGATTGATCGGCACGGCGCGACCCTACACGCTGAGCTAGCTCCCATCTCGCCGCTCCCCGGGGGCGCTTTCGATGCTCAATCTCCCTTGCCAGCAGAGCGCGCCTCAGGAGTCAAGAGAGTGAGGTCAACGAATGCAGAGTGAAGAGAGATGCTTTCGGGCTGCTTGCAGCGACAGGAAGCGGGG